TCGTCGTTGTCGTCGTCTATGGGAAACACGTTTTTATTCTTCACATCTGACACAATCGATACTCATTAAAGTTTTCAGCAGCAACAACAACAAAATAGATATAACACCATATGTTTAATTATGTAATAAACAAAGTGGTTAACTTTACGCTTAATATCCTTCCCGTTCGTCTTGGTTACATATTCAGGGACTTTTGATTATTATTAATAACACACACTGCACTTTTGCGATTTGTTAATAACTCGGCCACTCGCTTAAACGTATCCTTTTACGCGCACTTTGTTAAAACGGAAGTGTGGCCCGATGGCAACATTGCCACCCACGATTATCGAGTTGATCCTTTCGTAGCGAGCTTCAAGCCGCTACTAATGGCTTCGCCGTTAGCTTCGCATGTTTACGGCTCTCGGTGAGAGCGAACTAACCTGCGAGAGAGCGAATGCCGAAGGAGAGCGAAAACCAAAGCAGGACCAAGACGCCCAGTACACCGAAAAAAAGGAATAAAGGATTTGGTGAAAAGATACATGGATCATTGAAAGCATTTAAGAAAGGTATGATTTTTTACTTGGTAAAAATAAAAAACTCCAAACTTGTATCCTTTTAATAAGCATATTAATACACTGATAAACAAAATAATGTTGAAGTATTAAAATTAATAAAGTAAAATAAGTTGAAATATTATTACCGAAAATTGTAGAACCACGATTTTTAAGATTTTATTTAAACACAATTAAACATGAATACAGAGTAACTATTTTAATGAGCAAAATTGGATTTAAATACTTTCATGACCAAATGGCAAAAATCCCTATTTTTTCTATACTGAAACCCTTTTAAATAAAGGGACGGACTACTGACTGCTTCGGACTGAAACTTGAGAATTACAACATGGTCACATAAAAGAAAAGGAATAATAAAGAATCTTATCGATGGTATTAAAAAATAGAAAGGAACTAGAAATAAATAAAATATATTTAATTAAAATAAAACCTACAATACTAAACTAGTTTGTTTGCGGTACAAAGTTAACTTAGGTTCAGTAACTTACAAAAAATATAAGTCCAGCTTAACAATCTTTTAAATTTCTTTACGTGCAGAGCCAAGTTCAGAGAGAGCGTGCTCGTGCTCGATTCACGTCTTCGGGCTTCTAATTGTAAGTGTAACTGTAACTGTATTCTCACCTGCTGGCGGAGCAACAATTTTCCGCCCTTCAACTGTCGCAAGCTTTCGATGGTGTGTTTTGTGTGTGTGTGTGTGTGGACAGGTGACTGTGTCATGAAACTATGCACTATTAGATGGCTCATAAAATTCTCCCAGCAAAAACAAAAACACACTTACACACACACTTGAAAGGAAGTCCGAAAAATAAAAAACTAGGAGCAAAAATAAATTATGGAAAATTACTTTTAAGCCCTTTGCCACGTCTTCATTACAAATAAGAAAAAATGTGGGTTTCCCACCAAAGAACAGACCACAACTTTACATAAGCCATAACAAATCCCTGCCAGAAAGCGAGACAGGAATGAGAAAATTTGGGTCAAGTGGCCGCATTGGAATTGGACCCACCTCTAGTTTCGGACACCACTTTGTTTGCTCTCTATCTCTCTCGCTCTGCGGCGACCAGGTGGGAATATAAAGGATTCGTAGGAAATGGTTAACCACAAAAAATAAAATAGTAAGCGTAAAAGAAATGAAGAGAGAGAGACAAGAGCAAAGCGCAAGAGAGAGACCACATCTATGAGACAGCAAAAGTCAGTTGTGTTTGTTAGTGTGTGTGTGTGGCTTCCTGTTGGATATATAGCATAACATCAGGGGCATATCCGGTGAAAAGTACCTTTTTATTACCTCAAGTTTTACCTGGTATCTCACATCGTATAATGTTTTAAGATTATCGAAAGGTAAACAGCTCTTACTGAGGATAACTACTCAAGCATTTTGAGGATAGGGTTCATAACTTGGTTGGGGCAGGAAATAAAAAGATTTACACAATTATATAAAGCAATTATTATCCCTTTTGTAAACAGAAATCAAATTGTCCTTAAGTGACCATATATTAAAGAATATTGTTTTTCCTAGAACTTGTACCACTTAAATGTGCGATTATTTAATAGTTTTTATACGCGACTGCACAGCTGGAAACAAATGGAGAATATTAAGTCAAGTAGTTATGTTCATATGGCAGCCCTCTTCTGGTATTCACGTGCTGGCTTTGTTGGTGGTCAACGACAGATGGCAAATGGGGCCATCAAAGGACCTCTCGCAGAGCCAAGAGCAGAGTTTTGTCCATATGTATAACCACAAATCGCCACTCAGAGACTATTGTGCCAATCATTTATTATTAATCAGCCCTCTAATTGACTTCATCCAGCTCTCCATGCTATGAAAAGGTCCTTTAACTTATTTAGCATGGCTCCAGTCTTGTAAAGACAGTGGACCCAAGAAATACAATGAAACCAAAAGATTTTGGTAATTACTAAAATGAAAAAGATAGAAATAAAAACCAAACAACACTTTAAGGAGGCTCAAAGTTCAAAAAATAAAATTCTTGCATTCCCTATAGCCAATCCTGTCAGTAGTTGCTCACACAAAGAGCGTTTTGCTCCTTATTTCTGGTGTTAAATTTAGTCATTTTCAGTTTTTAGGCGAAGCATGCAGTCATGGACGTTGTACACAACATTCGTTTTTACGGCCAGGTGAGTGTGGAAATTTGTTGAAGTTGCCCCGGAAAAACCTCCGCTCCCTGGCGGCCGACATGGCTATTTTTAGACCAAAAACAAGGTGTTTTGCTGGCCAGCAGGACACGCGACCAGGACAACGTTCAGCGGTTCTGTTAAAGGTAACATGTTGGCTATGCAAATGCAAACAATGCATTGCCCTCGAGAGTCGATGGACGACATATGCGCTCACAGCAAATAGCAGAAGCAAACCTGAGAAGGAAAATCCAAGGAAATGGGAAGTGGGGCACGAGGACGGGAAGTTTAGTCGCTCGAATGGGACGACATATGCGGCTTATAAATAAAAAATCAATCAAAAAGTCGGTAAATATGTGAAAGCGTCCCAGTGCCAGTGCCACCCGTATACTCTACTCCCCCAAATACCTCCCCCATATGCATGCCAAATGAGCTAACAACTGAACATCACAAAAACAACGAAACTTACATGCGCGGCTCATAAAAAATTCACAATTTTAATCGAAACATAGTGCAGGCGGAGCGAAAAATAGAACACACGGCGCAATGAGTATAAGCGATGCGTTCAGCCAGATAAGCAAAGTGCATTTGTCTGCCAAATGCAACTGGGAATACGTAGAAAAATATTATATCGAATATATCACTAACTATAGGGAATAATATTTGCTAATTCCTAAACAAACGTCTCACAAAAATGATCAGTTTGAAAAGTCTTTATGAATTTAGTGAGTTGCTCTTACGATTTTTGAGAGGTATTAAGTAATATTTGATTTTAATTAAACTACTTTTTGTAAATAAAAAAATACTTATAGAACCATTTTCAATTTACTAATTTTTACATAAATTTTGTTTGTCAGTGTCACTGATTTAATTTACTTGTGATATTCGTTTGGATATTTAAGAAATGTTATTAATTAAGTCATACTTTTTTCATGTGTTAGCAGTAAAGTACTCACTTTTAAAAATGTCAGAAAAAATAAATGGATTAACTGCATGCAATCTAAATGCTACTGATATTTGGAATTTTAAGTACACAATGTTGAAAATATTTATACAATTGTATAATATATATACGAAGTTGTTAATAATTATTAAGCCAACAAACACGTTGGGAAGTAATTGAAAGACTCGATATATAATTTAGAATTAGTTCGTATTTAGACAATAAAAACTATTTGAAACAACCAACAAGCTTGTGGTTAGGGCTTATTAAATAATATTTTTTATTAAAAAGAACTGAATAAAAGTTTTTATTTGAAGAAAATATATTTGAAGATACCAGAGATATAGCCAAGTAATTGACTTGGAAATAAAAAATACTACATTTTTTTACAAATTTAACAATAAACTAATGAAAATCCTTTTATATGAATGAATATAACATTAAGAACAGCGGAATCTTTTCAAAATATTTGTATAATTATTCAGTTAAGCTTGTAATAAGAAAACGATTACTGGCGTGATGTAAATTTGGTTTTACTTCTATACTTGGAATGTAATCTAGTAATAGAAAATTTAAGCACAAGGTTTTTAGTTTATAGCCGTCATAATTGAACAATTATTATATTTTCAGTGCATCCATTTGGCCATGTGCGGCGTGTTGCCAATCCGAATCCATATATGAAGCACAACTGCCACTGACACGGGCCATGCGAAAGCCAATTGCCTGTCAGGAGTGGACTTGGCCAAAGCGTGCACTTTGACCAGACTTCTTTCTCATCACCCCCTATTCCTCCATCTCCTCCTCCACCTCTACCATCAGTCTGATTGCACAAATCGGAACGTGAAAAACGATTTCCGACGTGCTTCGTACATATATGCTAGTATGTACGACAAACCCATCATTGTTTACAACTTTTTTCTACCTGGGATTGCTTTCGTCTTGCTTGCTTCGTCTGTTTTTCCATTTCCTCATCTTAGTGTGCAATTTATGGGGGAATCCCTAGGATGGAACAACTAGCTTAGATGGCGAAATAATGGACAGGATTTGTAAAAGTCCAAAGGCACTAGAGAAACCTCAAAACATGTCATTATGACAATCATAATTATTAATAAAGGTATTGCAATTTTAAATATAATTCCTTATTTATTTTAATTATTAATTGATTCCAATTACACACAAGTTTGTAGCTAAGAAATTGCTTTGCAATCACGTACCACCTCTCTCTAAAATTGTATTTTCCTGTTATAAGCAAGCTCTATGCTAGTCATTAATTACTTTTGCAACCGAAGGGCACCCGTTCACTATCATTATTTAATTATTATTATTAATATTAAAAAAAAAAACCACTGAAATACACAACTTCAAAGCTCTCTGGCAGCTGGGGGAGAAAAACAAAGAAAAAAGAAAGCAAAACATGCTGTCGATGATTAAGCTTTCCGAGCTTCAATTTCACGGCGATCTCTTATCGCCACCTTTGCCAATTACATGTGTCTCATTTACAGTTGGCAGATAAATTCATGTTCCATATTTTGGCGAAGCCACGCCACGTTAATCTAGTCGACAAATCGTGACAAATTGCACATAGTTTCGCGTTGTTTTCTATTTTTGTTACATCTCCAAAGCGATCGGCTAGAACTGGCAGTTGCCAAGACGTCGCATTTCCAATCAGTCGCTTCGGTGCTTACCTCTAGATTTCTTTCCCATCTCTGTGTTTAGTGTATTTGCATGTTTGAAAATAGTAAAATCTGTGCATCATGACCCGCAGCAGGTCGTGGACCCTGCCCCGCCTCTCGGAGGCGCATGTGTCCACCACCTTTGGTCTCCTGGGATCCGTCCGGCTCACCTACGCTGTGTGCGCTTTCATAGCCACCAGCCTGCAGGCAGCCATACGCAACATGCTCGGCCTGATCATCCTGAGAATGGTAAAACCCCGGCCGGAGGATGCACTGCAACAGGCTCTCCAGGCTGCGAGCAATGTCACAGCTTCAAGCCGGTGCGGTGGCTCTCGGATTGCTTTGAACACAGCGATCCACGTGCCAGAGGTAAGACGGTACCCATTGAAAATTCTTTTAAAATGAGGCAAATATAAATGAGACAGAAAGAAATCTACATGTTCTCAACGAATAAAATTAAACGTCAAAATAAATATAAAATATAGAAACACGAAGGGTCAGTTAGTACAAAGTGTGACTAAAATAACAACTACAAATTACAACTGCCTATCGTAAACCTTCACCTTAACAATTAAAATTTATTTTATTTGTTTAGATAATGACAATTATGTGTATTTTGTATTTATAATTTATGACGCTTAATTATTATTATAAATTAATTAGTAAAAACAGACCATAATAGGAAAGTTAATTAACATATCAAAATAAAATATAAATGTAAATGTTCCGTAAATCAAATCTTTTAGACCGGCGACTTACCATGGTCCCGTAACCAGGAGCTGGCGTTTCCCGGAGTATACTACTACGGCTATGTGGTTTCTATTCTGATATCCGGTTACCTGGCAGATCGATGCAGCAGCAAGGTGTTGTTCATGGTATCCCTAATCTGTCAGGCTTTAGCCTACATCCTGGTCCCTTTAATGGCTCATTACAGCTTCGAGGCGGCTGTGGTCGACCTGGTGGTGTGCGGCCTGCTAGCGGTATGTTCTAGTTTCCAGCGAATTCGTATATATTTCTCCTTAATTAAGTAATGGCAGGGCTGTGGAAATCCGTCGCTATACAAACTGTTCGTCACCTGGGCTCATCCCACGGAGCGCACGGCGTTGCTGTCTTTCGCCTACAGTGGCATGTTGGTGGGATCCATGATAGTGTTCCCGGTGGCCGGCTATCTCAGCAACTTCGGATGGGAACTGTCCTTTTTTGTAGTGGGTTCAGTGACTCTGCTTTTTGGCATTGCCTGCAACTGGCTCATCTATGACACTTTGGAACAGCATCCCCGTATTTTGGATGAGGAGGTGGCCTACCTCAGACAGGGAAAGAGTCCTCCAGAGCCTCAGGCACCGCAGGTAAGTTAGTTTATTTCTATGTCTATTAATTACCTATTAATGTTCTGATGTCAGGTGGTGAGTGTTCCCTGGAAGAGCCTGCTAACCGCTCTACCGGCATACGCTTTCGTTTTGACTCACGTGTTCCACTGCTACACCTTTCTGGTGATCTCGCTGCTAATGCCCCGATTCATGAGCGAAGCCATGGAGTATGACCTGAACGAGGTGGGCTTCCTCTCCGCGGCCCCGTATCTGGGCGGGATGTGCTCGAAGGTGTTGTGCATCTTGGGAGGCAGCTACTTGGAGCGACGCTTCGGCCCTGATCAGAGCTGCATGCGTCGGACTCTGTACGGAATCTGTAAGATAAATCCGTTAGAAATGCTATAATGTATCTTTATTGAAGTCTGAAAGATTATCATGTTTTTTTTCAAACGTGAATAATGAGTAAAACTGGTTTAAACTTTTTAATAAAGTTTTTTTCAGATCGAGTCGAAATGCCTATATTTTGTAATATATGTTTTACTTTTGTTTTTCTTACCAGGCAGCATCCTAACGACTTCATTTCTTGGGATAATTATCCTGGCTGATTGTGGGAACAAGACTCTGGTCCTGCTAATGTTTACACTCCTGATGGCCTCCACGGATATGGGATTCAGTGGCTATTGGCCCACACTACTATACTTTGCCCCCTCGTTCGCGGGACTTCTTTCCGGATTAGCCAATGCTCTGGCTCATCTGACTGGATTTCTGGCGCCGTATCTCGTCGCCGCCTTGGTGCATACTGTAAGATACATAAATAGTTAACTTTGTTGCGAAACATTTTCACTGTAATTTAAATAACTTTAGGGAAGCAAGGAGGAATGGAATATGGTACTGACCACTCTCATAGCCTTCAACACAATGGCTATGCTTGTGTTTGGACTGTGCAGCAGTACTAAGCTCCAGCCCTGGGATCCACGCAATTGCGGAACCAATGAGAGATCTTCGTCTTCCGAAAAAAATACTAGTTAGGCCTTTGTCTTATATTTACTATACATATTTTTACGTGTTTGAGTTTAAAAAGCGCGCCATAAAGCGTGTTTTTCTCTATACCTATCGATCTATCAACTAAGGGTATCTAGAGATGTGCATGTAAGTGTCACGGTTAACGTAATTGTAAATATTTGTATTCTTAAAATAATTATTTAATTCAGAAAAATTGGTAACTGCCAACAAGGAATGTTTTAAAATAAAGTTAAGCAAATTAAAACTAAAACAATATACTATCTTAAAAAAATTCAACAAAAATTATTTTCTCATTTGTATATAAATATAAACCATTTATTTGTGTCTTTAAACACTGTTTATGAATTTAGTGTATTAAAATATAATCTTTTGAAAACAAACTGGGAAAAAGAACTCCTCTAGAGAACTGCACTTCATTCAATTCTGATATCGATAGTTTCGGCACTATGCAACACTGACACTCCCAGCATTCCATTTACGTCAATAGCAGGCTTACTTTATCTTTTCCAATTGTCATTCCCTTTCGCTTTACTCAAATTTTTTAAATTGATTAAATTTTACGAGGCTATGAAAATATAGACCTATCGATGACCGATGGTATGGCGGCGTAGCTGCCGTGAGAAGATATCGCTGCCGAACCTATCGATAGCTGTGTGTTTCTACGTATATTTTTGGCATACTTGCTTTATAAATCATTTCAATTCGGTTGCTTGACGTTCACTGTATCTGCTCAGCACACAGGACTTACTCGAATAACTTTCGCAATAGATATATCAAAATTCTCCGTGTGGTTTCTCCCTGGATGCAACACTAAATTGGCCTGTGTTTTCACATTTTTTATGACGTTAAAATTCTCAGTGCAAGACTAAAACTACCATTAGCAACGACAAGCAGCATAGAAAATCATCACCACCAAATAAGTAAATCAGCAACAACAACAACACGTCGCAGAGGCAGAAGCTTCAAAAAATTAACAGGAAAATTGGACAAACTTCTCTCGAGATTGGAAGTGAGTACACATTTGATCGCAGGAAATATAGACATTCGATCGGGGAAGGAACAAGCTGTTCAACCGGAGCAGAAGCAGCGGTAGAGGAAAGAAAGGCGGAAATCAGAAACAGCTTCCTCATTTTTCGTTTGCCTTTTGGCGCTTCCGCAAAAGCACAAGCACAACATCTCTTTAGTGCTGCCTGTTTAAATTGCTTCTTGACAAATCGATAAGTGCCGAGCGTCGGAAACATAGCATCCATTGCGTATGGACTTGATTGTGTGTGTGTGTGTAGGCCAGGTTCCAAGTACTTGAACCGCGAGAATATTAATGTTTAAACTTTAAACACTTGTTACCTTGAGCAATACGTGTTGTGTTTATTATCATTGCCGTCGCTTTTTTCTTGTTTTTTGGGTTGAGGGAGGTTCATTCAATCAACCGAACCAACACCAGCGCACTTGCATAAACAATTTCCTTGTGTATGTGTGTGTTGCCTGCGCTTGTGTTTACCTCCTTTGTGTTTTATGCATATTTAGTTAATGCTTGCGTGAATTCGGTCGTGTCCGCCGTGTAAATACATTTTAATTTTCGCAATTTCGATTAAAATATGGTAGCTCTGCCTGTGTGTGGGAACGCTGGCACGTACACCAACAAAGGGCTGACAGAGTTGCCAACTGAAGTTATATTTGCCAATGTTTTGTTGATCATTAAAGCCAGCTGATTTCTATAAATAATTTTGTAAACAAGGCGCGAAGGAAAAAATTTTTCGATTATTTATAAGTTTAAGATAAGCTATCAACGATAACCATAGTTGGCGTAAACACAATATTAAGCAACACGCACCCAAAGACAAACACCCACACACAAGCTCTAAATAAAACAGTAAACAAGCGCCGGCACAGTGGCTGCCAGAATATTAGCTGCAAATAGTTAATTTAACTGGCTCGTCTGAATTCTAAAATTACTCTGGCAAGTACAGAAACAAAAGTCAATAGAATAAGGTAAAGATAAAAAATCGGTATGTAAAAAATAAAATCCACGATTGACACAAGTGGACGCCAACACAGAGTCGGCCAAGTTAATAGATACGCCCGTGAACCCGATGACGATCATCGGCGCCGCCGACTGGCTTATTGCGTTTTGCATAAATTCCCTCTTTCGAGTTTCGTGTTATTTCACACGTTTGCCCGTTCTGCTTGTTTCAGTTGATAACAGCACCTCTAGACGCCGTAAATTGTTTAACGAGTGATTTTTTGATACGAGTAATGAACTGATATTGTATATACTTAACAGCCAGAACTTGCGTTCACATTGACCTGAGTCGAAATTCATATGTACAGATGCCCGGCGATACCACTTATTTGGGTCTCTTTTCGCTCTTTTGCAATTTCGAGCTGAGTCATTTTGTTTTTAAATTTTTGTATGCCGCGACCACAACGCAAAAAATAGACATCGTTCGTATAAACAAAAAAAAAACGGTGCGCAAAAAGAAAAGAGAAAATGTTCGTGTATTTATAAAAACAAATAGGTATTAGTGCAAATACACTCACCTGTAGTGGTGCGATTTCTGTTTTGTTTATCTCAGACAATTGTCGGCAAACCGGTTTTTTAGAAAAACAACGCAACTGGTCGCCGGTAGAATATATAATCATAACATTTACATACAGTTTGACTTGGTTAAATTAAACTTGAATGAGAAGAGCTTATAACATTATAATTTGTATGGTATTTAGGATGTTCATATTACAAGATTTCTATAGGTTTATTTAAGCAATTCCATTTAAATATAAGTTTGTAATCTCTTTTAAAAAAAGATCTTAAATAATTATAAACTCTTTTCAGAAATGTTATTAAAAGTGCCATCTGTTGACTGGACGGATCAAATCATTTACGTGGTGGACGACGACGAGTCGCTGTCAGATTTCGACGATGAGCCAGATTTCTCGGAATATATGTGGATGGAGAACGAGGAGGAGTTTGACAAGAATGTAAGATTGCCATATTTCCATTTTTTGAAGTAAATTGTTTGATAAATGGTTATGGTTTTAGGAACTGCAACGCCTGGAGGAGGAGGAGATCATGCAAGAGTGCTTCGAGGCCATGATCGAAGACGAGCTGGAAGAGCAAATCAACGATTGGGAAAAGGCCAAGTGAGTTTTGGGCTACCACCTGGTAGTCATTTATGTGTCATTACATTACTAATCGCGTACCGCTTTCCCTACAGAACGGAAGAACAGAACACAGCGCTTTCCGCACTGCCCAAAAGTCAGTGTAATGTGGAAAAGTCTGTTCTGAACCCCATGGCCGATGAGTTCATTCCGCGAAGTCATATTATGGACTTCCCTGCCTCGTAAAGCCAGCTCATTCTTATCCCTGCCCGCCTACCACAGAATCACAAACCATCCCGCCCCATAACACGTGGACCTCATACGCGAAAAAATCCTAAGAAAAAACTGAAGAAAACAAGTTCCGCTAATGAGATTGAGATTGAAATATCCTGACCAAGTTGAGCAGCAAGAGCAGACGGAGGAATTAGCTCGAAACACAGCACACGATTATCTAATTACTAGATACAACAAGAAAAAGCTGGATTAAAACTCAACTCCAAATGCTGGCGACCGAAATGCAAACGAATCGTATTTTACAAAAACCCATTATAAAAACGACAAAATATCACGCAGAAATATATACAAAAAAAAAAAAAAAAAACAAAAAAGTTTAAAAGAAGATAAAAACAACCAACAAAAAACAAACAAAGAATACAAACTAAGAACAGACAAATAACAATTAACAACTATGCCACGTACATCAACCCGTACATTGTAATTAGAGTTAAAACACGAATTGTATGCCGAGGAATGCAGAGCCGGAGCCCCTGATATTTCGAAACCAAACGCGAAATGTTACCGAAACTAATGCAGACGCAGGCGCTTGCTGAAGCTAGTGAAAGAAAACTTTGGTATTAACGTACAAAACGAAAACAAATGACTTTTTACAAGCGATTTCTATCGAATTATAAACTATAACTGCAACTGAACTACGCCAATTTTCCAGCTAAAGCAACAAACAAGACTCGAGATTGTGTTAGAAAAAAGAGAAACCTATAATCGAACAGAAGGTTAAATTGAAATTGTATTCAAAGACTTTAATTGTAATTTAAATCGTATTTAATTTAGCGTCGTCCCGCCCCACTGTCTACACTCGTTTTAAGTTGGGTTTTGTGGAATAGTCTTTTCCATCTTTGTATTTTAAATCATTTTGCACCATTGTTAACTCGTTGTACGTTCTACGCCTAAGTAACAAAAAGCGCTAGTTGACTAACACCATCCCCCTTCTGACTCTCGCAATACTCGTAATTTACAAATATAGTTTAGTCTACTAAAACGAATTGAGATACTAATGTTTAACGCCTCCCTATACAATACAAAGAGCATGCAAAATATGTACATTTAGTCTTAATTAAAAACTTAACGAAAGAAAAAACCAACACCAATTCTGCAATAACTTGTTAGTTCTCTAATTTTAAGGGAAGAAACTTATTTGTTTTGAATGCACAAAGACCCCTCTCCTAACCCGATTTTGTTAACTTTAAAAATTTCGAAATTCGGCACATGTAGACGAAGGTGATTTAATATATTTTGCAATCAGCTTAGATTTAGTAACTTAAGACAGCATTAAAAGATCTACTACATTACTTACGTTACGTGTGATATAAAGATAAAAACAAACAAAAAAAATATCAAAAACGATTTTAAAAATCTCAATAAAAAGAAGTATTATAGCATAAACTTGTGGTTTTTATAAGGGTTCTGAAGGGTTTCAGAATTAAGAAAAATAATTCAAATTTAGGGTGTGCCTATATTATAAATAGTAAATATACATATATATTTTGTAAAGAGCAAGAAAGGAGGCCAACTTCGGCACACCGAATTTTATATACCCTTGCAGATAGAACTTCGAATTTAATACAATGTAAATTATATATATTTATGTTAAAAAAAAACAATTATGTAATGCCTGCTTTCATTTCATTCACCTATACATATTATAATTACACTTACATTCACAGGATCATCATAAGGATCGTTTGTATGGCAGCTATATGACATATTCGTCCGATTTTCATAAAATTGTACACAAAATTTTAGAATAATATAAATTGGCTATATCTAAAATTTGATAAAATTCTGTTGAAAACGGAAAATGTTATAATTTTTTTTTGCAAAAATTTCCGATTATTCCTATGGCAGCCATATGATATAGTCGTCCGATCCAACGCGTTCCGAGAGAGTATACAGAAGACTAACTACAAAGTTTCTTTCAGCTTCAAAACTGAGAGACTAGGACATGGCTATATCGACTTGGCTGTTGATGCTGATCAGGATTATATATGACTCCTTCACTGCGTTGCAAACTTCAGACTGAAATTATAATACCCTGCAAGGGTATAAAAATATATGGTAATATAAGAAGCAAATTATTTGGTACTATAGTTTTGCCCCCTAGTGTAACCATTAAATATAAGAGTACCAATCTGGCAACGCTGCTCAGCTGTACAAACAGCTGAGTCTCAGCTGCACCGCCGCTCTGTTATATCAGAGGGAAAACGTGGGTTCTCAATAGTTTATTTTCGCAAATTTTGTGAATTAAAACCGTGTTAGTTTCCCCATAGCTCAAGGAGCCATGCAGAACTGTAGACGCTGCATCAGCCTGCTGGGCCGGCGACCGTGCCTTGGGACCGTGTCGGACATGCGACGGCTGCACCGGGCGGCGACACTGCTCTCCCGGAAGAAACAGGATGACAACGTGAACGTGTCCGCGCTTTTCAAGCCGGTGCAGGTCCAGGCCAATGCCGACGCCGAGGACGTGGGCTCCGAGCTGGTGGGCAAGCTGGAGAAGTCGGAGCTGCTGAAGATACTCAACAAGTTTACGCAGCGCCGCGAAATCAAGTCGCTGTGTAGCGAGAACGGACTGGACGGTAAGGAATTACCTTTTTCTGGCTGACACTGCGTCGTCTCAACTTGCCTTTGTTATCCCATTTCACAGCCTATCTGCAGCAGCAGGCTTTTGGCTCGTTCCGACGCTATTGCATAGAGGCGGATAACCTGCCCGTGGATCTGCACATCGTCTTTAGCGATATTACTCAGGGAGCGGGACACATTGACGACATATTCCCCTACTTCCTGCGACACGCAAAGACCGTGTTTCCCCACCTGGACTGCATGGATGATCTGAAGAAGATCTCGGACCTGCGCCAGCCCGCCAACTGGTACACCAATGCCCGTGCCATCACCCGTAAGATCGTCTTTCATGCTGGACCCACTAATTCCGGGAAGACCTACCACGCCATGGAGCGATTCTTGACGGCCAGCTCTGGCGTCTACTGCGGACCCCTTAAACTACTGGCCACCGAGGTGTACAATAAGGCTAACGAACGCGGCACTCCTTGCGATCTGGTCACCGGCGAGGAGCGGAAATTCGGTATCGGCGAGGGCTCGCCCGCTAACCATGTGGCGTGCACCGTGGAAATGACATCGGTCAACACTCCTTGTAAGTCCATTTATCCGGCCTGTCCAGGGATGTTTCCATTAAAACTTATTCTTTTTTTACAGATGAGGTGGCTGTTATTGATGAGATCCAACAGATCCGTGACCCGCAGCGGGGCTGGGCTTGGACGCGGGCATTCCTCGGTCTTATCGCTGACGAGGTGCACGTCTGTGGGGAGGCTGGCTCCCTAGAGCTGCTGGAAAAGATATGTGAAACTACCGGGGAGACAGTAGAAGTAAGGCGCTACGAACGTCTAACGGAGCTGACGGTAGAGACCTCGGCTCTGGGTTCGTTGGATAACGTCGTACCAGGCGACTGTATAGTGTGCTTTAGTAAACATGATATATACACGGTTTCGCGAGAGATCGAGGCCAGGTAAGTTAAAAATACCAAGTCGTTTGAGACCCATTAGTTTCACGTGTTATTATTCTTTCAGGGGCAAGGAGGTAGCCGTTATATACGGAGGCCTGCCTCCTGGCACCAAACTCGCTCAAGCTGCCAAGTTCAATGATCCAGCGAATAGCTGCAAAGTGATGGTAGCCACAGATGCCATAGGCATGGGCCTAAATCTGTAAGTGAAACACATCGAAACCCTTAACCTATACCTCAGTCCGCTTCAACACGAATTTCTCCTGCAGGAGCATTCGGCGTATCATTTTCTATTCGCTGGTCAAGCCCACGATGAATGAGCGAGGCGAGCGAGAAATCGACACCATTTCGGTGTCGTCGGCCCTTCAGATAGCAGGCAGAGCGGGCCGCTTCCGCACACAGTGGGAGCACGGTTATGTGACCACCTTTAAGCCTGAGGACTTGCAGACTCTGCAGCGCATCTTAGCACAGACTCCAGAGCCGCTTAAGCAGGCCGGCCTGCATCCCACGGCCGATCAAATAGAGTTGTACGCTTACCACCTGCCCAACTCGTCGCTGAGCAACCTAATGGACATATTCGTGAACCTCTGCACTGTGGACGACTCACTCTACTTTATGTGCAACATTGAGGACTTCAAGTTCCTAGCCGAAATGATACAGCATGTTCCGCTGCCTTTACGCGCACGCTACGTGTTCTGCTGTGCCCCCATTAACCGCAAGATGCCTTTCGTGTGCTCCATGTTTCTGAAAATAGCTCGGCAGTACAGCCGCAACGAGCCGATCACATTTGACTTTGTCAAAAGAAATTGCGGCTGGCCGTTCAAGCTGCCGAAGACTATCCTGGATCTGGTCCACCTGGAGGCCGTATTCGATGTGATGGATCTGTATCTATGGTTAAGGTAAGGGTTCCCGCTGAGGACCTAGATCAAGAATATCGAAAACATCGCAAACTTTGATATTCCAAAATATTAAATATTGCTTCTCTTTGCAGCTACCGTTTCATGGATCTCTTCCCCGAAGCGGCGCATGTAAGAGAGGCTCAGAAGGAACTGGACGAGATCATACAGCAGGGCGTCTTCCAAATAACTCGCTTGCTCAAAAACACCGAGGCCAGCCAGGAGGGCGGAGATGTGCCAAGCTACACAGTGCGCCGCGCGGTCACCTATGTTAAGGAGCCACGTTTACCCAGCTCATCGCGAGGTCGGCTAACCGAGCGACTGCTGGCCCAGGGTCTCCTCACGCCGGGCATGCTAAGTGAGCTGCGTAAGGAGTGGGACGCACAATCTATTCCCAGTTCCAGCTCAAAGGACACTCAAGAGCCAACCACGGATAGTGATGACGAGGACAACTACTCAGGAAATGCAAGAAAGGTGAGGCGAAAACGTAGAAAATAGAGTAGTCTCCCACTGCTAAGATTAAGGACGTAGTGATAGGCTGTAAAGGTCGATTGTTTTATATAATATTGGTTTATTCTTTAAGTGGCAATTATTATGTAATATTAAAATTAATATTTTGATAATCAACAATGACAATTGAATTGTTTTTTAAATTGAAGAGTAGAAATATGCAATCTGTTTCACAAAAAATAATCACTTTGTTCGCTTTCAATTTGTATGGAGGGAGGAGAGTCTACTCAGAAGAGAGTCTGAAATACTTGACATTAAGTCCGCACTTTGGGGCTACCGCTTAAGTTTTGGAACTGTGTAATACTGTCTCGTTTAGTGCCTTCGATTAGTGGATTAGTCACCCACCAGTCGCTCCATCCAAAGTGGGATTGTAAGTAGATTTAGGCTTATATATCATCATCATCGCATTTGTTGTAACAACGAACGAACGAACACACACATTATTCGACACTCAAAACATACAGATTTGTTAAAAGATATAAATACTATGCATTATAAAATAGTACACATCCATATGTTGTACGTAAAAATTAATATTAAGTTCCTTGCTGCGCGACGATGAGCATTGCAATGTGGCTTAATACGAGTAGTTCTCTTCTTGACGTTTTGGGTTCTTTGATTTAACTTGAATTAAAAAATAAATTAGTTCCGATATTTATTAAAGCTTTTCATTTCTCGTGTATAAGTTATACTTATGTATGCATAAACACCGTCCCGAGCGACTCTCTAGCGTCTCTTCAAGCCAACTCCAAAATTTTCCGACCCAACTGGGCTCTAGTAAAATCCGTCCACCTACAAATGTATCTTCCCCCCCTTTTATTTAAGGGAGTCTAACTGTATCTTTATCAACTTTAGCTGCTCCTCAACTGCCCTTCGGTTGTACAATAGATCTTTGTGCGTTTGAATTCTAAGGTACCTCGATATTTATGTATCTTTCTCCCCCTGCTCTGGGACATGCTGATGTAGGGTATAATGTATGCAATGGCTCTTGCTCACAAATCACAAGGTAATTAGTTATGTTAGTTTGCAGGTATGATGTCTATATGTTAGTATCAACTACAATTGTCCCTATTTATCTTCAATATTCTCTTTGGTTTTTCATATTTTGTTTGGTATTAAAAAAGTGCTAGTCTTAAAAGACATTTTGGGCTTAATATTTGAAGATAAGAATGCAGAAAGGTTTTTAATTACAAAAATTCGACACTCCGTCCGTCGGTTATTCATATATAGTATATTCCTTTTATCACAAACAATCATAAATTTCAAATTTCGAGTAATAAGTTAAGTACTTGGATGCACTTCACCGTGCCATTGCGTATAAAATTTCGATATTCTAGTTTCTCTTTTTGAGTTTTGTGTTTTTTCCACGTCTCCCTCCCTTGAGGAGACGTGGGCCAAATGGTTTCCAAATTACAAATATTTTGTGGCCCAGTTTGGGCCAAATCGAGCAGATGATCCGACCGAACCGAGCCCGAGTCTCGGCCGGTGGGTCTCACCGTGGTTCGGGTGCGTCGCGTACGTCGCCCCTCGTAAAAACAAATCACAAACACTGATCGCTCCAGACAGAGTCCAGACTCGAAGATCTAGACAAAGTCGAGCTCCAGGCCCGGCTCAATATCGACTGCAACCGCATTGTTTGCAGGGAATTGATCGCCGCCTTCGTCGTCGTCCGGATGCGACTCCTTTGATGCCGATTTCTCGCCGGACCGATCCTTGAACGCAGCTAGGCCCAGCTTGCGGAGAGCCTTACTGCTGCGTCCCGAGGACTGGCCCAGCTGCTCGAATCAGGAGTCGACCAGGACGTGCCACCGGGCAAGCATCTCACCCTTAGGCATCTCGCACACGTCCGCCCAATGGGCGACCTCCGCGGATCCGGATGAGTTCAACCCGAGGCTGAACCAACCGACCATCTCGTTCTTCTTCATGTGCCGCTTGGCGTACACAGATATCATCAGCGTGACGTCGTTTAGCTGGAACAGCGCCACCTGAAAGGCGAACGTCTCCTTGAACAGCGGATTGGGCTGGCCCCGTCTCACAGAGGTCTTGGCCCTGGAGATCTCCTGCCCAATACTGCTGACCATCACCATCTTCACATACGTGTCCGGCGCCTTGTTTAGCGACAAGCTACGGAACTGGCTTCCCTTGATGATCTCCACACTCAGACGTCCAGTCACACCGTTGTAGCTCAGGCCGAGAAGCAGCTCCGAGACGCCACCGTGCTGCATGGACGATGTGGATCCGGCGCTCTCCGATCGGGCAAGGCTCAGCAGGTCGCTGGTGGAGCCCAGCACCGAGGAGTTGTTGCGCGGCTCCAGCGGCAACCACAGATTCGTCTCCAGCTCCAGGTCCACGGTGGCGAAGCTCACATAGGCCTCGCCAATAAGCCGCTCCTTCCGCAGCCGCTCACATCCGTACAGGCGGACGCGTAGACCCATGTTGTTCACGTCCTCCGGATTGACGCGGTGCAGCAGGAAGCTTTCCATATACTGTGGATTTTCGCCGCTGCGAATCTTGGTCTTGTGCTTCTGCTTTTTGTTGGGCAACATCAACATGCGCACCTGCGTGTGAGTCGGCTGTCCACTGGCCAGTGGCGGTAAACTCCTCGCCTGCATCACATGCACCGTCATCTTCCGCATCGGTGCATCGTAGAGCAACGATAGCTCCAACTCGATGGGTCCTCGGGGAGCGGACGCGGCCTTCGAATCGCCGCCGACCACTAGAATGTCGTCCGATCGGATGGATCGCAGGTCACTGGTGTCGAAAAGGGGTTCCTGGAGGGAGTGGAAATATATGGATTAGGTCTCACAAGTTTATATCGATTGAATCATTTTTTTATGAGAATCCTCTTGAACTAAAAGGATTCTATATTTATAAACTCTCACTAACTTTAAAACTAAATTATTTATTTAGTTTTCATTTATCTCTGATCTACAATCTTTATATACGATTTCTTTTTGGAGAACTTAATTATTCTCCTAATGATTTTGAGTATTTCTACTGATCTCCAATGATCGCATGCTTCCAATGATTTTTGTAGCAGTAATCTATTACTTCAATTCTTTTTTAGATAAATTAAAGAAACCCTTTATTTTGATTAGAAATAAAGTTATTTTAAAATTCAATATAAACTCCTGCTTTTTGAAGAAGCTAGTAAGTATTCAGAACTATTCAAACCCATAAGATATACACAAAATTAATTAAACAATCAAAATCTTTTAAATAATGATCGGTGGTCTATTAAAAAATTACAATGATTAAAGATTATAGATTAAAAACCAGTTTTAAATGAAGAATAACTCCCTCTCACCCTCTAAGGGATATGTGATTCTGACCGACTAATATAATGGGGGATTCCCAGCTCGATTGGCACTTACGTCATCGTTGTTGTTATTATTGCTGTTGTTGTTGCTGTTGGTGCTGCTGATGGTATTGTTGTTGTTGTTAGTGGCATTCGAGTTGTTGTTGTTGTTATTGATGTTACTGCCGGCCAAAGGCGGCACCATCACCACATTATCCCGTTCCTTGTCAAACTTGGGTGGCCGCACCACCTCGACCCTGTGCTGATACCTCAGTGCCTGGGTCTTGGCCCGATGCTCCGCATACGGATTCCGGAACGATGTGGCCAACGGGTAAGAAGCTGTCAAGATGTCGCCATTAATTTGGTAAACCCATCTACCCCAACGTTGGCCATGCTCACCCTTGCTGTCGCCCGTTGTCAAGATGCCCGTGTGACTGTCAACTGATGCCTCCATGGAGTCATTCGAGCTGCACTCGCTGTGTGACGAGGGAATGCCGACCTTGCCCCTCTCGGCGATGGCCAGCGGGTCACGGGTCACGGTCACACGCTGCAGGTCAGCGCCGGCCTGATGGTAATTGAAACTGTGACCCGTCAGTGGATTCGCCTGACTGAGCCCCATGCCATAGCTGCCACCGGACTTCTCACTGCCACCCAGCTGATGCTGCTGGTGCCAGCGGAGCCGGCGGAGGATGTCCTCCTCGGAATCGGAGCTGGTGTTCTCGTAGCGCCGCTTGCGCGCTGCAAAGAGCAACAGGAAGTTAGTCCCGATCCCGGCCAGAACTCAAATATTACTCACTGATCTTTTGCACACACTTGGCCGCCAAGTGGCGCTCGTCGCAGCAGTTGATGGCATGGCGATAGTGGAAACAGCACTTGCGACTGATGTAGAGGAACAGCAGAAGCAGCAACACCAGAACGCCAAAGAAGGCGCCCAAAAGTGTGGTCACCTCGACAGTGCCTGCCGGAGGAACAAAAACAGGACGAAATGGTAAAGAAAATTAGAACAGGGATGGTGGGGGGGGGTCTAATGGAGAGGCATACCTAATGTAGGAGTGCTATCCAGGCCAGAAGTGGACGTAACAATCATTTTGGCTCATGCGAGGAGTCGTGGCGAGTCCAGCGCACTCTACAAGGACCTCATTGCGCCAGGAGCAGGCGCCAATCGTTTTTGTTTTCACTTCAATATGAAAGCAAAAGCAAAAGCGACAGCCAAAACGAAAGCGAAAGCTCGGGATATGACAGCACAATGGCGCAGGATAACTGAAATCGATTTTTCGCAGGACAATGAATGGGTCCGAGTCGCAGCCAATGAGTAACTCTCTTTTAATTGATAATGCTGGCTATCCACTCCAAAATCCCGATTTTTAACTAGTTTTAATTCTTTTAACACAACCGAAAATTAAGGTTATCACCGAATAGTTTCGAAATTAAATAATAAATAAACTAATTCGGTTTTTTAAAGTCACTTTTGCGGTTTCACGGCGCTGTGTTCGGTAACTGTGAGTAGTACCTCCCGTGTGGAGCGGACAGCGGGCTGCTAAAAAATAATAACGAGGATTGGAAACGGGATTTATATATTTCTACTGCGATCAGAGCAGCTGCCCGTATAGTCGATGGGGAAAACTGCCTCGACTCCCGAACGAGCACTGACGACGAGCTTAATCCCTCCAACCCCAAGTATGGTGTGTACATAAAGCACTCGGAAAAGCTTTGCTCTGACAGATGCATCGCAGTAACAACTGTTGCTTATAATATTTATTTTCTTTTCAAAATGGAACTTAAACTATGTTCTATATTTTTATTCCTAATGTATTGGGGTATTTTATATTCTGCAAAGTTAATTTTTTAAATTTAACTTGACCTTGCTCCAAGTTAAACTAAAAATTTTCTAAAATGGAGACACTAATTACTATTTAAATGGAATATCAAAATAATATTCACCCTATAATGCTATTTTTTAAACCTCTTCAGAACATAAAAAAAAAAGAAAAGAAAATTTATCATAAGTGGTATAATGGTGGTAATGGTATATTATTTAAAATATTTCTTTATAAGGAAAAAACTTCTTATGAATATCACAATTTTTTTAAATTGTTCTTAAGTTTTAAAAAAATGAGTTTCAACATATTTTCATCTTATTTGAGATATGGCCTTTTGTATTGTTTTTCAATTTTATTTATAATTTAATAAAAATCTGTCTACACTTTATGAAAGTAATTTTGTTATTATTAAATTATAATAATCTATGAGTTTTACCATTCGAAATAATAATATTATTGCTAATATTCTTTCCAATCGTTTAAGGACAAGTTTTAATCAAAAAGCAAGCATCAAATGTTGAACGTGTCTTAAATTTTAAAAAAGCCTCGCCAATAAAGTATGACCATAACATTTGCTTCCCATTATTGCCATACCTCAGAATTTTTAAAGTATGTTGACAAGCATCGATATTTTTCTATATCGATGTATTATATCGACAGTGACATTTCGATTTACCCGATAGACGCGAGAGCGGGTATGTTAATTTTACATTATACATCAGAATTCGAAATGTATCGGTGAACGTGTAAGATATCATAAATGGTAAATAAAAATTTCGGAATTCAGAGTAACCAGAAACAAAATATCAACAAATCAAAAAAAAATACCAACGACCCGACACCCGAGAGAGAAGAGAGCGGATATGTTACTAATTTTACATTATACAAGAGAATTCGACCCCAAAAGGCAGAATTCTTTAGCATGTAAACGTGTCAAATAACTATAAAGACGTGTAAGATGTAAAATGTTAAGTAACAGCTGTGGATTTCAGAGTGACCAAATAAAATTTTTCAAATATGTCTAAAAAATCGCATCAGGTATTTTGATATTTTCAACAAAACGAAAAAACAAAACAAAAGTAAAAAAAACAATGGCCAGTTAGTTAGTCTATTTTTGTCGGTTACTTTTTAAACTACTTGCAAAGCTCCTCTAAAACTTTGACGCGAATGCGAAACCGCAACAACGCCCCCGCGCCCAGTCCCCCGAAAACTCGATACAATTCAATAGCCGAGCGTGACGCAAAAGAATTGGAAATTGCCAACGCGAGTGTGCGTGTGTGTGCGGATTTGAGATGCTTTTGGAGCTACGGGCAGTAACGAGCATCAGCTAATTAGCATCGAACGCGCGTAAACAGTGCTTAGTGGGCCGCTCCAGGCTGCTACGGATTTCGGGCTGCAGCAACAGCAACTCCGGTAATTAGCGGTGGAAACTCAGCTCAGTGTGACTCGGGGGAAACCTTGGGAAGCCGCTGCAAGACAGCGAAGCCGATTCGACGACGTCATCTGCAGCCATTTCGCTTTTCATTTTTGCTCCCCAGACACAGCGCACTGGGTTTGGGAACTCGATAGGCGTGTTTCCCACACCCGTGCCGTTGTCGTTGCCTGACCAAACGGAGCATGTGACCGGCCAGGCGGCGGGGTAGGGAGGGCGTAGCCTCCGCACCCATCTCGCACAGCTGGTCCGTGGAGTGCTCTCTGGCCCGGGTCAACAAACCAAGCCAATCGACTCGCTCCTCCGCGCGTGCACTTAGTCATTGATCGCGTCCGGTGACTCCGCCGTGCATGGCGTCTCCATCGCCATTGCCATCCTCGTCTTCGTCTTCGCCTCCGTCCCGTCTTTGATGCTTTGTTTTTATTGGTGTCATTTGAATTTGTTGAATGGAAAAGGTCAATACACAGGCCGTCTCTGGGGTTTCGAGAGTGGAGTAAAACCGGTTAGCGGATGCTTCATTTTGGGTGAACCGACTGCGACTGCCTAGGCTCCTACCACGGGCCTCCCTCCCAGCCAGAGGCAGTTTGCACGCTCATATTCCATTAGCTGTCGCACCGAAAGAAATAGTAATTAAGATCGATTGTATAGGTTTTAGATTAATTTCCAACTTTTCCTATGGATATCATATTATCTAAAAGTAATATTAATTGTGTTCAAAAAGTCTATTATGTCTTGACCAGAATATTATTTATAGAAATAATCTGAAATAGGAATTTAATTTTCCTTTCTTTTATCCTCTTGAAAAACACTTGATATTGAGGTATTCAATGAATATTGTAGCAAACTATCAATGGTTAGAACAAAACATTTTTCTCTTAATCGAATAAATAATGTCCATTATTTCTGCTGGAAGTTTAAGACAAAGTCTTTCGTAAGGTATAAAGATAATTTGATCCATTTTTCCTTTTTGATGATAAATGAATTTTTTGTTCCCGTTTCTGAACCTTAATTTGGAGAATCAAAATATAATCAATGAAATACAAAATTGTTCATAAATAATTACTGGATATTCAACAGATTTATACATATCTCCAGCGAAAAATGTATTATAGATTTTTAGAAATAAAAACGTTCCTTATTTTTGGTTTGATCTATAATATGATCAGTATGTACCCCATATATAAACTCCAAATATATCTAATTTCTCTTAGTGTTCATAAATTTTCCCACCTCACAAGTAACCCATTCTGTGCGGCATGCGCATCGAGAGCCAAGAACTTGGGCCAAAAATGGATTGCCAGTAGCGAGTGTCTTGTTTTGTTTTCTTTTTTTTGGACGGGCTCGGTGGTCTCACCTTGCTGGCAAGATTTCAGGGGCACTAAGCAGCAGCAGCAGTTGGCAGTGAAACTCTGCACCGATGTCAATGCCGCGGTCGTTCCCATTCTGCTCTCAACTGGGAGCGGAGTCACGGACGCGGACCGTAACGTATCTTGAGGTCGTAATTTTACGGGGGCTCTAGTTGCGTGGGCGAGATTAGATTGTTAAAAAGCTACACTGCTTACACTGAGTTTATTTATACACAGATGCATTCATGTTTACTCGGCGCAGTAGTTGTTCCTTTTTTTATGTCATCATTGGACTGGCCCCAGGTTCCTGCGCTGGCCAGGGGCAGCCTTGACTTTTTGCCTTGTTTTTGGGGTTCTTTTATCCTTGAAACGGTCAAGTTTGGGATATACTTACTGTAGAACCCGAAACACCTCTCGTATATTTTTTTATTATTATTAAATCTTTAAACTTCAAACAGATAAAAAGAAATTGTATAAATTTATCATTAAATATTTATGCATAAATGGTTATAAAATTCCATTTGTAGATTTCTCAAGCTTATGCTCCCTCCGGCATTCGTGCATATCGTGGGAATGATATCAGACATTTTTTTCCTCTATCACAAATTGAATTAAACGCCAGATACTGGCATCGCTAGTGTTATTGTTGTTGTTGTTGGCATACATTTCCATTTCTCGTTGATGATGTTTTGCCTTTCGCCTCGTCAAGCGCCGGGCAAAGGCAGAAATTCAATTCACTTTCAACTCGACGAAGTGCCAAGGCCCGGCACTGCCACCTGTGTAACTTTGGCGCTCGTTGGTGTCTGCCGCTATAAATATACGCCTTCACATACACACATATGGTCAAGAGTATAGGAGCACCACAATAAGTAGAATTTGTTTTCCAGAAAGGTTAAAAAAAATATAACATTTTATTTAAAAAGGTTTTGCCCAGAACTTCTTTTCTGCTTTTTTTTATATTCCAAAATTCCCTTAATGTGAAAGTTGAATATATTTTTCTTGAAGATAACCAACAATTTTTATTCATACTTTCTTATAAATAAACATGAATTGCAACTCAAATTCTCAAGTACAAATTCAGCGACAAATTTCAATATCTCCAAGCAAAGTGTTGACCGTAAACTTATTAGGAAAATTAGTACTGATGAAGTTTTATGGCTAGAAACATAGAAATTAATATTAATAAGAGTTTTTAATGAGATTTAAACGTGTCCACAATTTTGTGGAATATATCAGGGGACTAGACCTTTTAATAAGCTTATTTTAGAAATATTAAAATGTAATTTTTAAAATAGCAAGATAAAGATTCCTAGAGTTTTGACCACTTGTGTGCGGATATCTTATGTACGGATGTTTGGTGTCTTATATCTATGCGAAACTAGTTGAAGTTAATTGCCAAACGAGCTGTTGCTGATTTGCATTTCCCCGCTCGCTGGAAGAGAGCCCCCTCCTCGGCAAAGTCAGTTCAAAGATATAATGAAAACTCTTGCTTTGAGTCATTAAAAAAGACAAACAAAAGCTTAAATTAATTGAAAAGAGTATCTTTTGGGTCGAGTGGGCTGGATAATCCTACATTTAACTTGATTTCGGCCCACAATCATCTTGAATCTTGTATCTCTGTATCTGCAAGTAACGAGCTTGGCAAAGACCAAGCGGCGCTTAGCTTTCCTTGGGAACTGCTTCCTTTTTTCTTCTTATTTCTCTTTGGTGAATTCAATCGGACAGCTGGGAAAAGCTAAAGCCAAGCTGAGAACATCGAGATAATGCGATGCATATGTACATTGCCACTGTGGCCAGCACTTTGTTCCTGCATAATTGCTGCAAGCGAAGCGTTAAACTGTGGCAGCGCTCTGTTAATTTTCCTGAAAGACGCACGCTCGTGGTGTTTTCGTATCATAAAACTCAAAGATTGATATATGTACATTTGTATGTATATATGTATGTACATATGTTTAAGAGTATATAAGTGGCAATTACACTGTCGTAAATGGGATACAAAACATTAAAGACAAAACAGGCATTCAACTTTTCTTACGACTCTCTTGATTACATGCAAATGTTTTCAACTTTCCCAAAGAATTAATGAATGAGAAACTTAAAGGGAAAATGTATTTAAACGGCCTACAACTGTGACCTTTACACTGTGCAAAAATATTGCTAGCAATTCAGAGACTATAGGTTTTATTTTCTTATTCATTCATTGCTTTAACGAAGTCCATTTAATTTTGTATTGATCATAATCCAATTGAGAGATATCGTGCTCACCGCAAATGTCTTATTTGGGAGGAGTTCTACAGTATCTGTTTTAAGAAAACTTGTAAATGCTTTTCAAAGTATCTATAATATGCGGCAAATTTCTTATATAACACATTAAACACTTTTTAAGGGAAGTTTCTTAAAGACCAAACTTATAAGACTAACTTTATTTGCTCTCTTATAAAAACGTTTATCTTACTACAAATAATTATGCAATATATTTAAATAATAGCAGATATAATCGGCTTTTTATTATCTTTGTATGTGCCAATAGATTAACCGTGTACAAGTCGTAATGTTCTTAAAACTAGAGGTTAAAGGTTCTCATCTCTGCAAAATTTTAGTCCACGTCAGTCCTGGCAATTCCTGTGCACAGTCAGGCAATCCTTAGTTACCGCTCACACTTTTTGAACTCCTTGATTACCAAGCAATCCTCCTTGACCGCGCACAAACTAAACTAAACATGTGTAACATATACACGTACATACATATATCTATATATATTTACCTATGCAAAACATAATGTTTGCTTGGGTAAAGGCATTTGTCTATAAAACAATTGTTTACTTTTCGTCAATAAAATGAAAAGAATGGCTGTGCAGTGCCACGGCTACGAGAGAGCGGTGAGACTGCCACCACCGCAGGGGCAGGGCTTGCAGAGGAGGAGTGAAAACGGACAGGTGTTTTCCGGCTTTGCACATGTAACTTGATGTTTTCTGCTGCCTGCCTGCTCCCAGTAGAGCCAATTCCCTGTCCAGTGCCCAGTCATTCTTCGTTCACTCCCCTGACGACTGCACAAGAAGGTGCAGTTCAAACATCTTTCCCGGCTTCCCTGGCATTTCTGTGTATGTGCTTTTTGTGTGCTTCATGGTAGAGTGCCTGCTGAATCGTAGAAACGGAAAAACGACGTTAAATAATAAGTTCTTTGTCTTGTTGCCATTACAGAAGCGACGTGAGCGTTTTGCGTGAAGAAATGACGACCACAAGTCAAATGGAGATGAATCCAAATGGAGGAAGCACCGGAGAAGGCTTGGAATCCACTGGCGAAGAGGTGGCGAACTTGACGCCAGGCAATGTCGCTGTCGTCCAAAAGAATGTCGCCGGCGTCGTGGGCGCTGCCAGCACACAGAGAGGTGAGCACACAGAGAAGGATCCTTGGTGTAGCCAGGAAGTGGTGTGGAAAGGGTCTAAACGCTGCTAATTCGACACTGCCATACGTGCCACTGTTCCACACGCGATGTGACGCCTACAGAAACACCTCGTTCATGTGGGACTCCTCTTAACAGATTGATCTCTTGATTGATGGTCCGGGGGCCAGGCGGATATGATCCATTTCTTTGATGAATACTAAGCTCTACGTTGAGCATGAAACGGTTTATAAATAGAGCTGACCACACAGTAAATCATCTCTGATTATCTTATATTAATGCGACTTTCGCTTCCGCTTTCTTATTCAAATGGTGGCTATTTATATCTAAAGAGATATATTTACTTCCCTGACTTAAGAGTCCCATGGATACCACGAGGATCCACTTAAGTGTGTTCTTTAATTTATATAATTTCAAATGAAAACCCAAACCTTCTCTAAAATTGGTTCTATAATGGAATTTAGGTTTTCCAAACACTTTTTTTTTGGCTAAACGGGAAGCTTTTTCTCTAAATAGGCCTGTGTTCACGGTCACTGATTGATGTAATTGCGGCTTTTTGGTTGTTATGAAATCTATACACGCGATCTGGCATTGAAATTCGATACTTGGGTGATGTGAACGCGATTTAAATTTGGAACAATGTACTAAACGGTTTATAGACGTAAGAGTGGCGCAAATATATCTAGTATTGGTATTATTCGACTTCCTTAATGGCCATTTGTTAGGTTTCTGAAAAAATAACGTCAATAGTTAATCAACACAATGATCGTTATTTTAAATGGTTGACTTCTGAACTTGAAACTCCGAAACCTAAACGGAAAGTAATTACTTTACAAGCCACCTAACGTAAATCATTTCATATTTGTATAATTTATTATTAGAAATACTTCCTTTTTTAAGGGGAATCTTTGTTCCTTTCAATTTGTTGGGAGAATTGTCTTGAATTCAAAAAGACTTCCAAATTCGCATCAAATGAATTTATTCAAACATATTTTAAAACCATTTTGACTTGAGGAATAAGAAAAGACAACTGAAAGGAAAAACCCCAATAAGATATCCAGGGCACTGGAAGAACCCTTGACCACAGCACATCAACCACCGTCATGATCGACTTCCGTTTATAATTCAATGTTGGGCTATTTATAGCCAGCCCTTGGCATCCCTGCTGATAATATGAATTGAAGCGAAGCCATGCCACTCCTCCAAGAGCAACAACCACCACCACCGTCTGTCCTTATGCCGATCTGTGCTAATTTTAACCAAGTGTCCCTGGGGGAAACATGGAATGCCATCGAGAGTCCGCTTCAGAGCCCTCTGTGTACAGAGCAAACTGAGACTTCCACGAGCAAGCACTCTCAAGTAAACTCTTTCTCCGATTTCCCTTGCAAACTTCAAATAGTTTTGGGTAAACTTATCTGTCGGGAAATGGAAATCGTCGCATAGACACAGCCGTTTTTCGCCCAAAGCCAAATATTTACTTGGCAGAAACCAAAACAAATCCGACAACTGAGTAACCAATGCGAATGAGCGAGCCGAGCCGCAGAAACTCGTTTTGAGACCGCGGCTCCCGCGACATTTTTGTGGGCTGAAATAACTTGGCAAAGTCTCGAGTCGACTCGACTTGACTTGAATCCAATGCGATTCGATCGCTCAACGTGAGTCACTTGCGTTTTTGCAATGCCAGGCTCCAGTTCGTCCAAGTTGGAAATGGAGAGCTGTAAGGTCGATTAATTTCTAAATCCGAGTGTCATCTAACATTCTAACATTCCCATTCCCCTTTTCTTTCAGCCTTGGATGCCACCAAGCGCAAGAAACTCAAGTCACGCAGCGGAGCAGCCTCCTCGACAGCTTCCACAACCGAAACGCCAGCAGCTGTGAGTCAGATTAACCGATCCGGCCTCAGCTACTCCAAGGATCATTTGGATGCCTGGCTGGAGAACTGTTTACGCGACGCCACCAATGCCCAATTGTCGTCATCGTCCGAGTTCTTGGACTTTATACCACCCACAGCCAACGTTCACAAGCAAATGTTTGTGAGTCAGCAGCAACAGCAGCAGCAACAACTACAGCAGCAACAGCAGCAGCTGCAGCAGCAACTGCAGCAACAACAACAGCAGCAACAGCAAGTTCCCATGCGTTCACAGCCATATGGAATGGGCACGGGCACGCCCTTCAGCCTGGGTATACAGCGCGTGAGTAGGAGCCATTAGGGAAAGCGTATTTCGCAAGCCTTGCCCAGCAATCTGACCCTCCCTTCTCTACAAAATAGCATTCGCGCTCGCTGAGCCATCGATATCCGATGCTCTTTCCACCCCAAAACCTCAACGGTTACGGCATGGGTATGGGCTATGGCACCGACGGTGGCCAGGAGTTCGCCAGCCTGCCACCTTTGGTCAACATGATGGGCGCCGGGGCAGGTGGCCCTGGCTCCGAGCACGAGCCCAATTCCACGGACGTGTTAGATGGCAGCGGAAGCAATCCTAATTTCAGCCGAGGGTGAGTAAGAGAAGTCTATCTACGTTGTAAGCCATCTAATAGCCGCGTTTACCGCTCTCTAATTGCAGGTTTCGATTCAGCGATCCCTGCCTGCTGAACCCCTCGGACTCCAATGACTCCAAGTTGAGTGGACAGAACACGCCGGACTGCCGTAATGGCAATGCCAGCGGCGGCAGTGGCTGCGATTTGGCGCAGCAGAACAAGTTCTTTGCGGCGTTAATGGAGCAAATAAACATATTGCATGACACCAACTCCAAGATATGTAGGAATTTGCATGAAACGAAAGGTTTGTCCCGAATCCCCAGCTATGTACATACTTCTCTGCTCCAGTTTTATCTTTGCTATGAATGGCTATAGTTCTCCCTTTCTCTTGTATTGTATTTATTTGTATTTATTGCTATTACCAATTAATTTAGTCTCTTTGTTGTCCACTCTTGCCCTTCTTTCTATGTACTCTATATTGCACTCGTAAACACAACAAATCACAGTCGATATCGAAGCTTTAAAGCACCCAGCAGCAACAGCTGCCAGCGGCCAGGCCTGGGCGGTACCTGGCATGGGGGGTATGCGGCACCGTAGAGATAGCTTGAGCGGATTAAGCACACAAAGTCAACCCATGGTGTTTGGCAGCGGATTGGGCGGGACGCACAGCCCGGCGCCCACCTTCCATTCAGGTACAACACTTATATGCGGCACCTCCACCTCCGATCAATGCGGGCTTGGCAGGTCAATGTTAATCGTTCCGTTTCCAATCAATCTAATTTCTTCCAGGCGCCTACACTCCTGGCATGATGACTGACGTGGTGCGAGAGGTCAAGGAGGCGGCGCGCGTACGTGAGGATGCCATGTTAAGTCGGTAAGGAGTAAGGCTCTACCAATATCCACTGAAATAATTAATATCCTTTCTTTGCCCAGTGTCAAATCGATGGTCGAAGAACGGCAGTGGACCTTAAACGAGGGCAATGTACGAATTCTACGCGATATTGATGATTTGAAGGTAAGTAAGGTTTATCATGTCCATCTCTACAGATTCAATTAATATATTGTTGTCACCCGCTAGTCCCACGTGATGCAGCTGCGACTGGAGAGAAAGGAGACAAACAAGCGGCTGTCACATCTGGAGGCTGAGAACAAATACCTGCGCCAGGCCCTGGCCGGTTGCTATAACCAGCGGCAAACATCGTCGTATCGTGACACTATCTATGAGAACGATCGGGCGCGTGGGTCGCGAAAGCCATTCCCGAATGGTGGGGGAGTGCAGGGACCACGGCGAGCGCAGTCTTTCAACCTGCACTACGGAACATTGCACCAGACGCCAACGCAAGCCACGCACTCGCTGGAGGAGGATGACGAGGTGGAGGAGGAGGAGCAACTGGATCAGGCAGAGCTGGAAAGTGAAGTGCAATCGGTGGCCACCAAGCGGCTGTCCTGTTCGAGCAACGAGTCCCGCAGCAATGGCCTGCATACGCCCGCATCAACGCTTCCGCAACCACAGCAAACGGTCCGAAGTCCGCCCACTTTTGCCCTGATTTCGGATCAGGTCAATCCGGGTCTGCCTCCGCCATTGTTGCCGCGCAAGAAGGAGCACGCTCAGCTCAAGCGGGAGCTCAGCGAAGCGGCCGCCGCACGTAAGGAGGCAAATCAGCGTATAATTGCGTGGGTGTAGTCTATGCTCTGTTCTATATATTCTCAAACTAACCAAGCACCGTTTAAGCTCATCGCATGCATGGCAACAATCACTCAACCTAACACATTCATTAATTATAATCCGGTGACTAATCTCAAATCACTTACGTATTCTGCATTTTTTATTCTTCTCTTTCGACGTACACTTGTACTGTACTGACAATACTGTAGCCTTGAAAAATTGGTTAAAGACCTAAGCGCCCAGGTGGTGGCCAGCCAATCATCCGACTTGAAACCTAACGCGTCTAGCACAGCTCCAGCTCCAATTGCGGCGTCGGTCCTGGCATCGAAATTCAGCGTGGCGGACGGAGGACCGTTTACAGACTTATAGTTTTAGCTATCCGCCCCCGACTCGAAGAAGCGACGGCAGACTGTGCGCGTCACTAACTTATAGCAGCAGCAGGATCGCCGACACTACTACACCTTTCGTTTCAAAATTATTTATAACTCATTAACCTGCGCATAACTTGTTTAGCTTAGAACATGCTTCTAAAAAACTAAATTTGACATCCAAAACAGCGAGTTCATTATTATTCTGTGTGTGTTCTTCACTGACTCACACAAACAGAATACTATATTTATTGCCTACACTTTTGTTGTTACTAAAAATCTAAAAAAAAAACGAGTTTGACCTCGTATTATGTAATAACGAATTGATTATGTATCAGAAAGAGTACAACGATTGGCAGATGACGACTTCTGAGAGTATTTAAACTAAGAAAACGTGTACCTATTGAAATGAACAAAAATCAAAAGTTAGCATAGAGAGACGATATTTAATCGAGAATGATCAGCAACCACTGAGATAAAAGTGGTCAAAGAATTGTCTTAGATTGTATAGATTGTAAACCTTATATTTGTTAAGTGCCATTTGATTAAAGAGTAAAATACATTTTTATCTATTTAATTTACTTTTAGCTGAAGACTTTGTCATTTCTGCATTTCTGGGATTACCATATTATCCTGTTTATAGAGTTATCTTGATATCCTGCTGTAGCTGAAGATCATTGTCAAAGTTCGGGATAGAAATTTTTACTTAAAGTTCATTGTATCCATCCATTTGAAGGATCCCTTATTTAAGGCATTCCGTCTCTGCATTATTACAATCCTCTTTTGGAACCAATTTTTATTATTCAAAGAACAACACTTTTCCGTCCCAATTTCTAGTGTCCTTCATACATATATTACATACATATATGCGCATTTATTTAAAACATTCCGTCACATAAACACTCATACGTAGGTGTCGAAATTAAAAACTAAAACTGTTCCACTCCTTGTTTTCCAACCCAAAGTGTCAATCGATGATGGATCAATCCAACAGCGTCCCATTTGCCGGTGGCAAAGTCAGTACCAAACCTTACAACGCATCTACAACTGGGAATTGTATAGACATATATATATATAGTATTAAGTAAGATTCAAACATGTTGCAGTGAATGTGATTAAATTGAAATGTAATGTGTCGATTAGAGAGACTAATTCTACATACATTGTGCCGCCATGTCATTACTGTCGATGCCCAGCATGGCCAACTCGTCCAGTTCTGCCTGGCGACGCAGCTTCTCACTGCCTGAAGGTGATGACGGTGGCTCTGGTATATCTGAGACATCAGCTTCCTTCACAGAAATGGTCATACTCGTTGTCTCCTCGATGACCACCGGTACGGGAGAGCATGGCATCGGTATGTCCTCCGCTTCCACCAACTGCTTGAGGTCTGTTGATGCTACGGCAGACTTGGCGCCGTTCAGTTTCTGTGTCTCCGCTGTGTCCTCATTAGATATCGTTGGTGAAATGACAGCTTTCGAGGCTTCTGCCTCGTCGATGGTGACGAGATGGATCCCCTGCTTGGCCAAGTCTTGAAGGTTATGTTCACTGAGCACTGGTTCGTCCTCGACGATGGTGGTGATAGTTTGAGGCACAATTTGCTGCTGGCTGCTCTCATCCGCTGCCTCCTGTGCTGCTCCCTCGCTGGGGAATATGATGTCAAGGGCTGCGGCCAGGTCCTTGGGCAGTTCTCCGTCCCGCGGTTGTTCCGCGGCATCCAGAGGCTGCGGCACCAGATCAGATTCAGCTTCGTCTATGCCCGGAGGCAGAACGTCGTTTTCATCACCTTCATTGTTCTCATTCTCTTCGCCATCTTCTGGGTCACGCACTTCGCCCTCGGATCCTTCTCCCGGCGGCGGTGGAGGCGGACAGGTAGTCATCAAGTGGGCAAATTGGACAGGATCCGGCATTAGCTCATCGTAGTCCACCATCATGCCAGCGTCGGGATGAAAGGGAGGAGCGTTTCCGAATGCATCTTCCATCATGGCCATCTGTATCTGCGCTGCCGTCGGGGCGGGCTGCCTAACGGCTAGCTGATCCGCTGGGTGTCCACCCAACGGTGGTGGGGGCGGCGGAGGAGCTCCCAAAACGCCGTTGGTATACGCAGCCGCAGTAGCAGCATCGTAGCTAGAAGCTGTCACTGGCTGCTTCTTGAATACTGGCATTTTGCCGATGAAGGGGAGCTTCTTGCCTCCTGCCGCGGCATTGGAGCTTGCATTTGCCTTCGCCGCCGCCTTCAGCTTACTTTCGGCATCCTTTTTGTCCCGCTTTACTTCCGGCTTACGTTCGGGCACTGTTCGTGGCCGGAACTCGGAATGCTTAACCACTGGACGCTCCACACGTTCCTCGGAGTGGCTGCGACTTCTTCGACGTCGGCTGTCACGGGAACGACTTCGCCGGCTTCCCCTTAACGGCGATCGAGAGAAGCGCCTTCGACCGCGGCTGCGCGAACGACTGCGTGAGCGACGCCTGTCGCGGTCGCGGTCTCGATCTCGGTCCCGATCCCGACCACGATCTCTGTTGTCCCGATCTCGATCCCGATCCCGCCGATCTCTGTCGAAGCGACCGCGACTATTGCTACGTGAGGGGCTACGCCGCTTAGGACTGCGAGAACGGCGGCTGCCTCCGCGTTTTGACTTTTCTTCAGCCGCAAAGGCTGAATGCGGCATCACCAATTTGTTGTCCTCGGGCTCACGCGGACCCTTGCCCTTCAGCCGTCCCTTGAGCTGTTCTAGCAATTTCTTCTCGCTATCGCTTATTACCGGCTGGACGTTATTCCACTGCTGAATCATGGCCTCGTCCCGTTTCTTTTCGTCCTCCCTTTGTTCTTCGCCAGAAGCCGATGTCCATTTACCACGGGCTGAAGCGTTTATGGAATCCTTAATGATTGGAGGCGGTGGCGGTGCCAGCGACTGCAAAGGCACTTCCGGCTTCGAGGATGTTGCCAATGGGCCTTCCTGCTTTCGCATGCTCACACGTATGGAGGGGGCATTAGTAGCCTGCTTGTCTGCTGGGCCACTCGATGATTCCTCGGTGCGACCTTTCTTTGGTTGCTGCGTCTTCTCGTCCTCCTCCGACGAGCTCTCGGAGGTTGACGATGAGCTGTTGGCATCGTTGTTACTACGCTTGCTCTTTTTCCCATGCTTACGCTTCTTTTTCTTCTTATCACCACTGCGAGAGACGAAGAGAAAATAAATATAATGAGGCACTAAACTATTTTACGAATCGTTACCTCTTCTTCTTGCGTTTCTTGGAGCCCTTCTCGTCGTCCTTCCTGCCCTTCTTGTTCTTGGAGTCATCATTTCCCTTTTGTTGTATCATGGCCCGCTCACGATTTGCGTGACGTTCGGCCTCATAGTTGGGATTCTGATTAATGAAAAGCTGTAAACGAATAAAGATTTTTTTAGTATTTACGAAATAGGAATACAATTGTTCAAGTTAGCTTAATCTACATGGGAAAACCAGTCATGAGGCAGATAAACTCCACAAACAAATTAAGAAAAAGCTTGAAGGACTTCCACACAGGTATGTCTACGTTTAGATTTGTGAGCCATGATGTGTAAATGTTCAGCTGTGGGAACGTCATTATCAATTTATAAAAACTAATTTGAAAAATCGCACTAATTATATTCTTCCTATTCCACCTATAAACAAAAAATACCTCACACACCTCGCGTTTAAGTTTTCTCTGAAATTTAGTTCCCATTTTTTAAGACAACCACAATTCGAAGTAAAAGTCAATATCTTCCCCTTGAACTTCACTTAGGAAATAAGTATTTGGATAACGTAGAACGCAAAGCCTGCGATTCAATAGTAAAATGCCAAAAATTGCAGGTCAAAGGATCTCGTAACCTTACTGCCCAACGACTACTACACATTATTTTAAACTGAACACATTTCTATAGCTTTTAAATCCAGAAAATCCAAATCCAAAACCAAATCAAAGTTACCTCGTATTTATTTGAGTGCAGCCTGGACTTGAGATGAGCCGAGGCACAGTGCAGGTCACCAATCCAAACGCTGCAGAGTTTGCAAAACCAAGCATTGGCCGGCACCAGAAAGTGCATTCCTCGCACAGGGACACGCTTGACCGGCGCATTTTCGTATACGGGGAAGGGATCATGGTCGATGCCCACGTGCCATGGTGTTTCGATGGTCTCACGGTTCATATGCTCCTCGCCATGCAAGTGCTTCAGATAGTCGCGTGCAGATTTCGGGAACACACAGCAGCTCTCGCACCAATGGTGCTCGGGATCGAAAAACACAAAATTGTAGTTTTGTGCCGAAGCTGTTGACTTCGTTTCACCGTGTCGCTGCTTTGACTTCATCGACTTGATGGCTCGGTTCTTAAGACGATTCGTGGGTGTGCCGTCTTTGTCACCGTTCTCCTCGTCGTCGTCATCCTCGCCCTCGGAGGACGATTCAGATGAGCTGCCAGATGGTGTGCTGGATTCTGAGGTGTCCGCAGAACTGTCAGTGGTGGTGTGCGATCGGCTACTCTGCGGATCTTGTGCAGGCTTCGGATGGGGCTTGGGCTTGGGCGGATCATCATCGTGATCCTCGTAGCCAATGATACCGTTCAGCATGTCTATAACATTCTCGATGGTGTCCAGCTTTTTCTTAATTTGCACCTGCAGATAATTTAAAATTAATAATTACAGATTTTGAGTTGCAGTTAAATTCCTCACCTGCAGGCGATCATTTTCCTCGATAAAATTCTTTGTTGTTGGCGACGGCGGCGCTTCGCCGGAGGCCAAATCCTCCCGCTGATCCTTCAGCACTTTCATTTCCTTTTTGAGTATCGTCACCTTCTTCACATAGTTTGAGCGCTGCTTCTTCAGTTCGTCCTTCTGCTTCTCCGCTTCTTGGGCCACGGCTGCCGTTCGTTCGATGGTAGTTATATAGATGGGGGATAGAAAGATGGATTCTGATCAGTAGGCATTCTCGTCAAGAAAATTAAAGTTCAAATTTCATTTACAAATGCGCTCTCGAGTGCATTTCACCGGCTAGTAGTAGTCACACACATGGATGCAGTCGCCGGATGGGTTCGGATCTGACTGCCTCGCTTGTTTGCTTGCTCGGCCTGTCCTCGTTGGGGCTGAAGAGTGCTTGTTGGGGGTGACGACGGCGGGCGTCCACGTTCGACTACGGCTACACAAGAACGGCTAAAATGCGCTTTCTAATCGAAACGGAATGACATTTTTTAAACCCTCGCTCGGGACAGCCGGCATGAGTTCTTGGCTAGTTATGTATATTCTCAGATATACTTTACAATCGAGAGTTTTCATTATTTCTTTTCTGCGCGCTTTTAAGTTACAAGGACAAGTGTGTGTATACATGACAACAGTAATAAAACATAATGTGAGAGGTTTGCATGTGAATTTTCGTAATGACCGCTTTATATTTCATTTCCACACTTACCGTCCTGAGCCGGCAAACCTGCGCCGTCCAGCGCTGAAGTTTTCTGCTCCTCCTCGTGCTGTTTCACCGGAGGCGCCGTATCGAGCGGCTGGAGCTGTTGTGGGGCCAAGACCTCGGGTACTGGAACCGAGGGCGGCACTCCGGCCAGCGTTTGTGGCATCCAGACCTGTTGGCCGTACTCTGCAATGCCAAAGAATTCACTAAGGAGGTTCTTTTTTCTACAGTCCAAAAACCACTCACCGTTCACGCCCCATGCTCCGGTAGGTGGAGGTCCATATCCAGTGCTGAAATCGTTCTGCCCAGGCGGCGGTCCTGGCATCCCGTATCCCTGGCCTGAAAACGCGTTCGGCGGCATTCCGTACTGGTGCCCGTAGACATCGGGCGGAGGTCCGTAGGGTCCCGTGGCATACATTTGTGGAGCCATGACGCCGTAGCCGGGAGCCATTTGTTGCGAAAGTCCACCCTGTTGCGGGGGCATGGGTGGCGAAGCTGGCTTCTTCTTGGGCGACCAACGACCACCGGGACTTATCCCGCGTCCACCTCGTCGGAGCGGCGATATACTGCGAGAGCGGGAGCGTCCGTAGCGTCTGCCTCGACGTGGTGGAGAACGCCGACGGTCAGGAGAGCGGCGTCGATCGCGGTCGAAGCGGCGGCGCGGTGGATACCGGCCATAGTCCGGTGAGTCGTAGCGACCGCGGCGCGGGGGAGAAGGCGAACGCGATACGGAGCGTCTACGCCGCGTGGCCGGCGGCGATGCAGCGTTGCGGGAATCTGGTCGACCGCGGGATGTGGAGCGGCGACGCGATGTGGAGCGTCTCCGGGGGCTAGATTTGCCGCGCTTACCCGCCGCAGCACCCTTGTCCTCACTCTTTTCGTTTCCGCTTTTCTCATCGACGCCGGGTGGACCCGCAGATAGGTCGCCTCCAGCGCCCACACGCCTATCCGTTGGCTGCTTGGGAACCGTTTCTTCGTCCATCTCAAAGCAGTGGATCTGTTCCACAAACTTTAAAGCGCTTAAAGTGAGGAATCAATTATCAACTTGGTTTTTTTTGCAGCAAATTCCGAAATTACGTGTGGATAACGTGAAATAACAAAAACGCCTTCGGATGTCGCTAAAATCCCAAACGCCTTTTTAATAGCGCTGGCAGTAGTTCCGATATATCGATATATCATAAATATCGATATTTAATCCCTTTAATCCGGATTTTCTTATTTTTTGTGTTAATTCGTTATATTTAAATATCAATATACTCTCGCAGGTATTTCGCAAATAATATAATGTTTATTTGCGTATTAAACATCACCAGGTGAATTTATTGAGACTCTGTACATCAGGTGTCAATTTTAGTTAATTATTATTAGTTATTACTTTTTCAACGCGTTCCAAATACAAAAATAAATATATATAATTTTTAAATACATTTAAAGTCTTTGAATCACAGAATATAAAACATTTAAAAGTAAAATAAATTTTGTTATCTGTAAATATAATATATTTATATATGTATTATAACATCACCACACGAATTTATTGTGTGTGCGTACATCTAGTGGCAATTTTATTTAATGTTATTGCTTTTTCTATGCTTTCCATATACAAAACAAAACAAAAAATTTTTTTAAAGTTTTTTTAAAGTTTTGAATCACTGAATATGAAAAATGTAACAGTAAAATACATTTTTTATCTGTAAATATAATATATTTATATGTGTATTATAACATCACCAGACAAATTTATTGTGTCTGAGTACATCTAGTGTCAATTTTATTTAATTTTATTGCTTTTTCAATGCGTTCCAAACACAACAACAATAAAATGCAATTTTTTAATCTCTTTTTTTATCTGATTCTTAGGTCCGTTTTACACGTGACCAAAACGATAATGCCCAGAGGCCGAAAAAATAGCTTTAAAATTGTTTTTCCAGTTAAAACAAATTTTTTACAACAATATCCTTGACTAGGACCAGAGTATATTAATAATCTTGCTAGGGCCCATTAGGGATTCGGATTTAGAAAGTGGTCTAAATACCTTAGGGTTAGTGGTATAATTCCAGTTCCCGAACAAATATAGTGTGTGTTTTTAGTCTACGAAATATATAAAAAGATCCTTTTAAAAATTTAAATAGGCACTTGTTATTTATGTATATATATTTTTCAAAATAGAATACAATTTAAAAATAAAGAACTTATTGATAAATGGAAAGCCAAATGACTCATGGACACAATTTAGTTTTAAAGAGAAAACGTTATCTATTCCTAGCTGTTTCGAGTGTGTTTACTTTGATGCCAATTTATAAAAGCATTTTCTGGTAGTGAGTGCACTTTTGCGTGCTGTTGCAGCGCCTATAAAAGACGTGCAAGGTCCCCCAGCGGACCATCATTGAAGAATAACAAGATGAAACTACAGCTCGCCCTTTGCGCCCTCCTCGTGGTATCCTGTGGACTTGCCCAGGCCTACAGCGGCAACGGTCGTCCAGGCTGCAAGACCGAAGCGGAACTGGAAATTGGGGTTTTCCGCAACGATTGGGACCCCACTGCGTACTGGAAGTGCGAGGCACTTAACGAGGCCGGCGTCGAGGTGCGGTGTCCCAGCGATTCGGCATTCATGGAAAGTATCAAGAACTGTGTTGCCTGGGATGAATGGGAGTGGGAGACCCCCGTTGCTCCGCTAAGCGAGCCCGATGAGTGACCAAACATGAAGCAGGACCAACATGATGTTAACAGCAAAATGTGATTGTTTGTGTTGTTGATACTTGAGAATAAAAAGCTGCGTAAGGCGGTGTTGGTGGCATACGCAGCGAAACCAATGCGAATCGATAGGCATAGGCGAAGCGGAGTAGAGTGGAAGGATTTGGTTTTAGTCTCGCGTGCGCAAGCCCCAGATGGAGGTGCGACGCGTTCCCACAGTCGGACGGGAAACCGAACTGTGTATGAACTTGTTGATCCCCATTTTGGGCATTTGCTTTTCAAGGACCTCCATAGCAGCATCCGACAGCATCCCGAATATGTCCAAGTAGGTAAGTGAGGGCATTCCCTTCAGTTCGCTGGAAGCAAAATATCAATTAAGAAATAATTACCGACCGTCATGGTCGATACCACATTCAACTCACATAAATCTAGTAGCGGGAATAAGATAACAACGCGAAACGGACAAATACTCCAGCATATTGAACTTCATAATTGCCGGAATGGCCTCTGGGGTGAGGCTATTGCAGTCAGATAAATCAAGCTCCAGCAGCTGGGGGCAACGTCTCTGTAAAGTAGCCACATCTAAGGAAGAAAGACAGCATGAGGTCCTGGACACAAGAACTTTGGCCAGCAAACACTCACGAGAATCAAAGAGGACCCGCCGGCAACCGGCAATATTCAGGCGAATGACATTGGGGGATATGTTCGCGACTAGTGCCGTCACAGCATCTGCACTGAGGTCCGTCCACGATATGTTTAAACTGCTCAGATTCGTAAGAGACTCCATCATCACACGCACACTGTTGGCAGTTAGGCCGCTGGCCATGGTCAGATTGACCGCCTCCAGGGATTTATTCTTGGCAATCTCTGCGCAAATGTCGTCATCAAGCTCTGTGCTCTCAAGGCTTACCTTCTTCAACTGGCGGCACTGAGAGAATAACGTGCGCAGCGAACTTTTGCTAATGGCAGCCATGCTCAGGTCAAGATATTGCAATCGAGCCTTGAACGGAGCTGCCGAAGGTGTGAAAGCGGGCTCATGGACCTGCATAAGGAAACGATAAAATAGAAAGCACTTCTAACCGAGATGATCTGCTGATCTGCTTACCGTTGTCTGGGCGAGACGCAGCACCTGGACACCCCGACGCATAATTTGCTCGAGAGCCCCCGGCCGAAACGTGCGCAGACCAAGATCCAGTCGTGGCCACAAGGTCTCGTCACGAGAGCAGCGGTTGAAGCGCTTGCTTACGATGGCCATTCGCAGGAGCGTCTTCTTTGGTAGCCACTTGAAAATACCCAACAGTATCTCATCCGACAGCCGGTCAAAATAGTTAATACCGCTGTTGATGTGGGCACTCATGGAAGGAGTGCGGAACACAAAGAAGCTTTCGGCCGCAGGCACAATTCGGCGGTTTGGCGGCGGTGGCGGTGATGCCGCTGACTTATTTGCCTGCCGTACCTGTGCCAGCCTACTGGTGGAGGGCTGGAAATTCAGCGGAGCCAGCGACTCGCTCTGGTTATTGCATGTTACGGCGGTAAGGGGGTTTCGGAAGCGTTTGCTGGGCGAGTTCGAGTTGCTGCCACCTTCTGGGCCTAGGGCCGTGCGCTTAGCCTGTGCCAGGGCCTGTAGCTTCTCAGCCGACTGCCGAAGAAGCCGCTGTTGAGCGTCCTCGACGATAGTAGTGTTGCCGCTTACGCTGCTGTCCAGTGTAGTGTCGGCCGTTGAGTTAAGACTCAGGCGTTGCTGCTGCTGCAACTGGTGTGCCATGGGCGGAACATTGGTGCTCATCGGGGTCATCTCGTTGGAGTTGTCGTCGCTGGTAGCACTGGCGCTAACGGCCAGCGCCATGGCCGAGAGGGCGGATGAGCTGCTCTCCTCAGAGTCCAGCATGCCGATGCCCATCTCCTCGAGGGCCTCATAGGTGAGTGCCGATGGCGATGATGGGTGCTCGTAGTTGACCGATTTCGTGGCGGAAACAAGAGCGGCCGAAACAGCAGCAGCGGCGGCAGCGCCGTTTTTACTTGTTGAGCGTTTTCTGTAACACGGCGGCAAAGCGGAAGAGAGTGGGGATTAATTGAAAAGTGCATGTCTAGTTGCCGCTTGCATCAGAACTAGGGTCAAGCACCCGGGCCAGCAATTTCAATTAGTTGTCACTTTCTTGACCTCGTTTACTTCACTCCGAGTACACATACTTATGTACATATGTGGAACGTCACAGGCACAATTTCAACTGGTGCGGTCGGAGGATAAACAGAGAGCTAAACCAGTGGAAGAGTCCACTTACCGAGTGACGGGACACAGGTTTTCCATATTTTCAGAGCCTCTGTGTTTGCGTCCGCTCATATTTATATAAATTTCACTAAATTTTCTCCGCCGTACAAAATCTTCGCGCTATTTTTTGCCGGGCAGTGTGACCGCGAAATTATCTTTAAATAATACCAGCCGGCTTTTTTTTACACAAGCACCAAAATACTGGAAGTGGTTCTTTTGATTAAGATGGCAACGCTGTCGCTATTTAGTGTGACCAACTGCCATTAGTCCAGCGAACCGGCCACACTATACTCTCCGAGCGAAACTTTGCGGCAAGGCCCAAGAATTAAATAAATAAATAAATCCGGGTTTTTACAATTCTTGGGACAAACAAGTGACCGTGTCAGCATGCCTACCATTGGGGTAAAACGTGACCTGCTATTCGAGGCGTTGGGAAAGACTTACAGTGAGTTTGAAGAGTCCACGTGTAATCACGTTGTCGCCAAGCAAATGAGACTAATGTTTACCCCTTTGCATCAGCCGATGACGAGTTCCAGGACTTGTGCTTCGCCTTTGGTCTGGAGCTGGATGAAGTGGTAGGATCTGCCATTGTTTAGACTGTGACCATGCAGTAATATATTCTGAATTGTCATTGCAGACCACGGAGAAACAGATGCTGACCAAGGAGCAGGGCGATGTAGCGGCGGCGGCGGATGCTAGCGAGGAAATCATTTACCGAATAGACATCCCAGCCAACAGGTACGATCTGTTGTGCCTGGAGGGCCTGGTCACGGGTCTGCTAGTGTTCCAGGGAAAGTGAGTACTTAATGGAATTCTGATTTGTGGACATGACATTTGACCATTTCACTTCAGGCTCAAGCCACCCAAGTTTGAGTTCGTGGAGCCAGCTAAGCGTCAGGTACTGAAGGTTGACCCTTCGACGGCAAAGATCCGTCCGCACGCGGTGGCTGCCGTGCTCCGGAATGTCACCTTCACGAAGGCCTCGTACAACAGCTTCATTGATCTGCAGGACAAACTGCACCAGAACATCGCCCGCAAGCGCACGCTGGTGGCCATCGGCACCCACGACCTGGACACCATCCAGGGTCCCTTCAGCTACGAAGCTCTGGCGCCTGAGCAGATCAAGTTCATACCGCTCAACCAGAAGCAGGAGATGAACGGCAATCAGCTGATGGACTTTTATTCCACGCACGCACAGCTTAAGCAATACTTGCCTATCATTCGGGACTCGCCGGTGTATCCGGTGATCTACGATGCCAACCGTGTGGTGGTCTCTCTGCCGCCGATCATCAACGGCGACCACTCCAAGATCTCGCTGCAGACCAAGAATGTGTTCATTGAGTGCACGGCCACGGATCTCACCAAAGCCAAAGTGGTGCTGGACACCATCGTGTGCCTGTTTTCCGAGCACTGTGCTCAAAAGTTCACCGTGGAACCGTGCGATGTGTTGCAGCCCGATGGCAGCGTGGTTTCCTATCCTGAGCTGGCAGTGCGTGAGGAGCGGATCTCGGTGAAGCGTGCCAATGCTTACATCGGTATCGAGGAGCCAGCGGCCAAGCTGGCCGATATGCTGACCCGCATGTATTTGGAGGCGAGGGTTGATGGCGGGGACTCGCTGGTGGTTAAAATACCGCCCACGCGACATGATGTCATCCATGCCTGCGACATCTACGAGGACATAGCCATTGCCTTCGGCTACAATAACATAAAGAAGTCCCTGCCGGCCTTCATGCAGATAGCCAAGCAGTTTCCCCTTAACAAACTCACCGAGCAGCTCCGTGAACAAGTGGCCCAGGCAGGATTTACGGAGGCCCTGACATTCACGCTCTGCTCTCGCGATGACATTGGTCGTAAGCTGAACAAGACCATCGAGGCCACTCCGGCCGTCCACATTGGTAATCCGAAGACTCTAGAGTTCCAGGTGGTGCGCACGACCCTATTGCCTGGCCTTCTCAAGACCATAGTAGCCAATCGCAAGATGCCTCTGCCACTAAAGCTCTTCGAGATCAGCGATGTCGTGATAGCGGATGAGAACACGGAAGTGGGGGCCCGCAATGAGCGACGAGTGTGTGCTGTGAATTGCAATAAAACGGCTGGCTTCGAGGTGGTCCATGGACTCCTAGATCGAGTGATGCAGCTGCTATCGGTACCCTGGAAAACGGGCAGCGTGACCAAGGGTTATTACCTCCAGGCAACTGAGGGTGAGTTTTAATTGAGGGTTCACCAGGAAGCACGTTTATATGACTATTTTTCTTACAGATCCTAGCTATTTCCCCGGTCGGTGCGCCAATGTGATGTACGACAACGTGGCCATCGGTAAGATTGGCGTCCTGCATCCCACTGTGCTGCAGGCCTTCGAGCTGACCACGCCTTGTTCGGTGGTAGAGTTCACCATCGAGCCCTTTGTCTGAGATAAAGAATCGATCAAAGAAATGTTAAACATTTTTCAAGAGTTCACAAATAAACTATCACAAATCTATATATAACCATAAAAGGAGCATATTTTGTAGGGGATCAAGCGATTAAGTTGAAGAATTTTGTATTATTTTTTTCTGTAAAAATTTGTTATATTGCCAAGTCTGTATTCAAGCACATAAAGATTTTCCAATACAAATTGTTTCCAAAGATATATATTTTTAATTTACACAAGCGAGGCTAAGCTTGTTGGAACCCCCCCCCCCATAAAGAAAGCAGGAAGTTTTTTTATTTTTTATTTTATGCTGTTTAATGTTCTCTTTTATATTTTTCCTTCAATACAATAATAATAATTATAAGAGTAATAATAATCCGTAGTATACTCATATAGTATGTGTGTGTATTTAATATATGTAGTTTTTTATTTTTCTTTGCATTCATTTTTCCTTTTTTGCTGTTGTGTTTTCATACTTTTCATATTTGAAGTATATATTTTATATTAAATATTTAAATTAATAAATCTATGTGTGTGAATCCTCAATTTCTTTCGCTTGAAAAAAATTCTACATTTATTCAGTATGCTTCTGCTTTTGCCTTTGCGTTTGCTGTTGCTTCTGCCTTTGCTTTCATGTCTCAATTAAGGATGATGGATGCATCATCTTTATATAACGGCTGTGTTGTGTCCTCACCTCAGCTTCTCTTCAGCTATTTCATCTTTTCGTTTGTCAACAAAAACGGTTGTATTGTGTTTTTTGTGTGTTCGAGAATAATAAAGATCCTGTCGGGGGTTTGTTTTTGTGGTTCTTATATAGCAGTTGCGGCGGCTATGTACCTTTTTCGTAATTTCCTTTTATGATATAACTTAAACGAAACAACTCCATTCTCATTACATTATTATTTGCTTGCAGCTAAAACATTGAAAAGTAGAAAAAAAAAGTAGTTTCATGCTCACTTAATTTTATATTATTTCGTATTTTCACTTTCATCGTTATCGTTATCATTATCGTTCAAGTATATATCTTTTGGGTGTGTGTATATAGGGATCTCGTGTTGCGCGGGGCATGCGTGGCTTGCTCATACATAGTGTGGGTGTGTGTGTTTTTGTGTAATTCATAGCTGTCATCCAAGCATTATGCATATTCTCAAGCATCATCGGATTTTATTTTTCTCTAGAATTTTACAAAGCAATTGCCTGTGTCCTGAATAATCGACAATCGATCGATCGGAGGCAAGCAGCAGTGTTTATCAAGTGTGTCTTTACATATCTTCGTTAAGTTTTGTTTCGTTTAGTTTAGCTTTCGACGAAATAAAAATTTGTGTATGTATCTCATATGCTATTCGCTAGGTATATATGTAGGTATATATATATTTATGTATGTACGTCTATGAGCAGTGTCGGAAAAGCGTCAAAGAGATGGCTTGCAAGCGCCGCCTGCCGCCTCGTCGCCATCATATCTCGTTTAGTTCTCGTAAATGGAATATTAAAATGTCTAATCTGTTGTTGGTATATCAGTTGTTGATATTTAAGCAATTTCAATTTCTACTAGCTACATTTTTTGGGGGCTTGGGTCGAGAGGAGGAGGATGAGGAGGACAGACTCCGTCTCCGACTCCAGTGTAGCTGCTCTATGCTCCTTCTGCTCCTCCTCTTACGTTGTTGTATCGTCACTTTCCAGGCTTTCTTTCGTTCGTTTTTGTTGGTTTTTGGTTTTGTTTTATCATTCGCATGTATAGTTTTCAAGTCGAAGAGAATTTTAAATCGTTTAATGGTTAAGTAATTTCTGGTCACCTCAGTTTTCTTATATTTTTTTTCTAGTCTCCGGCTTCCTGCTCCTCGTGAAGTGAAAGGGGATGGCGGGGCAAGGGAGAGAAAAGTGTGCGCCTAAGTTTTACAATTTGGACATTCATTTGCTTGCCATTTTATTAATGTATTTAAATATATATGTATATAGATGTAATTATGGATAATTGTTTTTGAATTAAATGTTTCTCTGTGTGTACCTCCTTAGCTGACGCTAAACATTTCAATTTAATGTTTCATTCATAAGACTGACTTTAAGCTTAAAAATAAATGTATTTGTGTTTTTTGTGGGGGAAGTGTGTGTGTGTGTTTGGGGTGCGGAGAGGTAGGAAGTGCGTGTGTTCGCTTCCGCTCGTCCATCATACACACAGACACAGACACACACGTATACAGAAAAGGATAAGCTTTAAACAATAACTTCACTTCATGCTTGTTGCTTCAAAAATTATTCAATACATTTTAAAAATAAATAATATATATTGCGAACATTTTTTAGTCGCGCTGTTTCGCATTTTCCGTTTTTTCTTTTCTCTTTTCTGGTATTGGGTATTAGGGGGCAGGGACCTGTGGATCCATCTCATGAACAAAACGAACACTGCCAAATTGCATCTAAGCAATTGGATTATCTTCGTTAAGACTTGATAACGTTGGTAGGTTTAATTTGGAAGTGCAAGTGGCAAGTGGAAAGTGAGGAAGAAGCCGAGAGTGAGAGTTCGAATTGGAAACGAATAAATTCAATAATCCTTCGCTTTTGCTTTGGGTTCAAACCAGTGATAAGATGTTCAAGTTAGTACTGCTGCTGCTGCTGTTGCTGCTACTGTTGCTGTTACTGTTGCTGTTACTGTTGCTGTTGCTGTTTCTGTTGCGTCCTGGTTACTTGGAAGACCTCTCTGGGCCACAGCTGATCGTTTCAGTTGCTCGAACGACAGGCATCAAAAAGATCTTCACTTAGAATGTCACTGGGCGGACATCAGTTGGACCAATTGGTTGTGTAGTTGGTCCAGGGCATCTATAGAATTTTGTATTATTTCTCAGAGCTTTGGGAAAACAATCCTGATAGACTTACGTGCTTGTCGTGGTGATCCCACACCTCCATCTTGTCCGGCATGTGTGCAGAGATATCAGCCGCACCAGGGGCGCCCACAAAATGCTGAAAGCCGTAAGAGGGCATCAGGTTGACGTGCTGCTGTTGCTGCTGTTGGCTCATATTTGGCGGCGCCTGCATGTTGTGGTAGTCCATGGGCATCTGCAATTTATGGATACATTACGGAGCCAGTTCGAGAGAGATCAAGACAATCGAAACTTACATTCATTTGCTCGTGCTGCTGCTGCTGCGGATAAGGCCCGTTGTTATAGGGCCTGTACTGCTGTTGCTGCTGCTGCTGCTGCTTCAGCCAGTTGAGAGGCTGCTGCTGCTGTTGCGACTGGGGTGGAGGCGGGGGCTGCTGTTGCAAACCTGGCGGCTGGGCCTTCGGCTCGTGAGCCCAAGGTGGCAGGACAGTCGACAGGGCGTCGTCCATGCTCAGAGCTGAGGCGGCTACGTTGAAGTTGTTGAACTTCCAGGAGGCAGCACGTTCCGTGCCAATGGGGCGCGGCATCTTGCGGATGTCGTCATGGTTCGGCGACATGGCAGATGGCGAGCCCAGGCCCGCCATTCCGCCGCCGGCTCCGTTCTCCAGATGCAGGATATCACGGCCCGTGTACGAGGGATATTCCAGTGTGCCTCCATACCAGCGCTGCCCACCGGCTACTCCTCCCGGCTGCCTAGCACCTGCTCCCGGGGGCTGTCGTCCCTGGTTACCGCCTCCAAACATATTCGACTGCGGCGCTCCACCCTGCGGCGGCGGCGGCGGCTGTTTGTTGCCCTGACCAAAGACAGAGGCGCGCGGATTCAGGCGAAGCATGTTGTTGCTATCCACAATGTACGGCGAGGACGAGGGATCCATGGGATAGCTGAGCTGCGGCTGTGGCTGTTGTTGCTGCTGCTGCTGTTGGGAGGCTCCCACCTTATCATAGATCAGACGCTGCAGGTTCTGCTGCTGGCGATCGATCATGGCGGCGGCGGCGGCTGCTGCAGCGGCGGCCGCTACATTTCCGCCGCTGGCCGGATTGGAACCAATCGCTCCATATGCAGGTGGTCCTCCGGCATCCGAGGTGGACATCGGCATGGGAACATGCCTCTGAATGGGAGCCGTGGCCGTTGGCGGCTTAATAACTCCCGGTGAATGGGCGGGCGCCGCCTCTCCCAGACCACTCTGCGTGCCATTAATGGAGGGCTGTTGGACAACTCCTGTGGCATTCACCTCGTTGTTTGCCACTAACGGCGACCTGGCCGGTGGTGCAGACGCTCCAGCTCCGCCACTGGTGATAATGTTCAGGGCCTGCTGCACAGTTTGCTGGTTAGATTGGGGTTGCTGCTGCTGCTGTTGCTGCTGTTGTTGCTGTTGCTGAATCACATTGCCTACCGGTGGTGAGGTGGAGTGATTCGACGAAGCCTTGGAGCTGCCCACGGGTGAACTGAGGATGTTGCGATTGTATCCAGGCGCCTTAGAGGCATCCGCCTGCGGCAGCATATCGCCAACAGGTCCCGCACCGCCACCTCCTCCTCCTCCAACGCCGGGATCACCAAGCTTGCCCCACTGCGATTGCTGGTAGTCACTGAACAGGGAATAGGCGCTCGAAAGCTTGGCCGCCAGTTGGGCACTGAAGCTATCGCTGGCTGTGTTCGCTGCACTGGCCGCCATCAAGTCGTTGAGAATATTCGTGTTGATCACCAGATTCTGCTGGGCCTGTGACTGGGTCTGTGCCTGCTGTTGCTGGTGTGCCTGCTGCTGCATGGGCTGTGGCTGGGACTGCTGTTGTTGCTGTAACTGTTGCTGCGACCCAGGTGCTTGTTGCTGCTGAGTCTGTTGCTGTTGCTGTTGAGTCTGTTGCTGTTGTGATTGGATGGGTGATCCCACTCGCTTGCTGGGCGGAGCTATGGGTTTCACACTGCTGTTGGATGTTGCTGATGCTGCGGCGGCGGCTGCATTCACGGCGGCCACATCAGCCGCATTGAAGGTGCCAATTGGTCCAGCCAATATGTTATTGCCACCGCTACCCAGTTGGGCGACGTGGCCAGCTGCCGCTGTTGAAGCGCCTCCTTGGCCTGACCCAGAGACTGGTTTCCCCCTACCAAAGGGAGCCACCACGCCACTGCTGCGCCCGCCAACCGAGGGGATTACAGCAGCGCCAGCTCCTCCAGCTGCCTCTGCCTTTTTGGGTGAGGAAGAAGCGGCCGTGACCGCCGCTGCCTTGGCAAAGTTCTGTACTCCTCCAGGAGCCACTGTCGAGGACTTGACTTGGGCAGAGATGGTGCTCTTCTGTGCAGACGCCGCGGATTTGGACGACCCCTCAGAGCTCTTGCTGCCCTTGGACACGCCATTCGAGGAGGTGGCACCACCGGCATTTCGTCCAGACTGCTGCTGTTGCTGCTGGCTTAGATAGCCACCACGGCCATTCTGTCCGCGGGAAGAACCGGACGATGCACTCGCCGACGACGCCGATCCCGACGACTTGGAGCTGGTGCCATTCGATTTGCCAGAACCGGAGACACGTCCACTTGCCGCCTTCACGGGCTGTGCGTGCAGTGGCTGCTGCTGCTGCTTGTGCGCATTGCTGTAGGCTGCACCTCCCGCCGTTGTCGTGGAACTTGCCGACGAACTGGAGGAAGTCGAGGTTGTGGACGCCGCCGATGAGAAGTTGTTCACAGTTACGCCGGCAGCGGTTCGATTGTCCCATGTGCCGACGGCCATTGGGGCAGTTGAAGCGCTTGCGTTGGCCGTCTGCTTGATGCTGCTGTTAATCCTGGGGAGCATCTGCAGAATATCCACATCCGGATCCTTGATGAGTGCCAATATGAGCATATGAGCCTGCTTGGTGGCATCGGTCAGGCCCTTGATCGTGATGCAACGCTCAGACTGGTTCTTGCCCTGCTTCTCCACCTCAATGTGAGCACCAGTGGTGGCTCGAATGGCATTGATGTTGCTTCCACCTCGTCCAATCACCCGGGAGATGGCGTTCACCGGCACTTGCACCTTCTTGCACGTCATCTCGGGGGCTGAGGACGACGCGGAAGTCGCACCAGTGCCTCCACCTAGGGAACTCGAGCTGTTGCTGGTGCTGTTATTGGCGGTGTGGTGGTGATGCGGATGATGGTGCTGCTGCAAGCTGGCCGCCGAACTGGCACTGGCCGTCACAGGCGCAGGCGCGCCACTGGAACCACCCACCGACGCAGTGGTCTGCTGTGTGCTGCTCTTCCGTACCACCTCCTTCCATCCATCAACTTCGCTGCGTTTTGCCGGATTCAGGCTGACGCTGCTGCTGATAGCTTGTGACACTGTAGGTTTGGTCACTTCTTTGCGGGTGGCTAAGGTTGAAGCGTTGGTGTTGGCGCTGCCAATGTTGCTCGCAGATTCGCTGCTCTGGAGTTTGCTAGTGTTACTGGATTGAGTCTGTTTGGATGCGGGCAGTGACACCTCTTTGGGCGCCTGGTTCTCCTTCTCGCGCTTGTTGCTGCTGGCCGAACTGGTCGTCTTCTCCTCCTTCTTTTTCGCAGACGACGTCTCCTCCTTCTTGACCTCCAGTTGGCGCTTTAGGGGACCCGACGCCGTCGCCGCCTGTTGTGTGGAAGGTGACGTCTTGACGACACTTTCAACTGCCGCCGGTGGTTGCTTTTTCACTGAGATGCCCTTGATGGTGGTGTTGGTTGAAACGGATGTGACAGCCGGAGGAGTGGGAGTGGAAACTGGTTCTGCAGCTGCCACAGACTTGTTCTTTTGCTGCTGCTGCTTCTTGCTCTTCTTTCCCTGACCGGAATTGGCTGTCGATTCCAGAGTTTGAGCCACACCCAGGCGGACAGCTCCCTTGGTGTCACCGCTGGAGCAGGAACCCTGATCGATGCCAGAGTCACCTTCCTCTCGTGCGGCGTGGGGTGGCGGGCCAACCTCTTCATCCTCGTCGTCCTTGTCGGAATCATCGTCTTTGTCACTAGCATCGTCATCGTCGCCTTGCTGGTCGTCTCCATCGGCTCCTCCATGACCGCTGCCCTGCTGCTGACGCCGCTTCTCCTCCTTCTTCTCCATCTTCTTCTTCTTCTTGCGCTCACGACGCCTGGCAGCGGCCGCCTTGCGGCTCTCTTCGCGTGTCCGCTCCAGATCCAGCTCCTCCAGCAGAATCGATGCATTCTTGTTGGCCTTGACGGCCTGTGCCTCCTTGGCGCTGCGCAGAATCTTCATGCAGTCGTAGCACTTGTCGATCAGCTCCTTGTCACTGATGGTGCCAATGAAACGGATCATCTCCTGGTCTGAGGGGAACTGTGACACATACTGGACCATCCACTTAACGATCTTGGTGTGACCCTTACGGAAGGCAGCCATTAGACAGGAGACACGCCGATTGTCCTGTGAGTCAATGTCAGCATTGTGATCGGACAAGAGCTCTACAACACTCAGGTGGCCCCCATGGGCGGCCAGCCAGAGCGGTGAGTTACCCTTCTTATTTTTTACCTCTACACTGGCACCCCGCGACAGCAGGAGCTCCACAAACTTTTGATGGCCCTTGTCGGCAGCAATGGTCAGCGCCGTGTCCCTAGAGGTGGGCACTGGAGCAGCATTCACATCCGCCCCCTTGTCCAGCAGTACGCGACCCACTTCGATGTAGCCACCTGAGGCGGCCTCCATTAGAGGGGTGAGGCCCGTCTTTGCTCGGTGCTCGACATTGGCCCGCCGGTCCAGCAGCAGACTAACGACCTCATGCCTTCCCTGGAAGCAGGCCAAAGTCAGGGCCGTGTTGCGATTCGTTTCGATCTGGGCGTTGATATCGGATCCCTGATCCAGAAGCAACTTCACCGCCGGCGTGTGTCCATTCATGGCCGCCAGCATGAGGGGTGAGATGCCTAGCTTGCTGCCAGTGCGGGAATTGATCTCGGCTCCGTGGCTGAGTAGCAGCTTGATGATGTTCACATAGCCGCCACTGGCCGCCAAACTCAATGGAGTATAGTCGGACACGTTGCGGTGCTCCTTGTTGGCGCCGACGCTGAGTAGGAGCTCCACCACCTCGTAGCGGCCGCCTGAGCAGGCCAATGATAGTGGAGTGTCCTTGGTGCGCTCAGATTGGGCCTCCAACTCGGCACTGTGCTTGAGCAGAATGTCCACGACCTTGTCGTGTCCAGCTGTTGCGGCCAGGATTAACGGTGTAAATCCCTTCTTGTCCCGGTGCTCGATATTAGCGCCCCGACTGATAAGCAGCTCAACGAGCTCCTCGTGCCCGCCGGCACATGCCAGTGTGAGGGCGGTATCATGATTAGACTCGGTCTCCGAATCAATCTCAATGGTCTTGTCTACGCATGCAGGGGTCGCCACGGCCAACTGGTTCTGTAGTTGCGCCTGCTGCTGGGCCGTTGCTACCTGGGGCTGTTGATGCTGATTGGTGTTCACTGTGGAGCGAAATTGATAATTGATATGGTTAGAGATGTCCATACTTATGGGTCATTCCCTTCTATTTACCTTGACTGCCGGCTGGCGTTTGCCGGAATCCAGAGCATCTTCGATCCTTGCGCGACTGCTTGTCAATGGCCTTCTTGGCAATTCCACCGGGCATCGACTTGCTGGTTGTACTCACTCCGCTGCTGGGCGTGGGTGTGGGCGTACCCATTGGCCAAATCGATAGCTCATTCTGCGGCTGTCCTGGCTGCTGCTGCTGCAGTTGCTGTTGCTGCTGTGGAGGCTGCAGGGCGAATTGCGCATACTGTCCAACTGCTGCTGGCTGCGGCACCACCACGGAGGCAGGATGCGTCTGTGTGGCCACCTAGTAGGCAAAGATCAATGATTCCACATGAGAAGGATGCATAAACAGCGAGAGAGCAGCTTCAATAACTTACCTGATGCTGGACACAGGTGGGCGCCTGCATGAGCGGCGGCGGATGGAGAAGCAGCTGTTCCTGCAGGTTAAAGTGCTTTTGCTTGAGTGGCAAGGGGGCTCCGGCTGAGGCTTGTCCGCTACTACGCTGAAGCAGCAGCTCCTGGGCCACCTGCTCCAGCTCGTTCTGGGTGGGAGCACGCTGACCGCCGGTTCGATGATGCTGGAAAAGATGGGCCTGCTCGGCGTGCAACAGTTGTTGCTGCTGCTGCTGCTGTTGCTCGGTGAGAGGCTCTCCCACGGCCTGTTGCTGGGACATGTTGGGCGGCAACTGGAAGAGAAGCTGCACTGGCGGCGCATTCTTGTCGCCACTCTCCACATTGTACACGAAGTTGGTGGCAGGCGGCTGCTGATGCTGGTGTTGGTGTGCAGCCACAGCCTTGATGATGCGCGCATTGGAGTACTGTTGCATCTGTTGCTTCAGCTCCGGATCGTTCTCCAAGGCGAGCTGTTGCTGATGGAAATCGGCCGCATTGGTCACTGCTGGATGATGTAGCTGCAACTGCTGCTGATCGTCTGTGGCGGTAAAGGGCAGTAGCGAAAGCGGAGCCTGTTGATGTTGCTAAAATATACGAGAACGTAAATATCTAAAATTTGGAATACCGGGGATGGCAGAACCCACCTGCAGGTGCATTTCATCCGCCTCGAGAAGTCGCTGGTCAAGTGGGATATTCTGCCGCATAGGATAGTCCAGCAGGACGAGATTCGCCTGTTGTTGCTGTGCATCCGGCGGCACTTCGCCCGGCGATCTGACAACACCCACCAACTGCTCTTGGCCGGGCCACTTTGCCGACGATTGCGCCGCCGCCGCCCAGCTTCCGGCAAACCTACCCTTGCACATCTGGTTTAGGCTAAACTCGGCCAGCTCGGGGTAGTTAAGGCTGCTTGCCAGTTCCTTTAAGAAAGTATATTTTGTAAAATAGTGTTTTAAAGAAAGTAGAACAAGAAAGGAAGCTAACTTCGGCACGCCGAAGTTTATATACCCTTGCAGATAGAACTTTTATGACTTGGAATCCCAACAATATAAATTATATTTATTTGTGTTAAAAAACAATGAAGTAATACCTGCTTTCATTTCAGTCACCTTTACATATTATTTTTGCAGTTTTACAGTCACAGATGTGCATTTTTCTCCACATCTAACGATCGTTCCTATGGGAGCTATATGATATAGTTGTCCGATTTTCATAAAATTTTATACAAAATTGTAGAGTATAGTAAAATGGCTATATCTCAAATTTTATCAATTCTGTTGAAAACTGAAATTGTTATAATTTTTTTTTGTAAAAATTATCCGATCATTCCTATGGCAGCTATATGATATAGTCGTCCGATTCGGCCCGTTCCGACATATATACGAGTGAGAGTATATAGAAGGCTAACTGCAAAGTTTCATTCAGATAGCTTCAAAACTAGTTTGCGTAGAAACGGACAAGCGGACAGACGGACAGAAGGACAGACGGACAGACGGACAGACGGACATGGCTAGATCGACTCGGCTGTTGATCCTGATCAAGAATATATATACTTTATATGGTCGGAGGTGCCTCCTTCACTGCGTTGCAAACTTCTGACTGAAATTATAATACCCTGCAAGGGTATAAAAATTAAACGTACCTGGAATATATCCTCCATTTCGCCATCGTTGGCAAAGTGCTCCAAACCGGGATATAGCTCGCTGGTTCCAGCGCTGCCATCATCGTCAACTGCAATAGAAGGGATTAGTTTGTTTAATAAGATATATCATTAATCGCTGCAGCTCTGCAAACATACCACATTGCTGCTGATCACCACCGTCCACCTGATGCTGGAGCTGTTGCTGCTTCTGGTGAACCACGGCAGCTGCCTTGGCATGCGCTGCTGCTGCTGTGGCAGCTGCCAGCTGTTGCTGGAGAACGCTGTTCAGGGCGGCATTGCTGCTGGCCGCCGCCTTGAGATTGCTTATCTGGGGCAGAACATGGACCAGCTCCGAATTGGTGAGGTCGGGCGGGAAGTCGCACAAGGTCTGCGAGGTAAGGATCAAGTTCTCCAATCGTGTAGCCATTTTGCGCTGCTTTGTAGGCAGTGAGCTGCTGCTGGTGCTGCTCTTTGAGTTATTATTGTTATTGTTATTGTTGTTATTGGCGGCTCCCTCATCATTAACGGGCACATCCAAGAAGAACTCATCGTCCTCATCGTCGTCCTCGTCCTCTTCTCCCTCCTCGCCTTCGGCAGCGCCTTCGTCTTCATCGATGTAATCAACTTCTCCATCATTGTCGACATCAGCATCATCTTCATCATAGTTAAGCTTATCGATGTTATCTCCGCTGTTGGTGTCCTGCTCATCATCATCCTCCTCCTCGTCTTCCTCGTCATCGTCATCGTCCTCTTCCTCCTCCAGAATGATGCCATCCTCACGGAGAGCAGCGGCCAACGCAATGGGCTCGGGCGGCATTGTATTCTCATCGCCCTCTGCGCCATCGGCAGCAACTTCGATATCTTCATCGCCATCGCTCTCAAGATCTGTGCTAATCTCATCTGGATCTTTATTAGCTGCTGCTACGGCAGCGGCCGCTGCTGCCGCGGAACAAAGTGTGGCTAGATTTTTCATCTCGGCTCGAGGCTCTGTGCCAAGGCGATCATCGCCTTCAGTTGGTGGCATGGTGGTCTCCTCCATTTCTGGCGGTGTCTCTGTGGGCGACTTGGGTTGATCACCAAAGAAATTGTGCACTCCAACCATATGCCAGCCGTCCTTGAAAAAGTTCAACTTTGGCTTCAGGGTGGGGTCCTTCCTACCTCGCGACCCATTAACCGCAGTCTCCAGCATGCCGCGGAAATCCTCCATGGCCGTCTTGCGCTGCATGGCCACATCCAAGGATTGTTGCTGTTGCTGCTGCTGGTCAACGAAATTGCCGCTGCCAGTTGGTGAGGCGAGGGGCGAAGCCGGTGAATTAGAGTAGGCCACGGGATTACCCGATGAAGTCGCCGCTGCTGCTGCCGCGGCAGCCGCTGCATTATCCAAAGCCACTCGTTGATGGTGCAATTGAAGATGCTGTTGCAATTGCAAATGTGTCTGCTGCATTTGCTGTGAAAAGGAGAGAAGGACATGTGGTTTGTGTTACTTGGTAACTAGGAAACTACTCACCAAGTTATTGTAAATGGAGACCATCTGGTTCTGCTGCAGATTTGGCAACACCTGATGAGCATGTTGGGCTGCTGCTGCTGCCGCTGCTGCTGCCGCCGCTGCTGCTGCAGCTGCTGCGGCTGCCTGCTTCCGATTGCTCTTGTTGGTAGCCTTCACCTTGGGCCTGTCGCTAATGGCTGTGCTCTGGAGCACTTCCGAGGAGTGTGTGATGACGGCTCCACCACAGTTTCGCTGCAAGCATATACATTAGGTCATGAAAATATTTCTTCTGGTTGGGAATGCAAGGCTAACTTACCGCTGAACTCTGGGCACAAGCACCGCTATTGTCCAGGGCTGTTGCTTCGGCTCCTGCTGGCAATAAATAATCATTGGAAATCCTTATAAAATTTATACTCAAAGGAAGTTAGGCTCACCTTTCAGTGCTAGCTCGTTGGGGTCAGTGCCACTGTTGCTGCTGGTTGTATCCGGCGGAAGTTCGCCCTTCTTCAGCTCTGGCATGAAACCGCGACGTCGCTGCAGCCGTGGATCCTCTCCAGCACATGCGAACTGCGGTGACTTTCCGTCCTCTCCCAGGGGTTGCGAACGAACCTGTTCGGAGTGCTGTTGCTGTTGCTGATCCATCGGGCACTCGATGAACTCTACCACGTCGCCAGACTTCAGCACACGATTCCTGTTCGGCAGCATGCCCTTTAGCTTGGCCTGACCTTGTGGCAATGGCTGCTGCTGCTGCTGTTGTTGCATTACAGGCTGCTGGCAAACAGTGTGGAAGAGCACTGGCGGAGCTGGTGGCGCCTTCTGAGGCGGCTGCAGAGAGTTGATGTGCTCCATGTCCAGGTCAAAATGCTTGCACGGCACCAATGGATGCTGCCCGGCCTGAGGTGGTTGCTGCTGCTGTTGTTGCTGCTCAAAGCCAGGCTGCAGGTGGAACAGTCGCGACTTGGCAATAAGGCCCTCCTGCTGCTGGGCGCCCAAAGTGGTTAGGTCGATGCCTCCAACTTCTCCGTACTCCTCCATGCCAGCTTCACTACCGGTGGTGCTGGCACCTGCTCCGGCGCCGCCCATGCCCGACGATGTCGTCGTCAACTGCAGCTCGCCGGCGTCCAAAAAGTCGCCAGTGCCCAGGGCCACGATGTTAGTGGATACATTGCCGGTACTGTTGAACTGCTGTTGGTGGAACAGCTGCTGGTTGGAGGCTCGCGCCGCCTCAGATAGCTCGTGCAGTCCGGGGGGAGCGTTGAGCTGCTGCAACTGATGCTGTAGCTGCTGCTGGAGGATCTTTTGCTGCTGCAGGCGCATCTGATTGGACCCAGCTGCGGCAGCGGCGGCGGCTGCAGCTGCGGCGGCAGCGGCCGCTTGTTGGTTAGCGTTCGCAGCCGCTGCCATATCCGCCGTTTGCGAAATGTTGGGATAGCTGAATAGAAGCTCTACAACACGCGTATGGCCACCTTTTGAGGCCTCGATCAGCATGGTGCTGTTGTCCTTCAGCTTGTGGAACGGATCGGCGTTGTTCTTCAGGAGCAGTTCCACAACAGATTGGTGCCCACCGGCACAGGCCAGCGACAGGGCAGTGTGGTCATTACTGGTCGTCTGCTTATTGACGTTAGCGCCCTTCTGAATGAGGAACTTAACGGTGCACAGGTGTCCAGCGCGACAGGCCTTCATTAGCGGCGTTCGTCCGCCTTCAGACTCATGCTCCAGCTCGGCTGCATAGGAAAGAAGCACGCCAGCCGCATCCGTATGGCCGTTTTCGCAGGCATGCGTCAAGGCCGTATCTCCCGTCTGCGTCTCGGCATGAACATTGGCCTTGTTCTTGAGCAGGAAGCGTACCAGGTCGGTGTGTCCCTCTTGTGAGGCTTCCATAAGGGGCGTGGAGGCTCCCAGTTCCAGATTGGCGCCCTCCTTGATCAGAAAGGCAGCCACCTCACTAAAGCCGCCGCAGCAGGCCAAGGTGAGGGCAGTTTCCTGCGTCTCCTCCGTGGTGGCATTGATGTTCGCTCCCTTGCTAAGCAGCAGCGCCACCATCTCCTCGTGGCCCTCGCGTGCCGCCTCCATTAGGGGAGTGTAGCCTTCATCGTTCACCTCCTCGATATTGGCGCCGCGCTCAATCAGCAAGGTGGCCAATTCAACGTGGCCACCGCAGGCGGCTAGCGTTAGAGGTGACTCGAACGAGTCCGTCGGCATGTTCACCTGGGCACCCGAGTCTAGCAGCAGCCGCGCCACCTCAACGTGACCGTCCATTGACGCTTCCATTAGGGCGGTGTGCATTTCGTCGGTCTTGTGCTCCTGATCGGCACCAGCTTGCAGCAGGAATCGGACCATGTCCAGGTGGCCCTTGTAGCAGGCCAAAGTAAGGGCGCTCTCCTTGAACTCGTTCGAATGGGTGTTGATTCCGGCTCCATGTTCCAGCAGCACCTAAAAGAAGAATATAATTACCGATGGCCAATTAGTAAGGAAATTACGTGGCAAACTTAGAAATTGGATGCACGAAATCAGATAAGATCAAACTAAATCACAGACCGCTGGCATCTTGCCCAGACCAATCAGTAACTCGATTCAGGTCGCGGGTCGGTGCCAGCAGCATTCTCAAATCTCGGATTATAATCATTTTTTAGATAGCATAGTCGGTGCGGTGCACTCGAAAACATGAATTTACTTACCTTTGCCACTTCCACATGGCCAGCGGATGCGGCTTCCATCAGGGGCGTGTGTCCGTTTTCGTTCTGCTCCTCGACGTTGGCGCCGTGCTTGAGTAGAACCTTGACCACATCAACCTGACCGCCGGCACAGGCGAACATGAGCGGGGTATTGCCGGTAGCGCAATGGGCATTCACATCGGCATGGTGGCTCAAGAGCAGCTTCACAATGTCCAAATGCCCCGCGGAGGCGGCTTCCATCAACGGCGTCGAGTCTTTTTGCCCCTTGTCCTCCACCTGGGCGGCAGACATGGCCAAAAGAACCTGTGTGTGAGACAGCACGAAATGCGTTTAAGTTGCGTGAACCGTGTGTAAATGTGCGGGAAGGTTATTAATGGGAAATTGCTGCCTAGTTTTCTTGATCTTTCTCTGCGAATGCTCCTGCGATGGTATTTATCGATAAGCAGACGCCAGCAGCGAGTGCGAAGGTGGTAGAGTTGCCACACTGGCGAACACCATTTGGTGCGACGCAGGGGCTCGCACGAAGACTGGCAACCACAGCGCTCAGCTGTTGTTCAACCGTGGGAGAATTTCACGTGCCAATACGACGAACTTGTCTCGTTTTTTAAACTAAATAAATGTTTAGTTTTGCAAAAAATATGACAAAATATAGCAATTTAATAGACACATTTTTTTTTAGTTTATGAGGGTGTTACTCCCGAAATTACCAAAGAGAATAAGAAAAGGTTTGTTGAATGGATGAAACATACCTGAGCCAACTCGTAGTAGCCCGCCGAGCAGGCCATCGAGAGCAGAGATTCGCCATCGTCCGTGGAAGCAGCGGCATCATTCAGGTTAACGTTACCCTTGCAGAGCAGCCGCTTCACCGTATTGACATCGTTATCCGTGCAGGCGGCCACCAGGGATCGGGAGAAGCCACTGCTGCTAAAAAAAAAGGGACGATAGGTTAGCTCAATCCTTTGGCGAACATCATAGAAAACTCACTTCTTGTCGCGCGGGCTGCTGGCACAGCGCATCTTGGTTAGCGCCTGCTTGGTCTCATCAATGGCATGGGTGGCGTGGCGCAGGACGGGTGCCTTCTCATTGGCCGCGGCCTCCAGCAGGGCGGTGAGATTACTCGATCGCTTATTGTGGGCGTCCAACAAAAAGGGCGCATCTTCCTCCTCGTCCTCGTCGTCGATCTCCTCATCGTCAGCATCGTTGTCCTGCAGCACATCTGGAAAGTGCAGAACACAATTTAAATAATAGTTCTGGGGTTTAAGACGACAGATACCAGAGACTCACCTATCTCCTCCTCGTCCTCTTCGTCATCGCCGTCAGACTCGTCTGAGTCCTCCGACTCCTCCTCCGTCTCATCCTCATCCTCGCGAACCTCGCCCTCGTGCGGGCAGCTATCGGGGTCCGACTCCGGAATATCATCCTGCAAGAGAGAGGTGTACATTTTGATATGTTAGTCTTATCCTGTCTAAAAGTATGTATTTCTACGGACGAACTGGGGTGTGAGTATTAACAGTTGGCTACAAATAAAAGCTGGAAGTTACGAATTAGAAAAGCTATAGCTATAGTTGATCAGTAGAGCACATTCTTGTTGTCTAAGGCCAGCAACAAAGTATTGTGATTATGTGAGTGTCTCTAGGGATGTAAGTGAGCGAGGAGGAAGCGAAGTAGTAGTTGGGTTAAGAACCGATCAATCATTGTGTGGTGGCGGGAGTTAGTTTGGACTGAAGCTTTTGAATTTTTTGATTATTGCTCGTTTTTCTGGCGATGCGGGGTAGGGGGAGCGGGGGTTATAACGCGAAACTGAAACTTACCAGGAGATCTGGCCTTAAACACAAGAATGCCAATAGGATCTACAAATAAAGAGAAACGAAAGAAACATACATAAATCATAAAAATTAACGCAAGAGCAGACAAAAATGAGACAGTTCAAAGTTAAGAGAAAGCTTGTTCCGGGACTAGGCAAGAATTTACATCGACGAAGAACTGCAGCAGACGGTCCATGCGGCATCGAGAACTCCGGGTCAGCTTTTTGGTCAATCTCAGTAAGAGTGTACGGACCAAGTGCCATGTGATGGCTATCATTGCCTAGTTTTGGTGACTCTTGGCACGACGTTTTTAAAAACCACAATTTTTAAATTAAATCGTATTTTGGGTAAATATAACAACAACAGGAACAAATGTGACGACAAATGTCCGACGAACACGACCGACAATTACAAAAAAGAAGTAATACAGTAAATAATACTAAAACTGTCAAATTAAAATAAGAATGACAGTGTTGCCAGATAAGTGGCCAAAAATGTAGTTATCGATAACAGGCAAAGAAGTGGACGTGGAGGAGACCGAAAACTAGCAAACAACAAATAATTACATGGTGATTTCCACTGAGAGATCGACCGACCGACTACAGGTTTTCTGAGATGGTTTTTCTTGGCCTCTGTCTGAATGGGCACCCAAATGTTTTCCCTTTCCTAGATTTTTTCTTTTAACTAGTATAAAATTTTTCAAATTGATTTTGGTTTTCATACATTTAAAAGACTTATGAGTCACAACGTAGTGCAGTTCGTACATCGATTTAAATACGGCACACGCACACATTGTCGGAAAGGGGGAGAGCCACGCCAGGTCTGCATGTGTGCATCTGTGCGTATTCGTGTGCTTACGCCCACGCCTTAAATTATTGAACCAAAAACGAAGATGCAAAAAATATTGCCGAAATACATTTCCACCACGAGGTCAAGTGCTGTCTGCTTAACCTTTAATGAATGAACAGAACATAAAAGAACATAACCAAGCGGATAAGCAGTGAGCAGCAACGAAACCAAAAAAAAAAAAAAAAGAATCAGCAAAGAACAGAAACAGAGGAAAAAATACAACAAAAATTCATCATGAACGAGTTCAACAACAGCAGCCCGTTCGTTTGTTCTCGTTGGCATTGTATTGTGTGAGTGCAAGTACGTGTGTGTGGGTAAATTTGTGAAAAAGAAAATCAACCGTAAAATGTTTGCACGCCACTGCAAAATAATCTGCAAATTGTGTCTCCTGTCGAAAATTGGCAAAAGTTCGTTAAACTCAACTTGCGTTATTATTTTGACTCTTATTTATAATATTTTTATTTCTGCTAGTTCCCTTTTATTCGCTTCGCATACGTAGTTTTACTGCTGTTGCTGCAACAACAACAAAAGATAGCAGCTAGAAAGAAGCAGCAATAGCGGCTGCGGCCAGAGTTGCCGGACAGTTAACGGACATCTTTGTCACGCTGCTTAAAAGAGAATTCGCGAAAGCACCCGAAAAAGATTACATATGTATGTATGTATATATCTGCATGTATGTATATATGTATGTACATATTGCAGGTAATTTCAACTAAACAAATGACTATAGAGTAGAGCGGGGTCGGGGTTGGGTCAATTACAATAATTACACCGATAATGATAATCCTGTGACGAAGCAATGACCTTTGGTTTTTATTCGACATCGACTAGCATAAACAGAACTTTTATATTATTCGCATTTCCACATTTCGGTTTTGAGCATGTAGGCGTGTGCTAGACAAAGAAAAAAGTATTCATACACAGCCGCCAACAAGCAAACAGCTGATAAATCATTCACCACTACACTAAAGAAGCAAAGGGCCTCACTAACACACACTACTAAAAACACGCGTAGCACAAGAGAGAGCAAAGCGGAGAGCAAAGGAGAGATGAAAGTATCTCGCTGCAAGCACACAATATGTTCAACGATCAATTCGATTTCGAGGTATTTCCCTGCCATAAAAATGCCAGCACACCTGATATAATGGGAACATGGAACCTGAATCTGTGCATCGGCAGGCGTGGATTTAGCTGGAATACAACGTGTATTGCGACAGCAGCTCTGATAACAATACGCGTCTATTTTGATGAAACCTTATCATGTGTTATATTGTGCGCAGTGTGATTAAGTTACCTATTTAATGATCATTTTTCCCCTTATTGATTTCCGTTTAAATCTAACCTGATTTTTAACCTCATTCGGAACCAGAGATTTTTCCCTAGTTAAACTAATTTTGTAGTCCTTTCTAGACTTTAAATAATTTACCTATGCAGTTCTTTAAAAATTCTTGAAAATATTTATACTTTTAAGCAACACTTAAATGAGCAATTCTTTAATTATTGTTCTAGACACATTTATTAAATAATCGTAAACAAGTTACTACCAGTATTACATAGCAAACAATACAAACATAATATCAAAGCATCTTATCGACCTTGTTTATTTCGAATAGTTCAATATTTTTACAAAGTACTAAGGAATCAGTAAACATCTAAGGATCGTACGAATAAACCAACCGAGAACACTCAAAAGACCACGCGTAGAGGAAGTATTTTTTTTATGACCGGAAGAAGGAATATTATTTATCATCGGTGGAAATAAATGCATTCATTGATTGCATTGATACTTTACTAAGTGATGAGTAAAGATTGAAAAACAACTATTTCAAATCTGATAAAGATGCAAACTTTGCTGAAATCTAGGCGAGAGCAAAGCGGGAATCATCAAAACTACGTATGGGAATAGGGGGTAAATCATTATTGGAGCCTGGGTGCAAAACACTCACCTCTGAGACAGACTCCTCCTCCGACTCGGACAGGTCAGTGGTGACGGGCTGGGGATAGAACTCCGTATCGGTGTCCGTGCCCGGCGTGATGATGTTCTGCAGCGCCGACGAGATGGCATTCACGATGCCCACCGATGACGACAGCGAGGAGGCGTTGGACGACATGGACGACGAGGCGGATCGATTGGAGGCGGACGCCGATGCGGCTGCGGCGGCGTCTTTAAGCTTTTGCTTGAGCACTGCCGCCGCATTGGCCACATCCACGGCGGGATTAAGGGACATGCCGCGGGCTCCACCGACAGCTCCCGCTCCACCGGTAGCAGCGCCAGCGTTGCTATCGACGGCTGCAGCGGCGGCGCCCATCAGCAAAGTGGTTGCGGCGAATTTTAAATGCGCCGAATCCTTGCTGGTCAAGTTGGGTGTATTGCCGGCTCCAGACGAAGCAGGCTGCTGCTGCTGCATGGCTACCTGTCGCTTGAGAGCGGCCACAGCCGCCCGTGTCTTCTTCGAGGAGGAGGAAACAGAGGCGACAGCGGCTGCTGCAGCAGTGGCGGTGCTGGAGCTGGGCGCCGGTGCAGGAGCAGGTGCGGTAGCAGGTGAGGGCGCGGGCGTTCCTGAGCTGGGCGTTGAGGCGACGGCAGCCCGGAACTTGGCAGCGCTGCCGGCGGCAGTGGTGGACACCGATGCAGGATTGGCAATGACCGTGGTACCGCTGATGGTCCCACTCCCGCTCGCTCCGCTGGGGCTGCCGCTGCTGCTTGTGGGCGTGCCGCTGCAGGCGCCGCTGGCGTTCGTTGTGGTCGTGGTGGTTGAGGTGGCCGTTGGCGGCGTGGGCGTGGCCGTCGCCTGGCTGCTGGTACCGGACATCTTGGCAGTGGCTGGGTGGTGGCTGTTGCTGTTAACTTTCAATCTGCCGCTGGGATTAGCTGCCGAGCCCGAGTTCGAGCTGGAGCTAGTGCTGCTGCTGGTTGTGGTGGCTGCTGCTACTCCCTGCGTCAGTGGCTCATTCTTGGCCGCTGGCACGAACTTCCGCTGGCCACTAGTGGCCTTGAGGATAGCGGCGGCTAACGGATGCCTAGCGGCGGCGGCAATTCGAGGTAAGTTGTGATTGAACTGTCTGTTGTTTGGCTTTTGATTGTTATTATTGTTGTTGTTGTTGTTAGTGGTGTTGTTGGTATTGTTCTTGCCAGCGGTTGCTGTTTCTTTTGTTGTTGGATTGTTTTTGGTTGCAGATTTAGTTGTTGCTTTGTTTAAGTAAGCCGTGGAGCCCTGATTATTCAAGTCATCGCATTCATGATTTTTCGCATCATTATTCATTTTACTCTCTCTCGTAGGAGATTTTGTTTCTCGTATCTTTTACTCTCAATGTGCGCGTCCTTTTAACGATTACGTTTCAAAAAGCGTGTACAAAACAATAAATTTATGAGTAAAAGATATACGAAAAAGGGATAATCACTTTAAGAAGTGCTAAATGGTTTTATTAAAGTGATTATCCATTTTCGATTTTGAAACATAAAAAAATAACACGTCAACAAATAAGCGGATAAGTAACGGTACTTGGTCCTGCTAAGTTTTTATCGATTTTGTGATATTGTTAGGATTTGGATTATATATATGCAGATACATATATACGCGTATATAGGCGATGGTCGGAGACGCACAAACACAGGCAAGCTAAGGCACCTCGCACTCTCACATACACACACATGCACGGGCGGACACAGCGGTGTGGCAACGCTGAGCATTCTTTCACTTTACCATTGCACACTCGTTCGTTCGCATTTAATTCTTCTATTCCCATTCCCTTGCCCAGCATGCCCACTACCGACTGATTCACATTTTTACACAGAAAATTGTTCAGGTTCGAAACAAAACAACTGAGGAGGCAAACGCTCAATGAAAGCGGGGGATAATTCACTTTTATTTTCAGTTTTATTTCGCTCATTGTCTTTTATTTGCAGAGACAAGGCAATCGATGCGCAATTAGGACTTCGGAGACGGGGCAAGGCAACGTGCTTCACTATTTATATAATCGCAGGCGGCGACACCACCAAACGGCCGATCGATGGCTGCACTTGGCTCGATTAATAACTTTCGCGCATATGCAATTGCCGTACTTTATTTATAAAACCATTCGAGCAGTTTCGACTTCGCCCGAACGAACGAAGAAAAAATCACTTTTCGACTTTGGCGTATGCCGTCGCTTGGTCGATAGCCTCGTCTCGCTTGCGCGCACGCGATGCCCTGACGCGGCCAGTCGGGCCGCTGTTGCCATCTCCTTCGCACGCGCAAACGAAGGTGGAAAATAGCAGAGCGACTGAGGGAAAATTTTTTTGCCACTATTTCGAAGCGGATTTTCACCGATTGACCGCCGTTACAGGCCTGAAAACTATCACACTGCGTGCCGCACACGCTCGCCAACAGTTTGGCTATATTTGCGCGTATTACCGTTTTAAATTTATAGCAAATTAATCAATTTTTCAGCAGTGTTAAATTCTCTGTCTATCGTCAGAGTTTCGGATCGCCATATTATTCCCGGATATTGAATTGAACTAGCAACGGCCAAAAGAACGATCTGGTTCTTTTGGGTGTTGCCACTTGGCTTAGAAATTACTTTGCATATCGATAGCTTTTTAAACCGTATATATAAATATTTACTGTATAAGTATATATTTACTGTTTTATTTGTAGCTTAGAAACTTTAAACCATTTGCACAATTACTCCTACGAAGCTACGAAGTGGTAGATGTAAAAAGTCTATCGACGTTTTTTAATTTTTACAATTCGATTGCCGGATTAAAATGCTATCGCCTTTTATAAAATGTTTGTACACTTTTTTTTTGCTTTAGAGATGCACTGCAAAGTGCAGCAGCATTCGCTATGCTGTTTCTTAAACTCGAAACGACCGCATTTTGTATAATTCTCTATAGTATCGCGATAGTCGATGGTGCCGCCAAATGTCTCTACGTCGATAGTCTTGATATCGTAATTTTCTCAGCTCTACTTCGTACGTAGGATTTTCTTCCACTAACAAATTAACTACGTGGTCAAATTTTGCCGACTAGGAACAAGTGATTCTAGCGATGCATACGGTTCTGACCCGCGGAAACGCCACGGTGGCGTACACGCTCAGTGTCCTGGCCTGCCTCACCTTCAGCTGCTTCCTGTCCACCGTCTTTCTGGACTACCGCACCGACGCCAACATCAACACGGTGCGGGTGCTGGTGAAAAATGTCCCCGACTACGGAGCCTCCCGCGAGAAGCATGACCTCGGCTACATCACTTTCGACCTGCAGACGAACCTCACCGACATCTTCAACTGGAACGTTAAGCAGCTGTTCCTCTATTTGACCGCCGAGTACAAGACGCCGGCCAACCAGCTCAACCAAGTGGTGCTCTGGGACAAGATCATACTGCGCGGCGAGAACGCGGTGCTGGACTTTAAGAACCTGAACACCAAGTACTACTTCTGGGACGATGGCAACGGCCTGAAGGACAACCGGAACGTGTCGCTCTACCTCTCGTGGAACATCATTCCCAATGCCGGTCTGCTGCCCTCAGTTCAGGCCACCGGCAAGCACATCTTTAAATTCCCCGCCGACTACGCCACATCGTCCATTTAGAATTAGTCCTAAATCGAAACTTTTATAGTTTGTATCAAATAAAATCTCTTCTCTGTAATGATTTCGGACTGAATCCGGAGAATTGGGGAGAAGCTTCTCCGAAGTCTTGAATTGTTTTTTGTTTGTTATTTTTTGTAGCGATTAATGGGAATTTTTGAAAATGTTTGACAAGAAGATGTTATGTATTGTTGTTTTATTTAAAATGTTAATTTATCGACATAATAAATTTTTCAGATATTCAATTCAATTAAACATTTGCATTAAGCAGACACTGAGAAAGTGAGTTTGAAGAATATATGCCTCCATTATAAGAATTGAAATAAGGAAATGCCGTTCTTTTATTAAATTATAATTAAATTACTGTTGTATTAATAATTATATATTTTCTATTTTACTTGGTTTTGGAGCACGGGGTGTATCGACTTTGTTAGGCTTTTAAATTTTTTGAAATTTTCAGCTTTTTAATTTAAGAGGAGTCGATCCAGTCGACTCTTCTAAACTAACTAGTCTCTGTGCCATAACGTCAAAAATTATGTTTATATTTAAAAATAATTAATTGTACCGCCAGTATTATGTAGTTTATTAGTTTACTGGATCGAAATAATATACATATAGTTGGTTTAGATAACCAACTAGATTTTTAAGCTAGCTTCTTTTAGTTTTCAACGTAATGTTGTTCTTGGGATTTGCCAAAACTAATGTCAAGGCTAACACCTAATATGGATTCACATAGAAGTGAAAACTGTGATAAATGATTTAAGTGAGCTATATCTGCCTGGTTTCTTCCTGCCTGATATCCAACAAATTAGAGTCCCCCGAATTAAGCAAACAACGACTTTTGGCCAACCGACCGGTTGTGACCAATAAGTTGATAATAGATTCCATCACTGTGCGTGTTTTCAATATTATAGTACTAAAAATGTTTGACTTTTGTTTTTTATATAAGGGGTTTTTTTGTTTCAGACTCACCAGTAGTGCATCAGCATGGCGTCCGCTAAGTTTGTGAGTTTTAACACAGATTGTAAAGCGCTTAAAAGTATAAAATATGTTTTCCAACTTCCTAGTTAATGTTCATCGGTCTTGTTGCCTTTATTACCGCCAATTGCTCAGCGGGCCTCCTAGATGACTTGTATCCAAAAATAGTGACGGAGTTCTATAATCAGGCCCCAACCGAAGAAGGCTACCGCTTCAGGTTAGTCCAATCGAAGTTTATTTAGGAATTGCCTTATTAAATCCCTAGGCAATTTTAGCTCCGAAGAGCCCAATGGAAGCAAACGAGAGGAAATTGGGGTGATCATGAACCCCGGGACTGATAAGCAGGAGCTCGTGGTGATGGGCTCTTACTCGGTCCACGATGAGAAGACCGACACGGACACAGTTACCATGTACACTGCTGACAAGGAGGGCTACAAGGCGCGCTACCAAATTAAAAATCGTAAGCTAAGTGCCGGTGCTCTCAAGTCCTCCGCTGGCTAATGCATTTTCTGATTTGCGAATGGAATATAGATATATATCCTCCTTTCTATGTCTATCGGCATCTTTTTTTTAACGACCTGTTCTAGTTTTTACTTTACCCGACCGTGGTTTAGGAAGGATTCTAGAATTTTTTTAGAGCTTAACATTAGTTGATTCATATCTCTGAAATACCTTTTTATGCTTAATTCATACATTACAAAATATTTGAGTAGAGTAATCCTTGTATCCAAGGAGCCTACATAAACTCGTAGCTGCCGTCGTCAAAGTTGCGGTTGCCGACCATCGGGCCGCCCGCTCCCATTTGATTTGGATTCTGGCCGCCCATCTGTGGCCGGAACTGGTTGCCGGGTGTGGTTTGGTGCTGCAGCAGCTGGCGCAGACCGGGATTGTTGTTGCTCATCATAGGGCGCACCATTCGTTGCTGCTGCTGCGCCTGTTGTTGCTGCTGCTGCTGCATGGCGGCCACATTTGGAGCCACCTGCTGAAGCTGTTGCTGAAGATTCGGATTGGGGACACCAGGCCCAACGCCCACGCCAACGCCGAGGGGCATTCGTTGCTGCTGCTGCTGCTGCATCATGTTCATTTGCATTTGGTTCTGTTGCATGGGCATACCGCCGGGACCTGGCCCGGGTCCGCCGCCGGGGCCTCCGCCGCCCATCTGCATATTGAGCTGGTACTGGTTGTAGTGCTGCTGCTGCTGCTGCTGCTGAGAGTTGTCCTGCTGCATCTGCTGCTGTTGTTGTTGCTGCAGCTCCATGGGGGTCTTGCCCTGCTGCTGGAGCATTTGCTGCTGTTGCTGCTGCTGTATGTTACCGTGCTGCTTCTGCTGAATAACCTTGCGCAGACGCTCAACGAAAATCGCCTGATTATTGGGAATGAAGCCAAGGAAGGCTTGCCGATCAGGCGTATACAAAAGGATGAGCACTTTGAGGTCGCAAGCGGGCGAGTTAGGAACCGGGGAAAAGTGGACGCAGCCAGCGTATCCAGAGGTCATCATCTTGGCCAGTGAATCGAGAGCTTCGCCGGGTGTGGGTCGGAAAACCACCATTTTCGAGTCCTTCAAAAACTGGCCTCCAATATTGCCCACCAAATGTTTGGGCATCAGCTGCATGAACAGCTTTGGTGGCCAGTTTTCCGCCTTGATCTCGGGTTGGCCGTCCTTTATGTTGGTGCACACTGTGCACTGGAGAGCGTGAGGTATCTTCTGTGGATCGGTTTTCGGTTTCTCCGACCATTCTAGCACTCCCGTCCAGATCTTTTCCCTTAGGGAGGCCTGCTCCTGTTGCGGATTCGCCTGCTGTTGCTGCTGGGGATTGCCTTGCTGTTGGGCATTTGTTTGCTGCCCCACTTGTTGCTGCTGCTGCTGCTGTTGGGGATTGGGCATGTTGGATACCGCGTTGGATACCGGCATCATGTTGTTCCCAGCATTGGGATTGCCCTGCTGTTGTTGCTGCTGGGCTAATTGTTGTTGCTGCTGCAGCTGCTGATGATTTAGCATCTGCTGCTGGTTGAGCATCTGCATCCTCTGCTGCTGCTGCTGTTGCGCCTGTGCCTGTTGTTGCTGCTGCAGTGAGCTGACCGTCTGGTTGGGCGGAGGCGCAGTAATACGCGAGATCAACGCAGAATTGGGATTCTGTTGCTGCTGCAGCTGCATGCCACCACTTTGACCCTGAACGCCGCCCACATTGCCTGGGCCTTGCATAAAGGGCGGTCGGGCCTGCCCCGGCTGGTTGGGATACATCCATCGGTTTTGTCCCGGTCCCACGTTTGGCTGGAAGTTGGGATTCTGCATCTGATTCGGCACGAACTGATTCTGCTGTTGCTGCTGCTGCTGCTGTTGCTGCATAAGCTGTTGCTGCTGCTGGGGATTGAGCAGGCCCGCTTGGGAATTCTGACCTGGCTGCTGTTGCATGTTCATGTTCATCACCTGCTGCTGCTGCTGGGGGTTGCCCTGCTGCTGTTGTTGGACGGGCGCAGTGTCCATGGGAATGCCTGGACCAGCTTGCTGCTGTCCCGTCGGATTCTGTTGTTGCTGTTGCTGCTGCACTGCAGCCTGGGCAGCATTCGGGGCTGCCATTTGGGCTGCCATGCTATTGGGACTAGGAGCCCGCTCCTTGAGACTGTAGCCCTTAAGCAACACCAAATGACGGATATTCTTGGCGTAGTTCTTGCTGGTTATCGGCTGATCGCCGTCCGCCTTCATGAAGAGTTTGAAAAGCACCGGCATCTTTCGCGGCGCAATAATCGAGAGATTGATCTTGCGCTCGTTGAAAAGAGCCGCTAGCTGCTCACAGGATTTGCCGGGGTATTTCCACGACTCGGTGGTGGGCATCTGATACGGGGGACTGTTGCAGATGAGGATGCAGTGCCGTTGGACGCTGGTCTGGTCCAGCATCTGCCGTCGCTCGCCAATGTCATCGAAGCAGCCGTGGGCCGCAGCAAATCCCTCGGCCATGTGGGCACACGACTCCATGCCGCCGCCCACCAGCGGCAGCCGTTCGATCGTCTCCATTACCTTCTGGGGCTGCAGGAATGGTCCGTAGGTGGTGCAGACGGGCTCCAGCAGATTGGCGGCGGTTCGGTATACAACGATCCCGTATAGCGTGGCAAAACGCTCTGCAATCAAATACTCGCGCTCGTCAATAGAGCCAGTGGTGAAGTGCTCCAAGGTGGGCAGGATGTAGTTGGTCTTTAGCTCGTTGATGTAGGCGCCATTGATGGCGCTGCCCTCGATGACAAAGACCACATCGGCCAGGGGCATCTGGTCGACCTCCATGATGCAAGGGTGATCCTTGGGCTAAATGCGTAAAGCTTTTTGCCAGGAAAATACAATCTTCTTCTGGCTTATGTTTTCCAGCGCTCTTCCTCTTTCTCTCTTCCACCTTCTTCTTTTGTTTGTTATTGCTATCGTGGTGGCCCTATCGATAGTCCGATGTTATCGATAAAGTGCGCATTGCAGCCCTGCCCTGGCTCTCACTTCTTCTTCTGCGTTTGTGTTTGTCAAAACAAAATTAAATAAAATCTCGCTATTTCGGCCGCAACGCGTAATTGTTACCGAAATTCGTAATATTTGTGTGTTTGTCTGTTAACGTCGGCCCCCGGGCTTCTGTGCACATGTCCCTATTTGTAAGGTTTCCCTTAAAATGCCGCCCAATCGCCGCGGAGCGTTGCGCGTCTGAGGACCAACTATAAAAGTGAAGATGATTCGCCAGAGGCACTGGTGACTGTTGAAATCTCAATTAAAAGCGCTGCCATGCTACAGTACAAGAGTGCCGCCGGAGCGGCCACAACCAGTGCGCCCCAAGCCACGCCCGCGGTGACGAACATTACTGGCAAAGCGGCGGCGCCCTCGAATGCAGTGTCCAATGTAGCCGCTCAGGCCCAGACGGGTGTTCCCGGAGGGGCGCCCACCATGCAACAGATAATCAACATCCATCAGATGCCGCACCAGTTTGCCGGCGGCGGCGGTCAGGCGGGCGGAATGCCACAGAACATGTTCCAGATCGTTCAGCCGATGCCTATGCAAACGGTGAATATCGATGGCCAGGAAGCCATCTTCATACCCAACCTGAACGCACAGTTGGCCACGGCGCAGGCGGTGAATATCAACGGCCAGCAGGCCTTCATCACCCCCAGCGGACAGATACTGCGCGCCCCCCAGATGGCAGCTGCCAATCCTGCTGCACCCAATTGCATCCAGTTGCAGCAACTCAACGGTCTGGGGCAAGAACAGACGCAGCTGATCAGCATCCCGGGCACGAACATTCAAATACCCGTCACCAATCTCATCCAGCAGCAACAGCAGCAGGTGGTGCAGCAGCAGACACAGGCGACTGCGGCGACGGCTTCTGGAACTGGAACGGCGGGACCAGGGGGTGCTAATAGCGCGACAGCTGGCCAGCTACCTGGGAGCATCACCATTCCGGGCACGAATCTGCAAATCCCAACGTCGGTGGCAGCGGCCAACGGTTTGTTGGGCAACATCTCCAATCTCCTGGGCGGCGGAGGTCAATCCATTAAGCTGGAGAATGGACAGCTGCAGCTGCGTCCGCAACTGGTCCAGTTTCCGGCGCAGGCCGTGCCCCAGCAGCAGCAAACGGTGGCGGTGCAAATACCCGTCCAGACCGCCGGCGGACAGACCGTTTACCAGACGGTTCACGTGCCCGTCCAGGCAGCCGCCACAGCGGCGGCGGGTGGAGGACTGCAGAACCTGTTGCAGGCGCAATCTCTGCAAGTGCCCGCCGCCTCCCAGATGCAGATCATACCACAGTTTGCCCAGATCGCACAAATTGTGACGCCCAACGGGCAGATTCAGCAAGTGCAGTTGGCCATGCCATATCCTCAGCTGCCGCCCAACGCCAATATCATACATATCCAGAATCCCCACCAGCAGCAACAACAACAAGTCCAGCAGCAGCAGGCGCAGCAGCAACAACAGCAGCAGCAGGCGCAGCAACAGCAGCAGGCCCAGCAACAGCAACAGGCTCAGCAGCAACAACAAGTCCAGGCGCAACACCAGCAACTCTTGCAGGCCATCAATGAAGCGTCAGCAGGAGGACAAATTCCTGCTAACCAGCCCATAACCATCACCAATGCCCAGGGCCAGCAATTGACTGTGATTCCTGCCCAGCTCCGCCAGGCGGCACAGCCGGCACCGACCCCCACACCCGCTGCCGTACCGGCGCAGATGCAAATGCCTAATCTGCAAGCGTTGCCTATTCAGAATATCCCCGGATTAGGCCAAGTTCAGATCATTCAGGCGAACCAACTGCCGCCTAATCTGCCGGCCAACTTCCAGCAGGTACTGACCCAACTGCCAATGGCCCAGGCGCAGGTACAAGGCCATGTGCAGAACGCGCAGGGACAGAGTCAGGCACAGGTGATGCCAAAGCAGGAACCGCAGAGTCCCACGCAAATGATAACCAGTATAAAGCAAGAGCCACCGGACACCTTTGGACCCACCACCACCGCCACAAACACCACGGCTAGTGTTAATCGCCCATCAGCCGCATCCACGCCAAACAACAACACCTCCTCACCGCAACAGATCAAGTTCCTTCACGCGGAAGGCAATACTCTGTCCAACTTGAGCATACCAGCCTCCATTCAGATCACAGCCCTGCCTCAGCCGGCGCCTGCCGCTCCGCCACCCATCCCTGTGGCGTTGCCCACGCGGAGCAAAGGCAATCTGGTGACCGTTCCCAGCTCACAGATTTCCATAGCGCCTGTGACCGGTGGCCAGGTAGTCACTGTTGCCACACCGGCTAGAGGTGGGACAGCCAGCATACGGAGCACTAATAGTGTCACAACCGCGATACCAACGCCTGCCCCGAATCTAAATGTAAACGTCAGTGCGGCGACTGGAGGTGGAAGTGGAGGAACAACAGGCGGCGTTGGAGTAGCCGCCACTGGAGACCCCAAGCCCCGGCTGAAGCGAGTGGCCTGCACCTGTCCCAACTGCACTGACGGTGAGAAGCATTCGGACAAAAAGCGGCAGCACATTTGCCACATCCCTGGCTGCCAGAAGGTGTATGGCAAGACATCCCACTTACGGGCGCACCTGCGGTGGCACACCGGCGAGCGACCGTTCGTCTGCTCCTGGGTGTTCTGCGGCAAACGCTTCACCCGCTCCGATGAACTACAGCGCCACCGGCGGACGCACACGGGCGAGAAGCGGTTCCAGTGCCGCGAATGCAACAAGAAATTCATGCGCAGCGATCACCTCTCCAAGCACATCAAGACGCACTTCAAGAGCCGCACCGGCGTCGAGCTAATCGAGCTGAGCATCAAGCAGGAGGGAAAGAGTTCCAATGTGCCCAAAAGCATTAGCACAATGACCGGCATTATGACGATCGAGATTCCGGGCGGCGGCGGCGGCGGGGGAGCGGGCGCCACGGGCAGTGGAGCCTCCAGCGTAGCGGCCACGGTTGCGGGCTCAACTGTGACGCCTGGCGGTGCCACAATCGTTCAACTGCCAGCTGTGGAGGCCAGCACCGGCGGTGGCGGAGGCGGCGACAGTTTCGGTGAGGATGAAGATGAGGAGGATGGTGAAATGACCGAAGAGGACGACGAAGAGGAACTAGACGAAGAGTTGGACGAGGACGAAGATCTGGAGGATCTCGAGGATGAGATGGACGACGGTGAGGAGCCTGAGGCGGACAGCAGTGATGAGACCAAGATGACCATTGCTGTTAGCGAGCCGGGCGAAAACTCGTCCAACTAGCATTCGGAGTCGCTGTTCATGGAACAGTTCCTGTTTGATCACTTCCCATAGCACCCACCGCTAGCGCTACCGCTACCGATCCTGCCACTGCCCGGCCACGTCGTCGCCCCGTGGGACCATGTTTAGAGCTAGTTTTTAACTGTATAGATGTACATAGCGTAATTATGTAAAATCGAGCATTTTAAATGTTGTAACTCCAACTCCGTGTACAGTTCCGGCTGCGTAATGTCGTGTCGTCCTAGATTTAGTAGTTGTATATAGTCTAGAATTGAGCCTCGTATTTTAGCTTAAGGTTTTATTATTAATCATTTTATCATTTTCTCTACACTAAGACATGTTTTTAACGCAATTTTTATATATTTCTTCACGTAACAAACGCACGATAAATAAACAAAAACTTAAATTTTACAAGGAGTAATATTAGTAACTTAAAATATAGGAAAAGAACAATGCTAATATTTTTACTTATAGAATGGCTGGCTCTCCACAGTATCTTGGGTAGATGCGGCCACCACCTGGGTGCCAAATGTATCGTAATCGGGCTCCGTGTTTTGTGTACACACAATGCTCTGCATCGAAAGACTCTCCGAGTTAATATGTTGTGCCGCTGCCTTCCAATCAAATATGTCCATTTGTGTTTCTGCCACTGCAGCGGGTGGGCCGCCCTTGTCTTCTGATTCTTCCATTTCATCTAAGTCGCCTATGCCCCACAGATTTTGGTCGCTGTCTTGGTCCGGCAAGGCTTTACGAGCAGGCGGCGGAATGACTGGCTGGATGAAATCGTTCATAGTAGTCTCATCCGACTGGGATTGCGATTGGGACTCCAACGGAGCTGGGGCAGGCTCGAAAGAGCCTATTGGCGACTGCGTGAGCATTTCTGCTTCGTGTTTCAACTCTGAGCTGTTATTGATCGAGACATTTACAGGAGCTGGAGCAGGCTCGGAAGAGCTTATTGGCGACTGCGTGGCCATTTCTGCTTCGGGTTCCGACTCCGAGCTGCTATTGCTCAAGACATTTACAGGAGCAGGAGGCTCTTTACTGAACCGGTCTAGCGCTTTTAAGCGCTGGCGCTGCCAACGGTCTAGACGCACATTGTTATCCTTCTTCGTGTGGCAGGCGGCTAGTTCCTTGTATTTATCCCTTTCCAGATCCGAATACGGTGTAACCATCTTCCTATTATGGGCCTTTACAAGCATTCGGTTCACAAACCTCTCCGACTTGTTCTCCAGCCGTTTCTTCTTGTCGAACCTCTTCTTGGCGTCCCACACGCTATTCATTCTGTACATCTGTACCCGTAATTTGGTGCGCTCGCACAGCATCCGCACTTCCTCCGGGGTGTACTCCCGCATCATGTCATCCACTGTGATTTTCTGTGCGTAAGTAGAGGAATCGAATCAGTAATTCCAAAAAGTCAAAAGAGCTCTTACCGATTTGTGGTACATACTCATCACGTCCTCCCTGTCTGAGTCGGTGGTGGCGTGCAATACCATTTGCTCCTCATCTTTGAGGAATTTGATAAGATGCTGCGAAATAACCGTTCTAGACATTCCCACATAGGATTAATTAAAAAAACAAATTAATAATATTAAGATTTTCTTTCTTTCGCGGCCAAACTTGTTGTCGATAGGTCGCAACAGTGAAAACACTTTTTGGCGATAATTTTTAACGATAGGTCGCAACAGTGAAAACACTTTTTGGCGATTATTTTTGAAGATAGGTCGCAACAGGGATAACATTTATTTATTTGTTTAATGAAACCCAAACTGGCATGAATTCCAAATGAAACGAAATGATGTACATACATCTAGAAGTTGTAGGCCACAAAATACATGAACGTAAAATGGCGCAAAAAACTAAACATACAACTTATTTTCTTAAATACAGTTCAATAAAACAATTTACCCAGGATCTCCCCTTTAGACATTTTAAAATGGCTAACTATGATATTCACTGTCGATCTTCTCAAACTTGTATTTTTTCCTTGGCTTTTTGCCTACAGTTATTTTCTAGCCGATTGTTGCCAGCCCTGAAAGCAAAATTTCGCGATATCCGATAGTCAGCGAGTGGGCATTCCGCGTATGCAGAACAAGCGCACAAAAGAGAAATGGAAAACGAAGGAAAGCGGAGAACGAGAGTTTACACATAGCTGCAGCAGCGGATCACAAATTCGCAAATCCACCGAAAATTTGGCAAATATATCGCGATTGAAGCAAAGTTAACACCACAAAGAGCGTTGACGTAAAAAAGTGGCTAGCAAAGCAAACAGTACGAAATCTACGTGTTTTTAACCCAGCTCCTGTGACCGTCTGTGCGTGCTTGTGTGTGTGTGAGTGTGTGTGTGCGATTGGCGTACGTGTATGGGTGGGCGCTTGTTTTGTTTTGACTAAAAGCACATTCAATCGGATGTACACACAACGGATACCTGGCAATTTATTTCAAAATCAAGCCACAGCTGAGATTCCAAAATAAGCACCGAGTTTCGGCTGTAAATTACTCAGTACCCGTGATACGCATCCACTGATAAACCGAGTGGCAACTCCGCGGCCCACCATGTATACAAAAACAAGAAACAACGATGAAAACGAGTCGCGCGATAAATAAATGGAAAGCGGAGCGGAGAGGCGCAGCAGAAGAAAGAGCGCCCAAAAACGAGTAGGGGAATAGCACAAGAATCGTCGTCGCCTCTGTTTCGACAAACACACAAAAAACAAAAAGGCACCGAAAACAAAAAAGCGTTAGAAAATCACAAAAATTTGCAGTGTGTCGGACAGTCGGCTTCACTCCAACGATACGCATTGGTCAATAACAATTGCGGATTGCCTTTATTTTCTCGAAATTATTGAGTAATTTACGTGCAGATATCAGAGAGAGAGAGAGAGGCAGAGCGCGTGAAGGAGGAGAGGCGGCAAGTAAATTTAAATCCGAGTGCGGTGACTTCCTGCCAAAGGTGAACTAAGACGATCGGAAGTGACTCCCAGGGTTAAGCTCAGCCAGGTAATACCAGGTGTTGTAGCTCAGACGTCCGGCCGAATGCCCGACATTGTCCATTGTCCAATATGCGACATCCGCCAACGCATTTGCTGCTCTTCTTCTTTAGCCCGCCTACGCCATTCGCCAAATCGCTCTCCTTTTCTAACTGTATCCGGACACTGCCTGTGTGTGTACGTCCTCTGTGTTTTCTCTTTCCGCGTGTGTCTGTGTTGTGTGTATGTGTGCTTGCACTTTGCGCGCGCTTGCAAAAAGTCCTTTTCGGTTGCATTTAACCCTTCAATGGAAATATTTATATTTAATTTTGTTTGATTTTTGAATTATGAATCGGAGAACAGAGCCCTGAGATGGCTTTTCCTATTTACTTTTTTTGGCATTTAGTTTGGCTTAAAAGCATAAAGTTAAAATTTTAAAGACCGGAAGATCTAATGAAGGATTTCTGGAAATTACTAGCTAAATTTTTAATACAACTTTTTTGTATAGTAAAAATCTATTATTTTGACAATTTTTGTTTCTCAGCTATACATAAAACAAACTGTTTGCTTTCTTCCATTTGAAGGGTTAATTATGATTTATGTTTTACGATCCCCAAAAACCACCAACCCCCCATCCACGTTTGTTTACTAATATGAATAATAATAATTGAAACCACTTTATTAATATTTTGCAGAGACGCTTATCATCAGGCGGTTATTATGAAAGGTTATGATTTGATTCCAATTCTCCTAACTATATAAATACTTACATATATAAGCTAAAGACTAAGCGAGGTTTTGTCTCCTAACATGAGCCCTAACTTCCTTGATACAATCCAGCTTTTACCTCCCTCGCACCAAGTAGAGTCGTACTAATAATGCCTTTCGAACGTACATATATCCTGAACAGGCAATCACTATAAAATGTCTCGTAACAAAGACAAATACGACAGCGCGAATCGGAGGCAGCAGATCTTTCTGTCGCAGGAGGATATAGCCGCTGGCAAGAAGACGAATTGGAGCGGTCTGGAAATTACGGGTAAGTGTACCATTTGACCAAAGATAAGATTGCATTGATACATTTATACCCTCGTCTTTTGTGCAGGTTGCGTACGGAATATCAGTCCCTCACTGTGGGAGTTCGAGCACCTGACCGCCCTCTATCTGAATGACAACCAGCTGTTACGATTGCCCGCCGATGTTGGCATGCTCATCAGCTTAAGAACCTTGGATCTGTCCGGCAATAAGCTGAGGAGTCTTCCCGCCGAGCTTGGCGAACTCATCCAGCTGCGGTGAGTGTGCTTGCTAGCGGTAGCCGGGTTACGTTTAGTCGAGGTCTTTAGAAATCATCTAAATGCTTTGTGTTTTTAGAGCACATCTTTAAAGCCTAAGACATTGTCTATCATGTCTTTCAAAAAATACAAATTGTCAATTGTCTAGACGTAACCCCGCTAATGACCACTGCAAATTCAATCCAGATTTTCACACTCGCCCCCACTCCATCGATGTCTTCTCCTTTTTAGGGAACTGCTGCTGAACAACAACTTTCTGCGCGTGCTGCCTTACGAGATCGGCAAGCTGTTTCACCTCGTCATACTGGGCCTCATGGGCAATCCACTGCAAAAGGAGTTCATGAACATCTACAACGAGCCGAATGGCACGCAGAAACTGCTCACTTACATGCTGGACAACTTGTCATGTGAGTACCACCCCCCCGCCAATATCTTTTGCCTCTAGTGTCTGTGTTTGCTTGTGCGTGAGCATCTCCTGAACACCAGATATATATGCGTGTGTATGTGTGTGCACAAGTGTGGGGTAAAAAGGAAAGCACGCGAAAAAGGCTTCCGAAAAGAGAAAGTTGTACGTTGAATCTTCGGGTGGGCTTGGGAGCGTTAACTATGTGATGGGTTTTGGTGGGTACACTGCACTCCGGGTTGGTGCTCCTCAATTTACTGGGACGTTATCGGAATTGCACCAATTTAACTTTGACGTTCTACTTTGTTATAATATCTCAACATAGTAGGCCAAAGAATCATCGAAATCGTTATGTTATCAACTGATCAAGTTCATTAATTAAGTAACCTAGTAAATTTTTGAATCCATCATTTGATTATAGCATGACATTCAGATAAAAAGGATTTTCAGCTTTAGTTTTCAGAAGAAATTTTTTATTATATTCTAGGATATATTCTAGGGATATATTCTTTGAAACCTGTGTGATATAGGATATAGTTATAAGATTTAGATGGATTTTAATATTTGTGAATGTTTATGTCTAGTTCCCCAGGAAAAATGTTTTATTAATAAATTATATTTGTAGTAAAAAGTGAAAAGATATACATTTTTTAAAAAATTTGTCTCAATTTATTAAACTATGTACATATGTATATCCACATTGATTTCAAATAAGACACTCATCAGGGGTTTGGTTTGGCAAAGTTGAGAATGAAAGAATGATTAAACTAATTAACTAAACAAACTTGAAGTGTCAAGTATCATCTAAACTTAAATCCTAATCTGTATCGCCTAGGAATTGAATTATGGTGTTCTCAAAATTCATATTATTATGTAAACTTGAATTTTGTAATATTAATCTACAGAAATCATTAATGTTTTAACCTTGTGTTAACATTATTATTTTGTATTAGGAATTAACCAAATATAAAGCGTCGCTAACTACTATTTAATTTTTACAAAGAGATCAAATATAATAAACCATGTAAAGAGGAAGGTTTTTTAACATGACAAAGACCTTAAAATTAGGATACTTTTTGTAGGTATAATGCATTCGGGGCCAGATGAAACATTGAAATAATAAAAATGCATTTCTCTAAGTAATAACCTAAAAGGAATATCCGCAATTTGCTATGAAATTACAATTTCAAAGCACTTGTTTATTGTTGACATTCTGTGTCTGTGCAGGCAGAGGTCGGGCAGAGATTTAATGACTTTTAGAGTCAGGACGTGGCTTTAGTTTATTTTTCTTGTAAGAACATGTCTCTGATTTGTTTTCAAAACCATAAAAAACCGTTAATGCAGATTTTGACCTTAGGTGTTTAGTGTTTAAGCTATTATTAAAAATTAATGGTGTTTCCCAGGCTTATCCAGTCTGAAAACCAGTCACTGCAGAGACATAATTAAAGTTCAAACTCACGGCTGCCGATTAATGCCAAAAAACATAATGTGCAGAGGCAACAATTAAAAATATTTAATTGAATGCAACAATTACAATTACAACAATTGGCAGCGGCGGTCGAAAGAACGGCACGACCTCGACATGCAAAGCCTCAAACATTGGAGAGCGAGAGATCGAGCGAGCGAGCGAGCGAGCGTTCGAGAGAGAGAGAGAGCCGGCTTAGCTTTCGTGAGGGAGCATAACTGCTTTTACTGTTAGCCGGGCCAAGCTGTCGATCGGAGCAGCAGCTGACTTCAGTCTGCCGCTCGCTTGGCTTCAAGGCGGACGCACTAGCTCCACTGTTGTGCTCTCCAGCCGCTTTCCAAGCCACGAAACCCGTTCGCGACCGTCGCTCTCGATTCGGACTCGGACTCGTATTCCGTTCGCGCATGCGCCGCCACCTCTGATTGCTGCGCAGAGTGTGTTGTTTCGTAACTCGTGTCCCAGTTTCGCTTCGGCGTTCGCTTTTCATTTCGTTGCGCTGGAGTCGCCGCCGCTCGCTTGTTGGCCAACCGAAATGCACCATTGAGTCAAGTAGCCAAAGCCCAGAGCGCCGCAAAGCCAACCGAATTAAGCGGCCAAGTGATGTGCAATCGACTCGATCCGCCGACAGGATTCAGTTTGGGATTAAGACAACAGCAGCCACCGGCCGGAGCATGAGATCGCATGTGGCCGTTTACAGGGCACCAGACACTGCACCGCCACCACCACCACCAGCATCTAACTACGCTCCCCTGCGATACCATCACCACCATCAGCCTCCGCCACCGCAGCCGCAGCAGCAGCATCCTCCGCTGAGCCACTGGCCCGGAGTCCAGACAGTAGCACCAACACCCAATCCTTCCCAAGCTTCGGCTTACAGACTACACCATGGTCACCCGGCGCCCAGCTGGCCTTCAGCTCCTGCGGCAACGGGGCAAGCCCAAACAGGTGGTTACGGTGGCGTGGTCAACCAGCAGCGGATCAATGAGTGTGCCGGCATACCGCTCATCTCGAATGCCTCCACTCACTTGTCGCCTGCCCAGCGTCAGCGTCTTTTAAGAAAATCCGTACCCAAATCACCGCAAGCATGGCCACCGGGCGGAGCCTCTATGTCCCAGCTGGCAGTGCATGCCCAGGGAATGCCTCTGCTGCAGCAGAATGGAAAGCAACATCAACACCTACAGCAACAGCAGCAGCAGCAGCATCACCATCATCATCATCCGCACCACCCACATCCGCATCCTGGTCCGCCCAATTGGAGTGCCTACCAGGGTATGAGCAGTCCCAGCTTCAAGATGGCAGATAAATCCCGAGTTCTGCGCTACCAAAACTCGGCACCGCCAGTGCTTAGTAGCAGCAGCAGTAGCAGCAGCCAGGAGAAGCCACAAAATAGTGGTGGCAGCTGCCAGGATCAGGGAAATTCACCTTCGGAAACCTGTTTGCCCAGGATTATCAAGCCGCGAAAGCGACGCAAGAAGGATCGCAAGCCGGGCAACGGATTGCTACTCAAGATGGAGTCGGATATGCAAACCAAGATTAACAATCAGAGCGAGGGATATTTAGTGGGAGGAGGAGGATCAGGATCCTATCACCTGCCGCCTGGGATATTGCAGCACGATCATACGCACGGCGTTTGTTTCTGCCGCGAATGTGATCCGCTGCGTTCTCTGTGGGATTATCCGCTCCGGCGTTCGCTGTCTGATGCCTCGTCCAGCGAACAGGGCGGTGGCAGCAGCAAGGAGTCCTCCACTTCCACTTCCTCTACATCATCCACGCACAGTTCGGATAGCTCCTGTGACAGCTCCATCTGCAGCCAGAGCCTGCCCAGATCGTCGTCTTTGGCCTTGCAGGAGGAGACCACGGAGGAATTTTCACCCATCACCGGGGATAGCAGTCGGGCGGATATAGTGGGCGTAATTGGATCCCAGCGGAGCCACCCGAATGCGGTGACCACGCCCTCACAGTGCCTGAGCGATGATTCCGGCTACGGCGATATCCTGAGTGGGATCAACATAGCCAACGATCTGTTTGGCAATTGCTTCAGAGGCGGGAAACTGGGCAACGCCTCCTCCTCCTCGATTTCCGCCCAGGCGGAGACCCTGCTGGACGAAAGCCTCAATGAGATATCGCGCAAGCTGATCGAGACTTGTAATGCGGCCGATCAGGCGGTGCTGGGATCTGGCTCTGTCTCGGGATCGGGATCGGGAGCAGCCAGTGACAGTGGCTTGGATAGTGCTGGCAGCCACAGCTGCGATTCGGGTCTCGTCTTTAACTTTGAGCATTTGAATCTGACGGATGTGACGCCCACAGCCTTGGATTTTCTCGTGGATTGCAACAATAATACCAGCACCACCAAGAGCTGCAGCACCTCCGGCAGCAACAACAACTGCCTGGGCTTGGTGTGGCGCGGAGGAAGGCATCCAAATGCAAGCGGAGGTGGCAGCCACGATGACAGCCAAGTGGCAGCTGCCAAACTGGGCCCAGACAGTCGGGCCACACCCGCCAGGCTAATACTGGGCACGGTGGGTAAGCTGAAGCCAGCATTTTCCACCATCTCGTGACGACGACGATGACGACAATGGAAAATCAAATCGAAACCGAAGAAGAATGAAAACGGCCCAAGTCCCAGGTACCAGCGCGTGGGCGGATTTTGATTGGGAAATTTGAGTCTACCGAAAGCACTTGGGAGTTTCTACCAAAACCAATAACCAAACCCAAGCCCAAATTGCATAATCCCAGCGAAGCGAGCGAAGAAAGAAGAAAACCCATTAAATGGGCACAAAGCACATGTGAGACGATCATCACATCATCATCATCATAAACTCCGACGCCGCTACGAACACCGATCATCAGAGCGAAAAACAAAAGGCCAACGAGTTGACCAAATGGGCCCAAGCAGGCAGGCAAGCAGGCGGATGGATGGATGGATGGATGGATGGAAGCGATCCCAACTAAATGGGAGACAGGCCGGGACTGGGGACTTGGAAACCCTGTACATACCACATACACACTCCGACTCCGATTCCGTCTACGAATCCCACTTCCACTTCCACTTCAACTTTCACTTTCACTGCGCGCGGCGGTGGCGGCGTTTTGTATTTCTGCATTTTTTAAGACACATTTTTCTTTTCTTTTTCTTTTTGCCAAAGACCACATCAGATGCGGAGGAGGAGTAGGAGATTGGGGGTTACGGGGTAGTGGTGCTACTCTTATGCAGATTTAGTGGCGCAAAAAGAAGAAGAAACTGTAGAAATCGTGTGCGAACCTATAACTATATCTATGTATCTCCATCTGCCCCTACACATACATTTAATTGCCGTTGTTATTTGTGCATTAACGTAATCTCTCCCATAGGAGCCAGGAGAGAAAGAAACCTACCCAAGGGTCTTGGGACTTGGCTTGTCCATGTGTTAGCTTGTATCTTTTGAGTTTAAGCCACGTTCCTACATGTTAGTTGTGTGTATTTTTATATAGTTTTTGGGTTCTCCTTAACTTGGTTTAGTCGGTTTGGTTTTTTTTACTTAGTATGTAATCGAAGCGCTACAACGTGAACTTTTATTAGTTGATAAGTTTGGCTAGGGTCTAGGATAACCTTAGGAGCACATAGAAAGGATCTCTGGTGGTTTTATTAGAGTCTTAAATGTCTGTTACAAAATTGTATATGCAATGCCTTTCAGAACTGAACAGTAATCAATCTTTGTTCAGAGTAAAGTGAATTCAATAATAATTTATATGTCAAGTCTTTCTGAAATGCATTGCAGCAGAGAACTAAACACTCATCTGTTTCCCATAGAATTATTCATCAGTTTTTAGTTAGATTCATGGGGTTTATCTATCGCGTTATGTTTCCGAATTAAGATACTCATTGCGCCCAAAACAGCCGAAGGAGAGTAGCAAAATCTGGTGCACAATTAATTTCAACTGAGATGATCGCCAAGCATAAAATCTAAATCTGAAAATCGAGAGCAGCCCTAGTTACCTGCTTAGCTTAGTTGTGTTGTGGAGTTGGCGAGTAAAAGTTTTCGCCTTTTTTCTCTTTTCTTTTTAATTAAAAGAAACTCACGAACAACGCGCGCACAGAAATTGCTTGAAGTTTTCCGCTCTGCTCGACTCTGACTTGGCTGGAATCGTGTGTTGTTGGCTCAGAGTCTTGGTCTCAGCATCTCGGCATCAGCATTTTCTGCTATTGCTGCTGTGGAAAATGTCACAGATTTTCCATTGGCAGCAGGTTCCGGCAGTCAGGCAGAGAGGCAGGCAGTTTGTGTTACCATTCCCCAGATAGAAATTACCACTCAAAGTTAATTTATTTAATTAATATATATTTTCACTAGTTGGTATTGTTGTGTGCGCTCTCTCGTATAGTGTAAGCATATATCGTTTTTGCACAAATAACAATAAATATAGTCTATAAAGATAACACCCCTCTCTCATCGCTTGTAACCCCTGCACACACCAAACACAATATGGCCAACTTATTTATTTTGATTAAGCCCGAACGAGAACTCAATAAAAAGTGTAAACAAAAATGTCAAACAAAAAGAACTTGATTGCTGTTTTGATAGCCCCAAAAAAAGGCACACACAAAGATGTACTATTGTCGAAAAGGCCCACAACTCGCATCTTCTAATGAGGCACGTTTGAGCCGACTTTTGAGCCGGAAAAGCAAACAGAATCTAGGTAGGCCCAAAAGCACTTGGACACCTCGGATACCCCCGGCTCCCTTTCGATGGATGCACTACTCGAAAATGAACTTTCCAAACATTAGCCGAGGCACTTGAACTTGCCACTGCACCGAGATTTCAAATAGCAAAAGCCAAGTGGGAACCTCTCTGCTGGCTGACCACCTTTCACCTGGATGAATCTTCTGGTGGTTGCTTCTAGTTGCCGGCTTTCGCAAAAAGATTAACCGCTGTCATAACCGTAACCGGCAAATTAATTTCTGGGCATTTTGTGCCCGTCATTAGGCTAATTAATGTCTCCATTTTAGGGCCTCATTTTGTTTGGAGTTGGAGTTCTGAGCGAGGTCTAACTGCTTGTTAAGTTGACTTCCCTAAAGACGCCAGTTTTCCGGCTCGATTTCAGCTCGCCTCTGCTCTGCAGTGCTCTTCTTTCCCAACAACAAACGGCAAAGCTCTGGAGGTCCGAACTCGGACCACTCCGGACCCGGACAGCGGACGAGAGGAGCGTTCGGCGTTGAGTGGGTCAGTGGACAATTGGGTCATTTGCAACACTGTTTGCGCCATCAGCCATCACAGCTAGCACCACCGGGGGAGCAACAGCAACAGCAACAACGGTGGCTAATGTGTTTTGGCTACGTCAATAAATGCGTCGCGTTGTTGTTCTCGCTGCCTGGTTGTTGCTGCAGCCATAGACCATAGACCATAGATATTTGCCGCTGGCCAACGAAGCGGGCCATCTTTCTTAGCGTTGTCAGCCTTTTTTCTCTCTCTCTTTTCCTTCTAGCGTCTGAAATTTAATTGTTTTTCCTCACCTTCCCTCGCTGCTGCCTGGGTATTCCAAATTTGTCGTTCTATTTGTGCCGGCTTTTGCATAGAAACTAATATTCAACATCAGTATACTTTGGGTTTTTATTTGATTTTATTTAATTTATTTTATTTGAATGATAATTTGAATACATGTTAACCTACAATGGTATAATAGCTTAGTTTTTAGTGTATGTAACAGGCAGAAGGAAGCATATCTGACCCCATAAAGAATATATTCTTGAATATATCATCACCATTAGAGTTGATTTACCAAACTTCTTTCATATTTGTTGCATGCAGACCAAGTTTGTTTTTAAAATTTATATTTAAAATATATATATAAAATATATATATAAAATATATATATAATCATATTTCTGCAGAGTAAAATTGTTATAAAATAATGTAAAAAATATCACTAAAATCGGATAACAAACAAAAGTTTTCAGATAATTTAAATTCCTTTGTATGTTGAGCTTCTGCAACATATTCAATTTCTTTTGGCAACATCAATGGGTGTTGCTCAACTAATTTCTAGCAACATTGCCTTTCTTTGGTTGCTGTGCAGCATGTTCCTTGCAACATTGTTTTTTCATCTGTTTTATTCAAGTTTTTTTTTAAATTTAAGCATAATTAAACTAAAATAATCAGAATAATAATAATAATAATATGGACATCTTCCATTCAGTCATATTCTACTGTAGACTCCCTATTTCCTTTCACAGTAAGCTGCCTAATATTCTGAAAAGAGGATTTTAGGAAGATTGAGAAGGAATCAGCTTTTTAATTAGGTATTAATTACATTAAAGATTTCTTACTTGTTAAAATCTAAACTGTTTTTACTATTATTATTAGACTGTATTAATATTTATTGTTTAGGGTATTCACTTGCTTACGAAATGAAGGAAAACTGACTTTGCTACTTGTGCTTACTGTCCCCCTTTTTCCCTAACGAATTACTGTCTTTTCAGTAGACTTTTCTTTGGCTAGAAATTAGCATTTCGCCATGAAATTGAAAGTTTTATTTTCCAATTAACTTGGCCAGTTCAGTGGGCCACAAAAACACACACACACCTCAGCACGGGCACCAGCACCGGCAGTAGTTCATCATCATCATCATCGTTGTCGTCGTCCCTCTGCGTTGCCCAAGTTCCTATCTCAACTTCCTCCGTACACAGACCCAAAAAAAAGCGGTTAATCCGAATAAAGGCCAAATGTCTACGAAAAAGGTTACGCAAAATGTCAAACAGTTAAGAATCCAACTTCCTAACGGCCACAAATGTCATTATTACATTTATTTTCCACTTTTAATGCCGTCTACTCGTTCGCTGGGTCGTCTTAGTTGGTTTGCTTTTTTCTCTCCTTCTATTTTTTTTTGTTGGTTGATTTTCTTTTCAGCCATTCTCGTGCTGACTCGGATTTAAGATTTTCACAGACAATCGCCGGGTTGCTACTTGTCTGGGCCATTAGCTGTAGTATATCAACACTATTCATAAGATGAAGGGCCACAGTCTCTGCTTTTTGAATCATTTCGGTGGCAGCAAATAAGAGTTCATGTTGAGCAATGTGTAAATTTGATTGTCTGTGAAGATAAAAGATACAGAAGAAGAATTCATTAAAATTTTTGTTCCCCTTTTGGGTGAAGATTTCGGTCCAATTCTTTCTCAAAATTATTATGTTGATGCAACAATGATTTTGATGATCCTATTAAGTTAACACCTTGACGATTTACTGCCCAAGAAAGCCAGTCATAGCGTTCTTTGATTATTTAACGCTCAGTTGAGGCAAAAACTTAGTTAGGTCAGAATTACAGAACAATTTAATTGGGTTGCATTTTTTCCAATGCCTTTGTAAGATTATCGATCTTGATTAGGTCACATGTTACGAGAATGGTCAGTCGATCATTAGAACATCCACATTTATCCACATTTACCAGTGCCACACGATCTCTCTCTCGCAATGCGTGGCTGCAGCCTCAAATGATGAAATCATTTGATGAACGGGAGAGGCGGGGTCTAATGTCGCCTGTGACGTAAACTTCTTTGGAAAGAAAGAAGCTGCGCCAACGCTGGACATCTGGACCCATAAATCAAGTGGACGGAGTGCAGCCAAAGGGCTTTGGCTGGCCGTGTTAATGCCTATGTCTTTCTGGCCTTTCTGAGCGGCTTGTGCTGTCGTTGTAACCTATTATACCCTTTCAGAGGGGGGTATATGTTGTACAAGATGAGGAATCTTTAAAATATGAATTAAAAGCATAGATGGGCAGCGGTGTCAAAAGTGGGAGCCATTTTGAAGCAAGAAAATTGACTATTTTCCACAGTCAATATATTTTGTTTTTGTTTTGTATAGTAGGTAGGAGTTTTTATATTATATTCTAAACACTTTATTTTTTAATTTAATTTTATGCTAGGATTTTTAAGACTAGCATAGAAATTTACAAATATTTAATATTCCAATTTTTAATGTGAATTTAATATATTTTATACCCTTTTTGAGTATTGTAATTTTATTTAGAAGTTTGCAAAGCAGTCAAGAAGTCATTTCCTTCTTTATAATGTTGTATTAATTATTTGCGTCAACAGTAGAGTCGATCTAGCCACTTTCTTCTATCACTTTTCAGCAAACAAGAATCTGTTATTCTTTTATTATGAAAGACACTTTATCCCAACTTGGACCACTATATCATATAAATGTTATAGGAACAATCACAACAATTATGTTTAATATAAACCCCGATAAATTGTAAAGGGTATTCAGATTGTAGGACTTTATAGCCAACTCTACTATATTGTTGTAACATATTCTTCTGCCTTTTTTGTGTCCGCTCACGAAATGAGCACAACATGAATTAATTTTTTTTTGTTTCTGTTTCTTAGTTTTTTCCGTTCGCCACTCCGGAGCATACAGAGTGGCCACCGTTGTCTGTACAAATTTTGTGGCTCTATGTAGGTTTATAACTCGACTCGTCTGGGCTTTATATTGTTATTGCCGCTTTTCTGCCTCATGACGAGTTTTTTCTTCTTGTAGTTGTTGTTGTGTGTGCTGCATATGACGACGATGCTGCTGCTGCTGTTACCTAATCGTTTAATTGGCTTAAGTCAGTTGATCTCTTTCCCCACCTCTCGTCAGCCCTTTTCTCATTTTTTCGGCTTTTACTTAATTTAATTTTTATGACAACACTTTGTGCTTTGTAATGCATTTTAAACGCATCGCGGAGTCATCGATTCCCACAACGTTTGCCGATTTAGTGGAGCATGCCGAATTTAAGAGCGGAAAGAGGAAGTGTCAGGAAAATGTTTAAAGATTGCGACTCTATGGTTACCCTTTAAAAGTTGAAGAAACTTTGTATAAAAAATTAGGAACAGAAAAATAATCACTAATAAAATATTTCCATCTTAATATCAAATATTACTCAATTAAAGATAATTTTCTGTCATCTTAATAATATCAAATATTAGTCAATTAAAGATAATTTTCTGTCATCTTAATAATATCAAATATTAGTCAATTAAAGATAATTTTCTGTTATCTTTAAAGATTAAAAATATTTCTGTATATAAGATTTTTGACCTGGTTAATGTCAGTATCCTTTTACTGATCCAACTCTAAATTTAACCAGTTTTCAGCTAGACCTTATTGGGAATTATAATGCAACATTAACGTTAAGTGCGTTGAATCTCAGGGAGGGGATCCTCATGTGCGTTCTTGACTTTGTTTCACTTTGATATCGGTTGTTTATTAATGAAATTATTATAAATACATAAATGGCTAATTGTAACTTTTTTTGAAAACCAAAATTGTTTTTAAAAATATAAAAAAAATCTAGATTATATGAAAACTATTTTTGAGTTATTTTAAAGTATTTATAATATAATTTTCAGCCAAAGACTCTTTCTTTAATAAAACTTTACTATTTTACAAAGAACCGACTTTCCTAAACCTATTTTAAAACCTATTTTAAAATGTATGATTAATTTTATCAATGAATAATGAGAATTTGTTATAATGAAGTCTTCTCTATTTTTGGGCCCTTCTGGCCCAATATACCCGGCTTTCGCCTCCATTTAAGTATTGCTGAGGATGACAAAACGGCCAAAAAGGTATAAAAAAGCTGAAATGGTTTATTTATATAGCGAAACCGGTATTTATAACTGCAATTGGGAGTGAAGAAGCGGCCGACGCGATGATGATGATGATGATATTAGTGCCAAAAATTATAATAGGCAGGGCAACAGCAACAAAAAACAGCTGACGATTTGGAGCTCCACCTCGTTTGTCCGCCTTTTGTGAATGTTAACTGTTATTTCGGTTACGAAATGTGAACTTTTTTCTTCTCTTTTTGTTTTTTTTTTTGTTGTTGGCTTTATGCCTCGTATTATTTTGTGCTTTGTCATGGCACAGCTTTTTCCGTTTTTATTTTGTGTGTGCCTTTTGTGGAGTAATTCGCATAATTGGCCCATATTTCTTATAAATATGCAACAGAAATCGGAAATGTTATCGTCTCGTCTCGCCTTTATTATTGTTTTAAATGCGGAAGTGAGCTTACAGCCTGTTTTCGTTTCGTTTTCGTTTCATTTTCGTGTTTTTTTTTCTTCTCTCTGTTTTTTTTATTTTTTTGGGGCTGACTGGAGCTTATCAAGGTTGTTGTTGCGTAAAAGGAAGTGCAAATGGTTAGAAAGTTTTATGGCCAGGGAACTGCACCGGGGGAAAAAAGTATTTCCTGCTTAAGTAACCAAAAAACGAATAATTTCTCTAAGTTCTATTGCAAAAATGCAGCTAAAAAAACCATCGCGTTACTAAGGTAAAAAGTTCGAAATGTATAATTTATTAGTTCCTCAAAAAGTGAAACTTGAATAATTCCAATTTCGCCAAAAGTGATCGTTAAAAAAAACACCAGACAGTTATAACCGAATATGTCCAATTGATAAAAGCGAAACTCAAGAGAAAACATTTTTTGGGCCTTTTATAGCTGCTTGAAATATGAAGGAACATTATTTATAACATTATACAATCTATAAAATATACAAATTTCACTCAATGTAAGGCAGCGTATTTCTTTAAAAAATTTGTTGAAGAATTTCGAATTTCGAAGTTATAAAAATTGATACATTTGATAAAAGAATTGCTTTAAGCTTGGAATTTTGAAAATCATGATCTATAGAGAGCGAGATGCATTCGATTTTACTCCCTTTGTGCGAGTGTGTGGAGATTTGCTGGATAATTTCTTTCGGGCTGTGGGTCTTGGCTGGACGCCCCTTGGTTGGATTGGATGCTTGGTTGGATGGCCCATTACAGGCTGTGTCAATGTCAGCAGGCGGCAGGCAGAAGGCAGTAGGCAGTTGTCTCGTCGCCGCTTTCCATCTGCGGGAGAGAGAAAGTACCCACTGCGACGGCGACGCGAGTGCGCGCAAAGATTTAAAAGTGGATCAGCGAAAGAAAAATAAACGTAACCGAGCAACGTGCGGCATTGTTGGACGATCGCGTGAGCTTGCCCCTGCCGCCTCCAACGAAGATGCTGCCCATGCCTGCCTGCTTGGCAGCCTGCACCCGGAAAAATGTACCCAGCATTAAGAGATTGATTTTAAAGAATTGTACAGAATTCTAATATCAAACCTTGCTTAAATTGAAATACATTTTAGTGACCTCTTCAACTAATACATTCTTCAAAATCCAATAAGAAATAATTAATTTTACTCCATAAAAACGATTTTGCTGTGTGTTCCTACCACATACATAGCTCGGTGGAAAGAAAGCCCACGCCAGAGTCTGCAACTCCAACTTCGACTTCGACTGTCGATGGTACGTACCGGTGGTGGCGCTGGGATGTTTGGTGCTCCATCGATGCCGGAGCTACCTCGGCTTTTGCCACTCGTCATCCGCTCGCCTGTGCATAATCACTGTGCGCGCACATTTTCAATTGATTTTCCATGTGACGCAGCACAATTGGAGTCTTTTGAATATATATGGCGCTCACGATCAGCCGCGATATTGGTGTGTGGAGCCAGTGCAAGAAATGCATCGGCAAATGCCGTCCAACTGGTTTCCCACACGCAGACACATCCATATATCCATATGCATGTACATGGACCCCACAGTTTCGGTCAAAACTTTAGAGATTTCAAGGGGTTTTCACTTTGTCAAAGTTTTACAAGATTCTAACTTCATAGTAAGCAAAAGGGAATTCATAAATCAGTATAGATTGATAAGAAAAACTGCAATTAATGTTTAGAATATGGAAGCAAATGTAAAAGAATTGAATCCTATAAATTAACATTGCGGAATGACAAGACAAATGTTTCTAGATTACTGTTGCTGGGAATCTGTTGAGCAACATTTATTGGTGTTGCCAACACATACATGTTGGTACTCCTTTGTTTACCCATATTAATCTTTTATTTCATCATTTTCTTATAAAGAACTGACTCAATATCTAACTGTTTTTTTTTTTTTTTATTGGGCACGGTGTATGAAAACTGTAATTTACATTGGAAAAATCTATAAACAAATGTTTCTAGACAAATGTTGCTGGGAAAATGTTGAGCAACACATATTGCTTCTGGCAACACATCGATCGGTGCTTTTTGTAACTTATGAATATATGAAAACTTAAATCTACAGCATCAATTTTTCCAATAGATATAAAATATTTTCTTTTATTTTGAACTATATTTTTTTGTGCTAATACTTTAACCGCATCTGTCTCGTGCGTGTGTGTTTGGAGTGCCTGAAGTGCACCTTAAATTGTCTTTCATTATTATGATTTTAATGCCAGATTGTCTTAAAGTGGAAGCATCGCAACGACGGCAACGACGATGGCAATGGCGATCAAAGTGGACTGACAGGCAATACCAGTCATCTCGGCCAGAAAACAGAAAACAGCAACCTGCAACTTGCAACTTGCGATTGCTGCTGAACGCCATTGAACATTGGCAGTCAATCGCTGGTGGTGTTGTTGTTGTTAGGAAAAAAAACTGGTGCAAATGAAACAAGTTATCTAATTGCTGTGCTCGAAGAAGTGTGGCAAGTGGCGAGTTGACTTTTGTTTTCTATTCGGAGCAGGCCTCCACTTCACTCTGCGCTCCACACCGAAAGCTCCTCCTCGATCTTCAAGCATGTTGTGCATACGAAATTGTTGGCCAACACAAATACACACACACAAACACACACACACAAACACACACACACCAAACAGGCTCCCTCTGCATCGGCCTGGCCTCTTGGCGTTTTTAATCGCACCAAATTTCAATTTGAATTTCACTTTCTTTTTCGATACGCTCACTTGGGTTTTTGCCTTTCGAACTTTTGTTTGTTGTCTTTGTCTCTGAGAGTAGTTTTTTTTTCTCTTTTTTTATTTATTTATTTTTTTTTTTGCTATCGCTATTGTATTTCATTTCGTTTCTTTTTGTTTTCAAATGCAGCTAGCAAGCAGCGACCATGAAAACTTTTGGAAAGAAAGGGGTTTCTAGTGGTGCCCCCTGAGGGGGGAATGTGAACCAAAAATCAAGAGAAAGGGGGGCTATAATCTCTCCATAATCTGGAGAGTGGGAGGCACATAGGCCGCGACACGACATGGCGTGACATCAGGAATATTGAACCATCATCCACAATGGCACAACTTCGACTTAACCGTGTCAAGAGAGAGTAAACATAATTGATATGCATCCATTAGGCCATTAATAATCTTGATTGTGTGTCGGTGGAACTAAACAATTGATTGAGATCGGAGGTAGAATTGAGGCTGGGATCGGGATCAAGATCATTGTAAAAAATAGAAAGGTTTAAATGTTCTAAGAGATAACCAAAATATTTAAATTAGATACAATATTTAACTCAGCTATTATTTAAAGTAGCTTTGTAAAGTGCTTTATCTGGAGTCAGTGTATAAAGCTGATCTTTCTAATTTCATAATAATTATATTACTTTGAGACTCAAAAGCCTTCGTCTTAACATAATCCTTATGGTAAAGTGATTTACAAATACTTTACTAAATACACTTTTAAGTAATAGAAAACTAAACATGATTGCCGTAATAAGGCTTATTCTAGTAATTCCTATGAGTTTACGAAATACTTTTATTGATAGTGATTGTAATAGATATTTAAAAAAAAACGTGTAGTCTATTCCATTTATGAGGGAAAATCGAAACATCTATTAACTAAATGCAGTTTTAGTTTTATTTGTATTTTATTAGTTTTTAAGTTGTTAACTTTCCATTCAACTGCCCTCTGGAGTAACCACAAGCTCCGAAATTCATATCTTCTTGCCACCTCCTCCGGCACCTTCGAAAGTGTGGCACGCTTCGCTGGCTGTACAAATTTGCTTTAAAATTTCGTTGATCGCTTTGTTTTCCCAAAGTGTTTGATGTGTGTGTCGTCTTTTGTTACACACCTGTCGAATGGGGTAATCACTCACAAATTTGGTGAAATTATTTACCAGCCGGCAGCCCACTCTACGGACGGAAGTTTTAAGTGGATGCGTGGGCGTACTCAATTGGGTAAAAGTTTCATAATTCACCATTACCTCTTTTAAGTGCGCCCCAAACACCTTTAACCTGCACTTACAGTGGGGGAAAAAAAACCTCGAAGGCTTTGAGATTAAATATTGTGAACATTTTAGAATCCGCTTTAAAGTTTGCAATTCGTAATTTAGGGATGACGTGTGTGTCATCGACACAATCACGGTTCTCTGATTTTTTAAACTGCCGCATTTTTTTTGGCTTATATAGCGATGACATTTGCCCCACTGTCGCCAGCAACCACCACTTATATGTACCTGTGATGGGGGGTAAGGGTATTATTTTGCCCACAATAGTTGGCATTGAGTTCGTTGTCGAAGTCTTTCTGTCTGTTTTGTAATTCTCGCACTTTAGTTAATACTTACTCCCATCCACACACACACACATACACACACGCCTACACGTTACGTTGATCTTCTTTTCATCCTTTTACCGTTGCTTTGCATGTTGCGGTGACTCAGTTTTCTGCAATTTTTGTTGCGCCCGTGCCAATTAAATAACCATTTTGCATAATTAAAGAGCAGCCATAGAGTGGTAATAGGTGGAGTGGGTCCTAAAAAACGAATTGTACAATTAAAATGCAATCAAAGCTGTGTTAATGTAGTCATTAAAAAGGCTGTCAGCGAAAAAAACAAAAACAAATAAAAACGAAACAAAACAGCAACAACCGAAAACAAAACAAGACGCAGACAGTAACATCAGCGACAGCAACAACAAAATTATGAACAAAAATCACAAAATTTATTAAAAAGTGAAAGTTTTTAGTCGACGACGTTGCCGTCCGTCCGTTTGCACAAAATTACCAGAGGGAAAAAGAAATGCAAAAACAATCAACAAGTCTGCGAAGCAAAACAAAACAAATCAGCAGAAGACCCGCGGAGAGCGCTGCTTTGTGACCCGAGAGCGAGAAGAGAGGGACCTGGCTAGAAGAGAGCGAGAGTGGCAAGAGAGCAAGCACAAGAAGGGAGAGCGAAGAGTTGAATATTCAAATTCAAATTCACATTGTGGCGCCAAGTCGCCTCTCTGCGGAAATATGTTGCTATAGGCGCAGGCTGGAAAGCTTCCAACACGACGGCTACCAACACGATGAATGGCGGGGGGGTGGTTCGCAAGATCTTTCAACAGCACCAGCATCCGCACCCCCATCCGTACCAGCAGTCCCGCCCGCACTTGCTGCCGTCCCTGCTCCCACACCCGTATATGCAATTGCACCCGCAGTTCCTGCCCAATCCGGGCCATCAGCAGTGTCGCACGTTCTACTCCCAGACGTCTCAAGTCAACCGCAGCTTCTTCCCTGCCTCCGAGCCCGTAGCAAATTGGAGGAGCCAGTGTGCCCGTAAGTGGTTACCTCTCCACCAGTGATGGTAAGGTACACTTTACCCGATCTCTTGCCAGTGCCAAGGTACTGGATTCAGAAAGGTACGCATACGCCTCTGATTCTGGTTTCATGCCCAAGATCCCCCCAGTTTACTTATTATTTAAATGCTATCTATGCTTGTACCCACATTTACCCGACATCGCTAGTTGACTGACACTGCTCTTTGGCATATACAAAGGCGGGAGCAACACCTGACCGACTGGTGGTGGTGCTATTGCGGTGGGACAAGCCAAAGGCGGAAGCGATTTGATTGCTTGTGCATGTCACTTTCACCGCTTGCAAACTTTTAGCACCCGCCATCGGGGAGTGGTACGGGTGAATCGGGGGTAAAAGTGGTTGTGGGAGAACGTGGATGGACGGATGGGGAGCCATCGCAGTGTGTCACTGGGCTATAGGAGATTAAACCCGGCTTTCTGTATGCGTGTGTGCTTGTGTGTGACTTTGTGTGTTCCAAGTGATAATTTCATAATATCTCGCCTTCACTGGTCTATTACTAACCGTGCATCCGTGACTTCTCTTCTATTTGCAGTTACCGTCAATCCACCGCCCCAGAGGCCCTGGCTGCCACTGGCCAAGCCCAACAAAACGCGACCAGCCTGTAAGTTGTAATTAAGACTCTTAGTGGCCCCAACGAGCCGGTAGCAACAAGAATTTTCTATTAGCCATTTGTAGTTGTGCCCCAGTTAGCTTTACAAACTAATCCCATTTTATTTCCATCGATAAGTGATTTGGTAGAAATATTTTCTTTAGTGGGAGTTTTAGTTGCTAATGGACATTAATTTTGAAAACTTCTTTTAATAATAAGGGGTTCTGTCCATGTTTATATTTGATTAAAATTATTATAAAAGAATCTTTTGAAATAAACATTTGGATAGAGTTACTTTTCAATAATAGTTTTTTGGACTTATTTCATTAATAATATTTCTATCACATCTTTATCGATTTTATCATTCTTTGCTTAAGTTTAAACTTTAAGAAATCGAAATAATCAACTAACGTAATAAACTGGAAAGAGTTTTACATTTTAATTTTAATTATGTAATTCTTTACCCAGATTTTCATGAAACAAAGTAAATTCGATAATTTAACGCCATAAAATGGACAGACATTGAACTAATTTTATCAATTTTCAGGCATTTTTACGGTCATGTGCTATAATGTACTCTGCGACAAGTACGCGACGCGGCAGATGTACGGATACTGTCCATCGTGGGCGCTGTGCTGGGAGTATCGGAAAAAGTCCATCATCGACGAAATTCGGCACTACGCGGCGGATATCATTAGTCTGCAGGAGATCGAGACGGAACAGTTCTATCACTTTTTCCTGCCGGAGCTTAAAAACGATGGCTATGAGGGCATCTTTTCCCCCAAGTCGAGAGCGAAGACGATGTCCGAGCTGGAGCGGAAGTATGTCGACGGCTGTGCGATATTCTTCAGGGCGTCAAAGTAAGTCGTCACATTAATGTTCATTTAATAAAAAGTAGGTGAGCTAACGCTGAGTGTTCCTCGTATGCAGGTTTACGTTGATCAAAGAGCACCTGATCGAGTTTAACCAGCTGGCGATGGCAAATGCCGAGGGTTCCGACAACATGCTGAACCGCGTGATGCCCAAGGACAACATAGGCCTGGCTGCTTTGCTCAAGGTTAAGGAGAACGCCTGGGAACCGATGTCCGAGGTGACGCAGATCTCGCAGCCGCTGCTCGTCTGCACGGCACACATTCACTGGGACCCGGAGTTCTGTGACGTTAAGCTGATCCAGACGATGATGCTGAGCAATGAGCTGAAGACGATCATCGACGAGGCTAGTCACAGCTTCCGGCCCGGGCACAAGAACGACTCGAACGCCGTCCAGCTGCTGTTGTGCGGCGACTTTAACTCGCTGCCGGACTCGGGCGTGGTGGAGTTCCTCGGTAAGGGGCGCGTCAATATGGATCACTTGGATTTTAAGGACATGGGCTACAAGTCGTGCCTGCAGCGGCTGCTCTCGAACGACACCAACGAGTTCACGCACTCGTTCAAGCTGGCCTCCGCCTACAGCGAGGACATCATGCCGCACACCAACTACACGTTTGACTTTAAGGGCATCATCGACTACATCTTCTATACGAAGACGGGAATGGTGCCGTTGGGTTTGCTCGGACCCGTCTCTAACGACTGGCTACGCGAAAACAAGGTAGTAGGGTGCCCCCATCCACACATACCCTCGGATCACTTTCCGCTCCTCGTTGAGCTGGAGCTGATGCACACGGCCAGCCAGCAGGCGCCCCCCAACGGGCTGATCAATCGCCGGTAGCAATAGAATCGGCGCGGCAGACCCACCTCCAGCAACAGTACCACCACCACCAGCACCACCACCCTGATGACGACGACGACGACGGCGCCGACGTCCTCTCGGACACCGGTCGCCAGCGGTGGGGGGAGCGGCGGCAGTGGGCCTGGAACTGGGAGCGGGAGTGGGACTGGAAGCGGAAGCAGCGGCGGCTTAGGAGGCCTCATGATACCAGGCGGCTACAGGGGACGCAGCTGCAGCAATAGCGGAAGCCAGCGTCTGGCAGCCGCACTCGGACCAGCGAGAAAGACAGGCAATCCTACTCAACCGCCGAACGACAAACCGGCATCCGCCACACATCCCTCTCCCAACTGACGTGGCGCTCTGCTCGCATCAAGATTCAGTTTTAGAGTTAGATACGAATTCGAACCCCCTGGTCCTCCAAGTCCATTTACCAAGCAAACCAATCCAAACAACCATTGTCCCCCTCAGAACCCTAAGTTATAAGCTGACGACGTTGTGGAGGCTTCGCTGCTTTGTGCGCTGGATCGCAAAGTGCGTTCACCGATGCAACCACCCATTCATTCGCTAGGATCGTAATCGTAATAGGAAGGAATATATCATTTACTTGCTGCACTCATTCTTCCGCGCTTCTTCTCATTTTAATTTTATCAACTTTACGTTTTCATCGAATAATAAATCCGTACATATACATATAATCTGCACACTTGCATACATAAATCGTTTAGCAGCCAGAGGAATATCCAAAAGTGTCCCAAAACCCACTAAGCATTAAGTGAAAAGTAAAAATAGAATGTGTAAAAATTAAACAAGAAACCTAAACAAGCAAACTAAATACTGTGTAAGCCGATAGAAAGGAACACAACCTACAACATGTGTACAGAAGATACCATTCGAGCCACACAACAGAACTCACACAATTATCGTCCCGGATACTGTCCGGATGTGCAAAGTAAAGTAGATCCTGTAACTAGTTGATAATACAGCGCCGATTCTTGTAATGTAAAACATTAAATATAGCACTTAATACTGATAGACTGGCCCTCACGTGAGGGTACGTCTGTATGGATGTTACAAAATCAAATTAATATCTTTTGGGGCCGAAAGTGATAATATATCGCGAAATTGATACCGACTTGAGGTTTAACCAGAAGTCACCTGACCTTAAGTTAAAATTGTATTTAATTTCCAGCAAAAACTGAGAAGCTTTACTTGGGAGACTTGAAAGGAGAACAGAAGAGATTATTCTTACCTAACTTTCCGCCCCTCGGATACTATGGCAAATTAATTAAATAACACCCACCACTATTGTGCATATGTAGACCTAAAAAGAGATCTTATATAAATATAAGCTATGTACATATATGCGTGCAGCAAATACAAAATAAATGTCGTAAAGAGAAGTATAAATAAGTATCCATGGACACATGGTATACATGATAATTATGTAAACTGATTTAAACGATGCGCCGCACATCGGCGGGAGGCGATCATCATTCATCGAAACCCACTCACCATAAAGTAAATAAAGTAAAGAGAGAATCAAATGTACATAACTTTTATTTTTTCATTTTCAATTTAGGCACTGGTTATTGTGGGAAAGGCCTCGCCAATGGCCATATTCTCCGTCAAACGATTTGCTATTGGTGTCCAAAGATTCTTGCAGCTTTGCTGCAATATCTTCAGATTTCCGATGATGTACAGTCCCCGGCGAGCTCGGGAAAGAGCTACACATACTCGATTAGGTTGACGCAGGAATCCGATTTGACCGGATTTGTTGCTGCGGACCAGGGAGAGCAGCACAATATTGGCCTCCAGACCTTGGAAACTGTCAACGCTGGCTACTTTGATACCCGTGCAATATTTTCGTGGAAGCTGCAACGGATTAAAATCATTATGTAAAAGCGATACAACTTGGGCGTTTTACGAACCTTTTTCACTATGCACTCTATTTGTGCATTATAAGGTGTTAGGATCACAATGTCTCTGGGCTGGTAGTCGGCCTCTGCGACAAGAAACACAGCCAGCTTTGCCATCATCTCAGCTTCGTATGGATTTTCAAAGGACATGTCTGTTGTTTGCATCTCCGGTTGGCTGTGCTGCACAAAGAATAAGTTCTGCTCCATGAGACGAACATTTTCGTAGTCATTTACAGAGTTCGCGCTGATAAGCTTGTCATAAATGGTCGGAACCAGAAGCTGGGCAATGCACGGACGCATTCGGTACTGCGTATTAAGCACGCTGAAGGGCATACCGGTCACAATTAGGCGTTCGAAGAGGGAGATCTGAGGCACCTGATTGCTGCCGCTGTAAGGTTGCAGCTGCTTGTGGTCGCCGACGAGAATCACGTGCTCCGTGTGCGGCGTTAGGCAGGCCAGGATATGTGCCTCTTGGATTTCAGCCGCCTCCTCGAAGACCACGCACTTGGCCTGCAGGAGTCGGAACAGGAAGTTAAGGCGAGCAGCACATGTGGTGGTCATGGCTAGCAGATCTTTGTTCCTGGCCAAAAAGTACTGAAACACAGTGCGCAGTGTCTCAATACGCTCGGTCACCTGTTGCAGCTCGTGCTGGGCCACCAAAGTCTGTTGGTAGCTCTCCTCGCTGCCATCGAAGTTGGTAAGGAGGTCTTGCAATCTATGGAACTTCTCCTTGTACTCACAGTTTACTACCCACCAAATCCGTTTCAGGCGTGGTGGCACCAACTCCACATTGACCATGGTACGCACGTTAAACTTGGCTATTTGTGGGTCTCGCGACTGACTGCCAAAGCGAAGAACTTCCGTCGTGTATCGCGATATTTTTACCAACAATTTGTCCAGCGAGTCGTTGGTGTAAGTGACCACTATTATGGGACCGGTGCCCAAAGCCCTCGCGTTCTGTATCAGACAATTGACCAACTCGACGGAGAGGTGCGTTTTTCCAGTGCCTGGAGGTCCTTGTATAATACAGAATTCTCTCTGTAGAGCATCAGTAAATGCTGTTTGCTGCCCCTCATTGAATGGCAAATCCTTCGGAAGGTTATTCAGTGTAAAGGGTTTCCCATTAAGGGTAAGCTTAGCTCCTGGCTTAATATAGACTGGCGGTCGTATGTCCGTCTAAATAATTAATAATATAATAATTAAATAAATTATTTCTGGAGGATCTGAGCTACAAACCTCTCCTTCCACAATATAGCGACGCATGGGAAAGTGTTCTGTGCTGCAGGTGCTCAGGTAATTGTGAACCCTTAGGTATGGCTCAAAAAACACTGGCGTCTGAAACATAATTAGGGGTCGATCGTAGATTTTGCCGATGTTGTACTGCCTGATAATTTCGACACTCAGCTGAGAAAGGAAAAATTGATAAAATCGAAATATGGTTACACGAACTATATTTCAATTACTTACGCGTCCTTTGTTAAGCATATTCGGCTCTGTGTAGCCCACACTGACCAGGATGAGATCTTTGAAGTCCAGACTCGTTGTAAGGCAAAGCAAGGCGCCCGATTTTATATTTTTTATGAAGTTTATCATTATATTCTTGCGGTCCTTTGGAGATTCTAGTCTCATAAATACCAGGCTGTGACGCTGCGACTCGGCAAACTCGGGATTAAGGACTAAAGTCGTCCCGGGCCACAGAAGGCCTTGACGCTCCAGCTCTTTCTTATCATCTCCAGACCGTAGCCGCTGCACAAACTCCAGTAATGGAGCTAAAAAGTCGTGACACAGTAACTGCCGCTGCCTTCTTACGTATTGCTCCACATTGTTGGACACAGCAGAATATTCTTTGGTGTCTTCTTTCCCCAGGAACTGGTCCAACGTTGGGTAGATCTCTTCCTTTACACCTTTTGCCGACAGAGTGCCATCAAAGGCTTCAAGATCATCGAACGCTTCGCATTTTGAGAGAGTTGCCAGCTTCTTGTAGAGATCCACCAGTTCGTACCCTCCAGGGCCAAGAACCCCTTGTTTATGGGCCCGCAAGAGCAACCACTTCATGTTTCCCAACAAGATCGGTTCCGATTCGGCATCGCATTTCCCTCCAGAAGCCTTTGCCAGCAGGGTCAGGAGCAGACGCTTGATCTTGTCCAACAGCACTGAATGCCGGGCGAAAGTCGAGAGGAATACATAATCGAAGCCGCCCAATTCCAGTTGGCAGAGTGACTTCAAAACCTCCACAAAGAGGGAGACACGCTTCAAGCTATCATTGGCCGCCAGTTGGTTGATAAACAAGTCTTTATCTTCGGAGAAGAAGTATAAGAACATATCAATGGGGGACATCTTTAGGCCTTTGGTGAAGTCAGTCAGGGAGAACCGATCGGCGGCAACTTTGATGCCCCCATCCGTAGCACTGGCCTCCAGATTCAGCTTCTTTAGGTAATTCCCCACTGAAAATGGACAAAGTGAGAGCAAGCGCCGATATTAAAAACGGGGAAGTACCAACTTTTGGGTTCATGACATTCTATGTGCTCTTCATTCTCCTCCCGCTGCCGCTGCTTTACCCTGTTCTCCAAACCCTGGACGAGCTCATCCTCATCCTGGTTAAACCAATCGTCGTCTTCGGAATCAGGTGTTGGGACGCTCATGGTTCTGGTTACAGTAAATTAAATAAAGATAAAGATTTAACGCATTACTTTCCTTACACTTGTTGATTGCGGCTCTTCAAAATTACAGTGTTGGATAACAAAAATATCAGTAGAAGTTCACTTTAATTCCAGCCAGTTTAGCTTTTTTCAGGCTATATCTGGCATTATTAAATATGGAAATGCTTTTGAAATTTCCAGCTAGCTTATAGCCTTAAAAATATTTTTCTTAGTATTAATTTAAGCATATTCAAGCAAAATGGCATTTGTAACATTTGTAAGGGTTTCAACATGTGCCAAAATTGTATTTGCTTTTACTGATTTAATTATATAAAATGTATAACCTCTCCTAAACTTTTGATTTCATTTCCTCACACATTTTTGTTCATGGCGGGTTCTATAATTATATAAATAGTCGAGAACAGCTTGATTTATTAAATGTTGTATTCTTTTGTAGTCGCACGCTGCTCTGAAAATACTAAAACTGTGCGGTCAGGAACCATCAGAAACTTTCTAGTATTTTCGATTTCGTGTCTCCATACAAGCGCAGTCGTTTTAAACTATTTAATTCTAGGTCTTTCAGACTGATTTAAAAAAATGTGTTACATTCACCGTACCGTACTTTTAAAAATTTTCAATAAAAAATATATAAAAAACAGGTGGGTAGTCTGACAGCTCCGGCGGTTAAACACCGAGGAGTGGCAGCACCAGTTGTGGCCATTTCGCTCAATTAAAATACGGTCTCACCCATACAAGTTAGAGTGAAAAACAGGGAAATGTACGTAATTTCTGCACTAGCATTACCAAAACATTGACTTTAAAACCGATTTGCAGGTATGCACTCTCCAGCTCGCTCATCCGCTCGCCGGCGCTGCGCAAGGGCCTCCAGATGGCCGCTGCCAACCGGCAGGTGTCGTTGAAAGTGGTCTCCGTGGGATCGACCCAGAAGGATGAGAGCTTCTTTGAGAAGAACGAGCGCCTGGGCAGGAAGCTGTCGCCGCATCTGAGCATCTACCAGCCACAGCTGACCTCCTTGCTGTCGGTCATGCATCGCGGTACTGGCTTGGCCCTGGGCGCTGGTGTCTGGGCGCTGGGATTGGGTGCCCTGATCTCATCTCACGACATCAACCACTACGTGACCATGGTGGAGGGTCTGCAGCTGAGCGCCGCCTCACTGACCGCCATTAAGTTCATCATTGCCTATCCGTTGGGCTACCACACGGCCAACGGCATCCGTCACCTGTTGTGGGACACCGGGCGCTTCCTCAAGATCAAGGAGGTCTACTCCACCGGTTATGCAATGGTTGCCACCTCGTTCGTGCTGACCGCTATCTTGGCCCTGCTCTAAGTCCTCCGCGGGGCAGCTATACCTATTAAAACCTAGTGTGAACATGGTGTGAGAAATCGTTTTATGCTAAATACATGTAAAGTATATATTTATAATGATATTTTGTTGTGTTACGTAACCAATCTGGGTGGGTTAAATGCTCTGCATTTGTTCGTTCCTGGATGTCATTTAAAGGCACGGCGTTATTTTGTGACGATTTTGGGTAATTTATAGCACGATTTCAGATTGTGTTGTTTTTCTGGGCATTTATAATGCTGAGAAATCATGTATACGCCCTGTGGCATTAGCTAACGTAAAACGGATTAGTTCTTCACATTTCGCCTGAAAGTAGGCCACGTTAGAGATTACATTTTTCACAACGGGAAAATAAGGTGCACCAATTTGCCGTAAAAAAGGATGAATCTAAATATCTTTTCATAATTTTGTATAAAATGAAATTTGAATTAAATGTAATTGTTAATAAATAAATAAGTCATCTCTATGACTTACCCCAGTTTGTTAATCGAAGGTTAAGCCGTTTTTTCGAACAAAGCCCACTAAAAGCAAATTTGTTTACTTTCATCCATCTTATATATTTTATTTATTGTGAATTTTGGATTATCATTTGTAAAAGCTGCAAATTGAAGTGCAACGCTCGTTTATGACGCTAAAATGTATCTAACAACTAATATCACAATCGATGTAATGTAATTGAAACTTCTAATCTGATGAATTTCGAAACTGGAAGCTCCTACTGAATGGATCCATGTTTGCTGACCCCCGATTCCGTTCCGTTTTCACCTTCACTTTCGCTGCCCTTTCCGTTGTCCATCGATGGGAGCAACTCGAAGTCGCAGACCAGGGAAAAGTGATCCGAAGGATACTGAAAGCTGGGCGTGCGATTCTTGCCAATCTGCTCGCCGGCTGGGAAATCCAGACAGTTTTTGATCTAAAAGATGATATAAATTAGAAAATAATTCTTCTAAAAGACATATAATGGATTTGGAGTCCTACCTTAAGGCGTTCGGGTGTGTAGAAGACATAATCGATGGTGTGGCATTCCTCACCCTCCTCACGTATCTTCCAGGTAGTGTAGGGTGGCTCCCGCTTCATTGATTCTGCTACAAGCTCGCCGACTTCCTCACTGGGCTGCGCAAGGATCTTCTCGCGATCAACCTTCACATCCGCATAGGCACTGCCCAGTCGGAGCATATCGCATCCGAGGATGGTGGCGTAAATAGGCTCCACTGGTTCCGCATTAAAGTCACCGCATAGCAGGAGTGGCGTATCGCCGGCAAACTGTTTCACAAACCGGATCAGATCCCGGCCCTGTTCGTTCCGTAGCTTGGCAAGAAGAGCGCCATGGCGGGCCTTCAGGTGGGTGGTGCATACGCAGAACTCGCGACCACTGGAGCGCAATCGCAGCCGAGCAGCGATGGCCACCTGGTTGCTTTGAACCCGCCACACCTCAAGGATGCGGGTATCGTAGCCCTGAAGCTGAAGCTTGTCGCGCTTGTAGAAAATTGCGCAGCCATCTGGTCCATTGTTCTGCTCGATGTACAGACAAGGAGAATCCGGCTTGGGGAAGAAGATTCCTGCATAGTTCTGAGTACCCAGGACGGTCTGCAGGAACTTGAAGTGATCTACTTCCTGATTTTGGAAATATAAAAGTTGGGTTAAAGCACTACTGTTTTTAAGATATCAATGTGGGGGGATGAATGTACTTGCAGACAAATCACATCGGGCTGATTCTGCAGGATCTCCTGGACGATCAGGTACTTGCGATGCTCCCAGGTGAGCGCTTCCTCAGGACAACGCACAAAGCCATCGTTGTGCTGGCCAAGAGCTGTTGGGATGCATCTTCAATTAGTATAAATAATTAAAATAATTTCTAATTGATACTTACTCTGCGAGAGAATGTTCCACTGCAGCAATCGGATATTTTGCGAGGCCTCGCCCTCAACTGGTGCACTGCAAACTGCAGAAATATATTGAAATTTATCCACCAAAGGACACAAGGATGCAACCTTACCCCTCGACACAGAGTTGAGTTTCAGGCATCGCAGTCCATCGGTGACATCTTCGCTCGTTTGGAGCGGTTTCAGGAAACCACGGGTAAGGAGCGATGATTGCTCTAAGCCTCCATTATTCCTCAACTGTTGGACATGCTGCAGTAGGGCGGCTGTGCTCAATCCTGTGGGCAACTCCAGACCATCGTCCTGCGAGTCAACGTTGTTGATCTTTGGCGCCGAGTTGAATGAGCCCATTCTGGAATCGATCAAGAAATTCAATTAGCTTTGAATCGTATATAATAGTGGAGAAAACTCAGCTAAGCAAACGTGCTTATTGCCACATTTCGATTATATTGCCATACCAAAGATATCTGCTATATATTATATATTGCTATTATCCATGTTTTCATTTGGCATTTCAATCAAAAAATCATTTGGCATTTCAGAAAAAAAACAACTTAAAGCTTCTTGCAACAAACAAACAACTTCCAGCAACACAACACCAAAATAACAACAGCAAAAACAATTCAATATACAACGTTTTTTAAGGTACTCACAACGCATTTGGTTTTCTATAAAGAATTTTTCTCAGTATAATGCTGAAAATGAATAGGCTATGACTATGACGCTGACTGGTATAAAATTTTCCCATTTTCACAAGGCTGCAATAAATTATTAATTTGTTTTGTTTCATTTTGTGTTTTGTGTAAGGGAGAAAAATGTTTAAAAATGGTTAGGCATTTTTTTATATTTTTAGGTTTTAAAATTAGGCATCAAATATATATGTACTTTATGGTACCTTGCAAGGGTTAAAAGTACCTCGACAATATGTTAATTATAAGGTTTTCAAATTATTGAATCAAAATAAATTAATAAATTGTAAGTCAAATTCTCAACAATGTTCATTTTCTTAATTAAAAAAAATTAAAGAAATTATTCTTTACTTTGGTTACAACATTAAAATAAGTACTTTGAAAAAATAGAGAATCTGTTTTTAATAAACAAAATCTAAAATATAACGAATTTGTGACACATAACTGTAAGTTACTGCGATAAATGAATAAATTGAAAGATTTTTATTTAATATATAGGAATAAATATTTAATAAATGATACTAAAACAACCAAAGAAACAGTCTTGAATACTCATTAAAGTTCTCCTTAAGCCTTTTTTTTATTACATAACATATCTATAACCGATTTAATTAAGATGAGTAGCTTCTAAATCGCTTATTAAATTTTATATTTTGGTTAAGAATCAAAAACTATCTACATTAATGCATTCCATTCCATTCCAAGAAGATCACTGATGGGTAAGGGGAGATGTATATGATATAGGAGAGATTGGAGGGGGAAGTACTGGCAGATGCTGGGAGATGCCCGCCCACGCGAATATCCATCGAAATAAAAACAAAGGCGAAAAATGTCGCTCGGTCAATAGCTTCGCAGCTGTTCTGGTCTGGTTTGCTCCCGCGAGAATCGTATCAAATCGAAGTTGAATCGGATCGAAGTCGAATCAGATCGAAACCAGTTCCCGTTGGGGATCGCGATTCGCGAATGGAGACTGGATTTGGGGCTTACGGGTTTCGTCGGCCTGTCACCGCAATCAATCACCTCGTATTTGGCTCGGATCTTGGATCATTCTCTCTCTCACCTGGTCAGCATCACCTTCTGCAGGAAGGCCTTGCGGTCGTTCTTGCAGGGAGCCTTATTGGCACGCTTCATCTGCAGGGCTTGCTCCATTGCAGCAGGACCGAAAGGATCTTTGGGAATGATTTTTTTCAAAAACTTTGATTGGAAATTTTTTTCTTGGGGGGATCTTGGGAGAAGCCGAAATGTGTCGGAACGAGGTGCGCTTGCAAGCGACTTTGGCGAAACTGAATGCCAAACGAAGTGCGGGGTTTTATTAGAGAGATCATTGCCGGGCAGAGAACGGGCGAAAGAGAGAAGGAGAAAGAACCCCCCACAGGGGTGAGTGTGACAGAGAGGCAGAGCACGCACAAACGAGTATTTCGCATACGAGATGTATCTGCAAGATACAACAGAACAAGATCAGTACGGCTCACGTGCGTGCGAGAGCGCGAAAAATGCTAAGCAGAAGAAAGATTCGGATTCTGATTCCGATTCCGATTCTCATTCTGACAGCTTGTTAAACATTTATGCGAAAGTATGGAGAATATGCTCGGAGATGGGGGATTTTAGTTTAATGAAAACAAAAGTGTTTGCCTCGGGGGGAGAGAGGTAGGGAAATTTCGGTAAGCCAAAGTATATATGACTCTTTTAACTAATTTTGCAAGGTATTTTATAGAAATTTTACATCTACTCCCCTCATTAGTTCAATTCAATAACTTAATAGACTTAATAGAATGTAAAGTTGATATATTCACTTGTAATACTAATAATTAATTCATTTAATAATGTTAAAAGGCTGGAGAAACCTATAATACCTTCCAAACGAGTAAAAAAGAAAGGGAAATACAGCCAGCAGCATCCTTAGATAATGAACCGCTGTGCTGTTTCACTAAACAGAATCCCAAATGTTCTCAAATGCAAATGCGACAGACAAAAGATACAATTGTATCTGCAGAATTTATACAGCAACGCAGTTACATGCGTAATGAGTTCTGCGCCCGTCTGCGGTATGGTATCTGTATCTGTATCTGTATCTATATATCTGCATCCGATTTTTTTTTTTTGGGGGAAGATTGTTACCTGGGAATCGGCACGGCCACACGTCGAGCGAACGTCTTCGATGTGACGATCAGACGCGATGTTTTCATTAGAAACTCCATTTTGAAATGTATCTTTAAAGTATCACTTTCAGTTTTAAACGGATTTCAGCTTTTCTCTTTTTCTGGGATTCTTTGTTTAGTTTTTTCCGCGAAAACTCTTTGTTTAGGTATTACGATAGTTTAAAATGTTTTATATTAAGTGTCAGTATGGCAATGTCAAAGAGACGCGGCCCCATCTGTGTTTCCTAGAAAAGCAAATGAATTTTATATAATAGGGTTAGAAAAGTATTGGGTTTAGTTCAAACTGAAGTTCACTTGCAAAATGTAAACAAAATCTCGTTATGGAATGTTCAAATTTGATGTAATCATTAGGCACGT